TATGTGTTGTACAAATAATATTTGGTATAATAAAGATGACAAAGTGAAATGCGAGACTTATTTCTAGCCTCTGCTGCTGCAAGAGCATGAACACACGGCAACTTCTCCAAGTCAAATCTACGACAAGAGCATTTTTTCTGTCAAATTTACAACATGGAGAGCTGAACTACCAGTCACTTGTGATTGATGATCGTCAATCGCTTGTACTGTAAGCTGCTTTGCATAATTCACCCGAGACTGTACAGATAATTTGAATATTTAGAACCAGGAATAATGTTTGATTAAATAGAAGATGTAACTAGTTTAATATTTATACCTCTAGCAGCTTCTCAACTCCACGTGAAAGTGTTGTCTTCAATTGCTCTGCTTCATTTCTTCTTTCAGAAAACCATCTAGTCATCATTAGCCTAACTTCTTCTAAAAGTCTTACAATTGGTAAACTCCTGGACTTTGATAGCACTTTGTTGATGGATTCAGCAATGTTGGTTGTAGTTAGATTGTACCTATCACCGGAAAAATGAACCCGAGCCCACATCTTCACATCAGCTCGCAGAAGATAACTATGTAATGCTGGATTTAACTCTCCAATTTGCGTAAATATTGTTTTAAAATCGGAAAGTCTGAAACAGTTTGCAGCTTTTTTAACCAACCCAAATGCATCACCACCTCTGTATCGCTGGAGTATATTCTTATATAGATGATAAGTACAAATTCCTCGAGTTGCCATGGGATATACCTTGCCAATTGCATTACCAATTGCTTTGTGTCTATCAGAAATAATGGCAAGTCTCTCATCATCCGGGATCACAGAATTGAGCTGTCTGAAGAACCATTCCCAAGAATTATCATTTTCTGTGTCAACAATTGCAAATGCGATTGGAAAAATCTGAAAATTGCCATCTTGAGTCGTTGCTATGAGGAGCGTCCCTTTATATTTACCCTGTAAATAAGTCCCATCAACAACAACTACTTTTCTCAAGAAAGGAAACCCTGACATGCTAGCACCGTATGCAATGAAGAGGTACTTGAATCTTTCACTACCATCAACCTCAAGACGGGTAAATGTTCCAGGATTATCTCTTTTTATCATGTACAAATACGCAGGTAATGTTTCATATCCTTTCTCGGGACTTCCTCTAACCAGATCTCGAGCAATTTTTAATGTGTGATGAGCTTTCCAATACTTGATCTGCACGAGTACAAAAAAATAAGTAACAAGTCTTCCACTTCGTCAAAGTAAAAGTGGACATAAGAAACTATAAAGTAAACTACCTAAATTCCAAAACGAAAGCTCATCAAGTTTGCTACATGACTTGGTAGAACAGTAGGTTCAATTCCACCAACATAATCCTTGTACAAAACTGCAAGAATGTCAGGAGTTGCTTTTCGTGATCGAGAAGATCTATCCGTTACAGAGCATGTATGTTCTGAAATATATACTCGAACGTAAAATGATGCAGAACCTCCGACGGGTGTAGCTCGGACTCTCCAACTACATCCTTCAACCCAACACTTGACAACTAAAAGGCTTGGCGTTGATTTATCAACAACGAAATCAAACTTTTTCAAAACAGATAAAATTTTCAATCTTGTCTCTAATGCACCTTTAGAGTCGTACCTTTGACCGACAACTAAATTAAGTGAATTTAGTTCTAGTTAAACATGCGGTTCAAGTTCTTTTACGTCCTTGGTTGGCATACTCGAACCTTTTCTTTTTAGAGGTAACTTTGGTTTCTCAGACTCGTATTCGATTTGCCTTCCGTATACGCTAAAATCCTCATCATCAGAAGTTGCTCCATCAGAATCATCACAGCAATCAAAATCTGAACTCCTCATCGTCGTCAAATACGTCCTCGTTAAACCCAGAATTGCCACCCTTATCGTTTTCATTTGTATTACAACCAACATCATTTTCATTGCACTTCATCTTACGTCTTCCTTCTTCACAGCCCATTCTTTTCCCATTTCCGACAATTTTTTCCGTTATTTCAACGCACAGTCGAACTGTATCAGATCTAAACTGTCCAAGAAAAGCTTGAAATTGTCTACAATTGCCAACAAAAACAGGTAATGTATCCAGCGGAAGCTTACAAAGAACCCTCTTCGGAAGCATGTAACTGAGCTTAACCTCATGTGTATTATTATCTAACCCGTAATCTTCAAACACCATCCGAAGAAAATCAACATACCGTGTACTCTTATTAGCATTCAGAATTTTGCATCCTCTAGAATTGTCAACCCCAAACAGCCATCTGCAATTTTTAAATCGCCAATGACCACATACCAGAATCACTTGATCCATCGTAGAAGAAAAGAGTATAAGAAGAGAACATGCAAACTACAAATATCGATAATTAGTTTAAGAGGAGGATAAAGAGGTAGATACATACATCGTTCTCTAAAAGTTAAACTCTTCTGTTCGATAATACGTGCGGCAACCCTAGATCATCCTCGGTTGCATGTGCTAAAAAGAACATGCTGACATGGATAATTTCCATAATTAAATCTGTCAAAGAAAGTAAATCTTTCATAACTAATAATTAAATCTGTTGTTATTTATCTATCATAACTGCAATATATATGTCTGCTGAAAATAAATCTTCTATCAATAAAAAGGTTAATCTAGTAAGAGTACATGTCTATCATTACTACAATAATGTAAATATATTACCAAACGACAGATATATATAAGTTTATTGTAACGTAAACATAATTCTACCGTAACGTAAAAGTCAATCTAGTAAACAAAATTAATGTCCAAATAAATCTGCTAACTAATAGACTTATTAAATGTTAATAAAACTCTGCTTCCATAAGAACAAATATATCATCACTTGGATGCATAACTCTGTCAAAATAACTTAAATCTGTCTCAGATTTAAGGTATTAAATATTAAAACTGCCATATTTGAAATAAGTTTGACGTGTCTATTGGTAAATTTATTAAATATATCTACCAATAATTATTAAGTTTGTCATTTGACAAAAACTCTACCGACTAAAATTATTTCTACTGTGTTGGAAGATAGATTTTACGTAAAAAAATCTATGATTTGTCCTTAAAATCTGTCATCGCGAATAAGTTTGTGGTGACGTGATATAAACTTATGGTATTAAGTCTATGATTTCATTTTAAGTATACCAAACACAAATAATTTTACCAAACGCTCATAACTTTGTCATTATTATACCGATAGATTTAACATAATAGACATAATTAAATATGAAACGTGTGGTGGCATAACTGTAATTAATTTGATTTTTTTGCTGAGGTGTAAATAAATTAATAATGGCATTGTTGTAATATTTTTTTTCGTATAACTGTTTTATAAGGGCAGTTTGGGTAATAATTTTACTAGAATAACCTATATTTTTTTTAAGTTAGTCTAGTAATTTTAGTTAAAATTAGAGTTATTCAAATAAATCTCTCTTAAAAAAAATCCAAATAATTTCAACTCTTGGCTTTATAGCCTTTGATCAAACGATGAAAGTTTGAAAGTTTGAAATATTGTTTTGGACCATCTCCAACTTAATCATTAAATTTAACCTTCAAAATAGCACTACTGGATATATTTGAGCAAATGCGGTATCGGTTTCCTGGTTGTACATTACGGTATCAATTTGTCTTTTACTCAGAAATCAATTCAAAGAGATGATCAGAAATGCTCTTGTATACTACAATTTTTTTTTTTTTTTGGTATTAACTCTTGTATACAACAATTGTTTACCACTCTAACATTATAACTTAATAATGTACAGTTTTTTAGCTTCATTGAATTTTTTACAGAATGCCAGAATGGCAAACAAACATAAATATTTTAAACTAACTATTATTTTAATATGTTTCGGAAAGATCAAGAATATTCTAATCCAAGGGCGTTTAATCCGTTGAAACACTTGAAAGCAAGAGAAAGTGAATAAGTGCATGCATCTTCATTTACAGCACGTGTCTATTAACTTTGTCATGACTTAGTCATCAGTCACACGAGGAATATCAGGAATCTCTTTTTTTGTTTATTAAAAATTCTCCAAATGCAATATAAAAGCCAAAAGTATTCATACATTAGAAAAAGAAGCAAATAAGAAAAGAAAAAAAAAAAACATATGAATGTAGATTATATGTCATGGAGAGGCGGCGATCGTGTTACATAAGCAACTGTATCCGAATCATTAGTATGTTCTTCTGTATCTGAATCAAGTCTCTATCAATCCTGTATTCATCGTCATCGTTAAATCCCGACGGCCGCAAATCTTTTTCCTTTTTTAAATAATATGTATACAGTTTTTAAATAAAGATGAGTAACATGTTTAATTAGAAGTAACGAATTCACATTTCTTTTTGTTTGATTTTTAGAAAAATTCTTATATCAACATGCCATTAGGTCATATGATTAGACTTTATTCTTGTAGTCTTTGTATAGTCAAAAATGTAACCTTAAAAATTAGTAGGCTTTTCGGGTCTGACCAACTATGCTTCAAGTCGACACTAAAATCAATTCTTACTTACTTTTTTTCTGTTAATAATTGGGTTACTGATTTGGATCTTTACAGATGTAAATTAGTGATGGAGGCGTAACGGATATGATAATTCAGTTTAACATCCGTGATTTGTTATCTTCTATTTTAGTATTTTGTATCAACATACTTCTTATATATATCACTAAATTATAATCTTCTTATATATACTCTAAGAACGATTATTTCGTTTCTGGTTCACAACTAGTTTCCTATTTGGACCAGCAAGGATATAAAACAGGACCAAACGTACGATAGAATGTTGAATATCAGACTTTCTTGGACCAAGGGACCATTTAGTGCATTAAGCTTTATGTTGGACCTGGACCCGATACAGAAAAACGATTTCTAAAGAAATTACATACCTTTATAACCGAATTAATTATTTTTTTAAATTATGAGTATGTTTAGCAGTATCATGTAAAACATATGAAACAAGAACAAAACCTAAATCATTAATATTTGTAAACAGGAAGGAGTAAAATTTAAAAAGATTATAATTTAGTGATCGAAGTAGCTACTAAACACATGACATTCTACATATACGATGATAATATGTAGAAACGCAAAACGTGCTAAATAAATTTCACTGTTTCTTGGTGATGAGAGATTTCACAAAGCTGACTAGGAACGGTTTGTTTTAGGCAAAGGTAACGCTTTTGTAACAAGATTATTTGTTGAAACGCTTCCTCGAGCCTTTAATCGCAGTTCCTCAAGAAGTCTTTTGGCTTCTTTCATTTCGTCTTTGGCACTATCTCCATGATTGTCCCAAGCATCGATCACTCTCTGTTGAAATTCCACTGCGAGGCTATAACTGCAAACAATGCAATGCTCAAAGACATTACAACACTTTTACATAAACACATCAAAAGACAAGATTGTGTTAACAGAAATCTACTTACTTCCCCATTCCTGCATAAGCTTTAGAGAGATTCTGGCAAGCATCAATCGAGTCCACATGGTTTGGACCAAGTGAAACATCCATGATATCTTTAGCAACTGCAAACATTTGAGCAGCTGATTGTGGTCTTCCAAGTTCTAAATAGGCAGCACCGAGATTGTTGTAAACATATCCAACTCCAAAATGTTTGGCACCAAAACTTTCCTTTAACCTCTCAGCTGCACTTTCTAAATACGGAACAGCTTGAGAGACTCTACCCGAAAAGAGAAGCAACCAACCTATCCTAGCTGAAACACTTCCTTCTGAGTGCTGTTCTTGAGGAAGCTTCTCAAGTATACTCAGAGTTTTCTGCAACAACGAAATCGCAATCTCAAACTCATTCATCGACTCATACTGCATCGCAACCTCAGAGTAAGCTTCAGCGACTTCAACAGGAGAAACTGTTTCTTTCTTCTCGAGGATCTCACAAGCAAACTCCAAACATTTCTTTGAATCAGCAAACTTCTGCTGATTCACCAAAGCTTTCGACATCGATATAAACACCATAGCTCTCATCTCGCTGTCCTTATCTGTTTGCTGAACAACGCTCTTCAATACATCGATGGCTTCTTCGTACTTACCTAAAGCAACCTTCATGTTTGCAGCGTCGATCTCCGCACGAATCAGCTCAACTTTCATCCCCCAATTCTTCAACACTCTCTGAGACAACCTGTTCTGCTCCAAGGCCTTGTCATGTTGCTCTAAACCGCTATAAATCACACCAAGAAGTCTTCTATCTTGCGCAACCTCAGCTGAATTACTCCCCAATTCTTTCTTATGTATCTCCAAAGCCTTCAACGCATAAGGCAAAGCCTCGTCGAAATTCAAAACCGCAACATAAGCATCCGCTAAACTCCGATTCGACACACCCATCTCTTTACTATCTTCCTCAAAAGTCATCTCTTTAATCTCCAAACTCTTCTTCAAATTCTCAATAGCTTCCTCTCGCCTTCCCATGGCGTTTTTAACATTAGCAAGCTCGAGCTGCACGGCGTGTAAAACCGGCCTAACGTCTTCCACAACACAATCACCATCTGCCTCTAACTTAACAAGGATCCGATTCGCTCTGTTTAAGTAACCTAAGCTATCGCTAAACCGTTTTAAGCCGTAATTAGCAGAACCCATCAATTGCAACGCCATAGCGACAAGCAGAGTAGGTTTGTCTCCGATTACATCGAAAGATTTGAGTGCTTTATCAGCGTAAGAGAGAACCTTTTCAGGATCCTCACCTTCTCGATCGAGATGGAGACCTAGCTTCAGAGCAGATAAACCTAGCTCGTTCCCTTCGAAGGATAACTCCATCTCCTTGAACAAACGAACCATTTCATCAGTTGTCTTGGCCGACTCGAACGCTTCTTCAAGATCGATTTTTTCCTGATCTATCATCTCACTCGACGAAATCTCCGTCGGTTCCTCGACGTGGGTATTCAAATTCCGAAATGGGTTCTCCCGGAACTGGCTTTTGTCGACGATCGGGACATAGGTTCTGCAGCAAGTGAAGATTTCGCGTATTGGCGAGACCAGAGAAGAAGAAGATGAAGAAGCAGCATCGGAAATGTGATTCAGGTGGATTGGTCGGAATTTGTGGAAGCGAAGGCGACGGAGTAGAGAAAACGACAGACTTTTCATGGCGGAAGTCGAAAAATCGCGTCTTCTCGTTACCAAAAAACCCTCAAAAAACTAAAACCCTAAAGATGTAGTTTTTTTGTGTGTGTGCTCGGAGCCAAAAAAAAATAGTTTTTTTTAGGAGTTCAATAAAAGAGAGACCAAATTAATTTCACGGCCAGAGATTAGGAGAAACCCTTACACCAAAAACATAGTGTAGTTACAAACACTTTGCATAGGCCATCATCAATAGACAGTACCTTGTCATGGAATCATAAATGGATTGAACCACGACATTTCACCATTCCTAGCAGAAATCTAGATAGTCTCTTTTGTCTTTCCTAATAAATTAAAGTTTGAAGACGACTTTCAATCTCTCATAACGAAAAAGAACAAAAACAGACACCAAAAGCAGAACCAAACTTTAAGTGCCTTAAGAACATTAAACAACATCATCATCGAGATAACAAGAAAGAAAATGCATCTTGCAAACTACAGCTGAAGATCAAGTAATCAACTCAATGATTAATACACACTTTTCCCAGTCTCAAACACTAGAAGGAAGGGGGAAAAAAGTGTGCTCGATAATACAGAGCAGGTCCTTGAAATATATGAAATTTTTGAATACTAAATGTCCTTCATAAGCCTCATACCTCTCCTTCTAAAAGAGTGTCAAGAATAGGAAATAAGCCTCTCTTGAAATTCCTCCCAAGTACAAGCTTTAATGATACTAAGAGCTCCTGCATAATTCATGTAATGAAAAATAAATCTTTTTGCCACAAATTTGTATGAGCTTTGTAAAACAACTTCAGAACATTAACACTCTAGTTTTTGCTCTGCTTCTTGATGTTCACAAGCTGAATGTTTCAGAAGATAAGAGCGCATTTGGTGATACACATGTACCTCTTTGAGTTACCAAAAAGTTAGCTTTGGGAGTAGTCAAATAAAAGTTTATATGAGAAAAGAAATAGATTTCATTGTCTTTTCTGTTTTGTTTACAAATACATTAGCGAATCTTCATCATATTGCATAAAAGATGGAAAAAGAAAATCAAAAACAAAAACAAATTCATATCGTAATAAACTAATAAATAATAAGAATAATACAGTACTCTGTGTTGAAACTTTGAAAACACATTTAGCTTTGTAATGCTGACTCAACATCAACTTGTACTCCGGCTCCTGTTTGATTCGCTTATCCATTGCGGCAAATCTCGACAATTTTTTATGAAATCGGTGCAATTCAAAACTGCTTTGTTTTTTCCTTTTGCATCCTCCTGAGAGTTTCTTGATTTGCACTAAACTTGGAACATAAGAGCACACAGTCGTCCTCAAAGCAAAATTCTCTCTAGATGCTCTGACATCCAATTTAGAAGAAGAACCATCCTCGTCAAGATCCACTTCTCTAAAGTATCCATCCTCTCCAATGATGTTAACTGTGTGACAATATTCATCACTAACTTTATCAAAAACCATAGCGAGTCTCTTCTCCTCGTCAATGTAGAAATCTCCACGCCTAAATGATATCGGAGTCTTAGCGACTGTTGCCATATTAACAGTCAAGAACTTGCTCCACAACACCTCTTCTTCCTCAATCTTATTCGTAATCCATATCTCAACCATAGGTGCTTTATCGTACTGATAGAAAACCGCAAGCTTCTCTTCTTTAACACAAGATAGAGTTACAAGTTCACGGCCCCAGAGGCCCCCAGGCAGAGGAGGCAGAGGAAGAAGCGGTCTAAACATCTCTCTCGTAAAATCAAAACATATTAAGTAAACGTTGGGTTCTTGTATTGGTATCAGTTTCCTATTATAAGAGATCCAGTAAGTGTTTCCCTTGAGAGAAACACCAAGGTCATTAGATAATATCTTCCAGTGTATTGAAGTGACAACAAGAGTCTTCCATAAACCAGTGTCTAAATCGTAGATTTCATACCATGAAAAGTGATGTCTGCTCTTGGTCGGACAGAAGTACTTATCTATAAACCTCAAGATTTTGTAAGATTTGTTCTTCTTATTCTTCTTGGAATATCCGAGTGCGTACCTGTAACTGCAATGTCCGTAAGAATATCTAGGTTCGATCCATCTTGGTTGCCCCCAATACGGATTCCAAACCACAATCTTTGAAATGTCTTTCAAGATGCATAACAATAGACCCTCGCAGTGAAAGATTTGAAATATCTTGACCTGTTCCAAATCGTTTAGGCAAATAAGTTTGCCTTCAGGCTCTATATATGGATCAAAGTCAGTTCCTTTGACGATGCCGCTCGTCAAATAAAGCTTTGAGTCCATCAACACGATCATCCGAGGATTAGAATTCCCTTCCTCTGCGATTTTAGCAAGGTGCATCTTCGTAAAGCTCCGGTTTTTGGATAAAGTGTACCACTTTTTGCAAGTAAATCTCATAGATTTCAATGGAACCCTGGACAAAACCTCCTCTACCATATCCCTCGGAAGACGGAAGATCGTCGTCGTCGTCATTGTTTCAAGTCGCAAAAGGACCAGTTTTCTGTTCCTCAGATAGTCAGATTTATATAAATATATGAAGCTGGGCCAAACGTGGGCTTGAGAATGTAGTCGGGCCTTAGTGACGTTACTAAATTTCCAATTAAACCCAAAAGACCCAAACTAAGTGAACAAGTCCATGCCTTGCAAATCCTTTATATACATTGTATATACAAACAATAAAGAATTGCATGTAATGTTAGACACGAACAGAGAAAGAAAAAAAAACATGTTATTATTCCCACTTTTTTCCCGAGTCCAGAGAGAACTTGTGACAAGCATCTCCCTTTATCTACCGTTAAGAAAAAAAGAAAGAAAGAAAATAAAAGCAAAGACAACTTTGAATCCAAAAAATTCATCGTTGTTCACCCTAATGTGGTGCTTGATGTTGAAGTTTCTTGAGGTCTTGAACTATATACATCGTCGAAATGGAGATCAATCCCAGCTTCAATGTCATCATCATCGTCATCCATGAATATTGTTCTCGACAGCTTTCTTCTTGCAGTCTCCTCCCAATCCAATGCTTCTACTTCTTCTTCTTCTTCTTCTTCGATGCTTCTTCTATCCCATGAGTTGTCTAACAAGTTTCTCGTTGTGTACCGGTTTATAAAATCAGGTGGCTCAATGAAGCTATTAGCGGCTGCGGGATGAGATGCACCATCGTGAGAACGGCCTCCTCTTCCCCACCATTGGCTCCTACCATCGATAGGATGATGACGATTCCCATAGTCTTCTTCTCCGTCAGGTTGGTGATGGCGCAGAATACTCTCTCTGAAGAACTGACCCGATGTGCTTGCTTCCATGTCTTCTTCACCACGGACTCCCAAATTAGGAGGCCAACAATCCGCACTGTTTGGATTTGCAGTCAAGATCTCGTTCTCTCTCTCTATCGAGTGATGATCGGTTCTGTTGTGCGGCTGGGACGTGTAGTACCAGTCAAGAAGATAAGGGTGGTTCCTCTGATCTGAATCAATCAGCCACATGGAATCAGCGTGATTGCCTCCTGGATGTGGATTTCTTGGAATGTCTCTGTATAAAGTGCTGTTATTATCTATATGACCAGCACGATGGATAGGTGTTTCTCGCCACGTCCTACTAGGAGAACATGTGTGTCTTGTGTTTATTTCTTGAAGCTTTTGGTCTCGGAAAGTTCTGAGATTTGACAGAAACTGCTTCCCAAGAGAATCTGATTCCCAAGAAGTATAACTACTCTGGAAACTGCCAAAAAAAGATTGGAACACTTCACTGTTTAGAGGGAGAAGCGATAACACGAATAATTTGGGCGTTTCAAATGAAAAATGATGGCCAGACCTCAAGAATGATTTCTCCATTTTTCCTTGGGAGCTTCTCTGCTCACGAGATACGTTACGTGGTGAACCGTATTTAGTATTTCCATGGTTCTCAAAGTCAAAAGCACTAAAGCTGCAAGCGAAATGGCCAAAAGATTAAAAAGATTGAAACACGTATTTGCAAGGAAAGAGCAAACAATTCTTTATGTTAAACTTCATGGGCTTTTACCTGCAAACATTGCCTACACCTTCAATATCAACTGTAAAATCCCTGATGAATTGCAATATATCATCAACCCGCTGCAAAATTATCTCAAAATGTGTTAAAATTCTCAATAGTAATGTGGGATCTATAATACACTAACGCAGATGACGAGAAATATACCATTGGCACGACAAACATCAGCAGAAATGGCGTTATGAAAATCGAAGCTATCTCCTCCAGTAACATCATTCCAGTATACTGCAGTGAATAAATTTCCATCAAGAATCATTTATCGAGAAAGTAAAAGAAGAGAAGGAAATTAGATAATGTTTGCCAGTAGACTAGTGGATGGACGCTATATCATGCCATGAGATCATCAAAACATCAAAGAGAAGACATCAAAATTACTGAGAAAAAGAAGTTTAACATGTAACCATAGTACCTGAAACAGAGTCTCTAACTCCAAACGGACATCATCTTTGTTCTCCTTACCACGCCATCTCTTAGGCATATAGTGAGTGTGTTGGACCACAGCAGTCATAGTTCCTACTGGATCGAGGACCAAAAGTTCATCCGAAATAGCAGCCCGACTAATAGCAGTAATAGTTCCAAAAACAGCAGCATACCAGAACAAGTTGCGACCGAATATCTACACAAGTGGTAAGACAAGCTTTAATACCCAAATAATGTATCTAGTAAATGTTTTTCTTTTTTTTTTGCGTCGTGAGGATTTCTTACATGGCCCTCTAGAAGAGATTCTTCGAGAAACGCAATGATGATTAATACAGCAGCAAAGCCACCAGAAACAAAAGAGACGAACTTTGCGATAATGGAGATGATAGGTGAGGGGAATTGTTTTAGATATTCAGACGCGTGTACAACACTGCTATTAATCCGATGCTTGAATAAATGGTCAACCTGTCGTAGAAACAAACAACTTAGAGAAGGCAACACAAACATTAATAAAAGAAAAATTCTGAGAATTTTTTGTGGGCATGAAAGCCAGATGAAGTTAGCCACCTCATTAAACTCCCTGAAGAGCCACTTTGACAAATTGGACCATCTTCGAGAAGATGCAGTACTTGGATGATTGTAGAACTGTTCAGCATGCCTTAGGAATAGATACACCAACATAAAGATGACAAGAAATGGTGACAGCAGAAGCATAGCAAGCCCAACTACAAATAGCCGTTTCTTCAATGTTGTCGGATTTGAAACAAAGTCCCTTCTAACACGAAAATTGCTGCAGAATGAAAACACCTGAATTAGAAAAAACGGACAATACTCAGCATGTGGAAGGATTTTTTCATTCTATGACATTACGCTTCATGGTAGAAGTTAGGCCATTGAGAAGAAACATACAAATACAAAATCTAACATTCGTACGCTTCGGCCACTTTCATGTAGGATCAAAGGGCGTGAGGCACACTTCTGTACTATATAAACATACAGATCTAAACAGGAAAAATCTCAAAACCTAAAAAAATATCACTGTAGTCAAACCAAGAAATAGCAACGCATGAAAACTGATACTATCATCTTTATTACATTCATGAAGTCCTATATATACAAGGTTACTAGAAAGCAGCTTTCAGATTAGATCAAAGATTAGCGAGAATAACATACCAGTCAAACATGCTCTGCAATATGCACCAGTTAAGGGTCCATTCAAGGGTCTTTGTCAATACAAGGTGATACTGTGTCCCATCTGGAGCAGAATTTACTACAGGACCAGCGCCAGGGATCCAATGGGAAATTGGGAAAGAGAGCAAACCTTTGTTAAGCATTCCAATCAAGTAGTTTTCTTTCCTCATAAGACGCATAACAATATCATGAGCTGAAAGATCTTTCACCACGCAAAGGCATTGTGAGCTTTGTAACTGAACAACCTTCTCAAGGACTGTTGCCCATGGCATAGTAAGGATTTCGTTGTCTGTGACATGGAGACTGCAAATTTACACCACAAAAGGAAAACAGGTTATGGTCTTAAATGTATGTTTTGTTCTAGCAATATCTATTAATAGCATATTGCCAATTCCGACTTACCTGTTGTAATAGAAGTGCCGAAAGTCCAAAGTATCTTTCAACTGGGCAAAAAACCTTAGGAAGCAGAAGATCCAGTACACAGAGAAGAGAGCCAGATATCCAACAATTATAGCAGTTGTGAGTGTGAATGGGGATAAAGGATGCAGATGGATAGCTTCTTTGACAAGATCACATGGCTTAGTTCCCGATTCAACTGCATCCATTCCACATTTTGCATTCTGAAGACCATGCCAATCAACATACAACAAGAAAAACCCAGAGAAGCATATGATGAAGCCAAGACTAAGAAGCTCAACAGCCCATTTTACGATAATACACCAAAGGCCTTTGTCTCTGTAGTAGCTGTAGAGTCTTTCAAAGAAAAGATCCAAATCAGCAATTGGTTGAACATTTAAGCTCTCTCCATTAAGAAGTCCCGACGGGCTCTCACTACCAGGACTTGGTATTCCCCCATAGTTTGATAGTTCGATCTCGTGTGACGCATTATGAAGCAATCCAGAAGTCAAAGACGATGATGATTCGCTACGTTGCCATTTTAAAAAGTTGAACACATTTAGAGCCTTTTGCCCACTGCTCATCATTCGTAAACACGGACGATTGGACAAAACAGCCAGTCCATTACCCGTTGACCACGTGGATATTGTAGGAACGTAGTGCCTAACGAGAATGCAGCTACAAATCCTGCATCAAACATGAAGACGTACATCATCATTGATTAGAAATCATGGATAAGAGATATGACAGATATAACTTTTTTACGCAAACAAAAAGTTTCTATGTTCGAGCCAGAAGCAGATACAATTATAATAAATAACCGAAGAGACACATAAGCAAATCAAATCCATAGAAATAGAAAGACAAACAAAGGATAGGGAACTTGTGGCATAACTTGCTACAAGACAAGATGATAGATTTTAACTACCCACCTAACATTTGCTGGACACTCAGATTACTATTCCAATTCAAACATTTCCTTTCTTATTCAACACAAGCATCCTCGCACTAGCGGAATCTATGCACAATGCAGTAAGTGCTTAGCAATGGAAAAATTGCAATATTAGAAAGTACTTAAACACAGAGTAGATAGTAATCTAGACTCAATCGAGAGGCCGGAGCAAGGTTTACGCAACCGTTGAACAAACAATGGACCTTGATCAAACCCAATTCCCTTGAACCGACTCTGTTATTCACGGGACAAAGCAGCAAAATCGGCAATTTCTTCCAAAAAGAGTATCTACTTTTACCAGCGATTCAATCACGAGCGATACGATTCTTGACGAAATTGAAACGCCCAAAACCCATAAGCTAATAGGCAAAACTCCTCTAACCCACGAACTTATTCCCCCTCAAATTCACTGTGCGATTGTTTCAAAAGACAAAATCGAACTTTATCGATAACTACAAACAAAAAGATCAAAACTTACCAGCGACCCACAAAAGGAACAAGCAAAGAGAAAGCGGTGAAAGCGAAGTTCTGTAACCAGCTAGCAAAAATATGTCTTGAAGCCGAAGCTAGAATCCAAAGGAAATTACGCGGAACTTTTCTTCTCCCTTAGGGCAGTGAAAATTCGACGAAGAAGTTGAAAAGAGAAGAGGAAATTGATCGACGGACGATTAGCGATTGAGAGAGAAGAGAAGAAGAAGACGAAGAAGAAGAATTGGGTTTGCGTGGAAGAAAAGACGAGTGATAAAATATTGATCCTTTATGCTTGGAGGACTAATTTTGCTTTTGGTTTTGGATTTGGGCTTTCTTCTTCATCTTCCTTCCCTTACAGATACTTTAACCAAAGAAACGTGATAACGAGTCCCCCTAAAGTTTTACTTCGATCCTTGGTTGCTTACTTGCTTAGATTAGATCATAAAATATTGGTTTTAAAATAAAAGAAAGTCAAATTTATATAACCATCAATTTTCAAGCCAATTCATCTGTTTCTTAAAAAAAAATAATGTGCGTGAAACAAAAAACAATTTTAAGAGTTTATATAATGGGCCACATGTTTTTAGTAGGCCAGGCCTAGTTTCTGAATATACTACATGTCAGGTGATAATGTAATGAGAACCACCTTGTGAGAAGCCATTTTAATTTTAACTCTAAAAGAAAGAATTAAAAAGTTTTGAATGGTTATAACTTATACATTTCTTTAGTTCTAGCAATATTTGAAATGTACATACAATTGTTTCGAAAAATTAGTTCTTTGAATGTTGTTGTATTAATCTGCAGTTGCACTCAATTTGTAAGCATCTACTAAGTGTTACATGTTGCGTTGGAAACTTAGATAATTTGTTGCTTGAATCCGTTAATGCAATTGGAGTTGCTACGTTACAAGATCTTTGAGCACGGGAGTTTGACTATGCCTCTTCGTAATGGGTTAATAAAAATCTATATTGATCCAAAATGGTTAGCATTATTCGTTTGCCTACTCCAAGAGATTGCAGTTAGGATTGCGATTAAGCAATGTTCGACCAAAAAAAAAAAAGGTTGCTGGCCGCAGCAATATGCGTCTAAAAGCTTTGGACAGTAAAATAATTCAGCATTGTGATGAATTTTTTTGAGATCTGTCACATCAACCAGCCACACGATTCCTAAATAAACAACAATTTCTGCATCTGGTCATATCGTTTGGCCGCAGCAACTAACCTATATTATTATTCTGCAAAAAAAAACATAATCTCTTTTTTTTGGTAAAAAAAAAAAACATAATCTCTTAGTTCTTGAAAATGCAAGCAAACACTGAAATGATTGTGTTTAGTCTCATGTGATACATTTTTGATGGAGATACTAACTTTAATGGAGATGATACATCAATTTTGTATTTTATATGGTTTCATCTCCATAAAAATTTAATTCATAAAATTAAAATATATTGTCGAAAAAAACTAAAAAATATTATAAGAATTCATAAAAAAATGTTCTTTTTTTATACTCCCTCCGTTTCATAATAAGTGTCATTTTAGATTTCATTTTTTGTTTCAAAAAGAGTGTCATTCTGCATTTTCAATGTAACTTTTTACTCTTATTTCCTGTTTTATCCCTCATTTAAAGATAATAGTCTTTGTAATTAAATGTTATAAAAATATATTAATTAAGGGTATATTTGTATATTTTATTAATTTCTTAATCTGTGTAAAATGTGTTAGAATGACACTTATTATGAAACGAAAGGAGTATCAAATTCACTATATTAAATAGTAAGTATTTTGAAAAAAACTCCTCTCTAAAATAAGTCATTCAAAAACCGACGAACTTACATGAAGTAAAAGATTATGTACTTTGTATTTTTAGTAAAATAATCCGCACAATCAATATCACTACGAATAATATAAATAATACTAAATTAAAAAGGCGAATCATAAAAACATTAATTTTATGCAAAATAGTTCATTCAATATTTTCCTATAATATTATTCAATATTATTTTCCGCTAACATATAATATTTTTTGTCAGCTAAGTAATATACGATAAATCGATAATTAGAAATATATGTTATTTTTATTTCTAAATATTTGGTTTTTTAGTGTTTGCAACTTTATTACTTAGACAGAATACATAATATGATCATCCTCATGGAGGATTGGTACAATACAATTAGGAATATAGAAAAAAAGATTTAAAAGAGACATGACTAAATATTTGTTTATTATAAACTTATTCATATAATGACATAAACAAATAATTTACATGTGTTTCTGTGATAACCAATATCATATAGATTTTCCCAATGAACAATCATTAGAAGATCTTCTTAAAGATTACAAATTAAAAAACATGATATGGACACGATAATGCTAATAAATAAATTCTAAAATATGTGCATAAAAACAATCACAGTAGATATACATTTAGTATACAAGGTTGAGGTTTGTTAGTTAAAATAGTTTTAAAAACTTGTCATTTTGAGTTAGAAAATGTTTAATTCTAAGATTTAGCCATTTAGAATAGGGATGTAATCCTGAGTCAAAAAAAACAAAATAAAATAAATAAATAAACAGAAAGAAATGGGATGTGATAAGTATTGTGAAGTTTAAGAAGATACACGTAGTGTATATAGATGTACAATATCGATTAGTTTTTATTTGTGGTATTACTGTTTATTTTATATATTTTATTGGTGAAAAAAAATTCCCTTATGATGATTATCTTGGAGTTTCAATAAATCTATAAATATTGAACGAGCATATACATTGTGTGGGCACAGAAATCTTGTTCATCTTGATTTTAAGTTGCGAAAAATTCAGAAATGTTTTATTTCATTTCATACAGAAAATTCATATGATTTCTGTTCACAAACTAAAAACTGGTGAAGAGATCTATTATTTCAAATATAATTTTTTTCTGTGGTTTGATCTGCATCTAGATCCGATCACAATTTTTTTTATTTTTTTACGACAATCCGATCACAAATTTTATGAAGGGGATGATTATGGGCCTAATGGGCTTCTTCTAAGTCATATAATCTCGCGGGAAGGAACGGCATTATTTGGCGGGAAGCAACGTGCATCATCTCTCTCCCTCGGTCCTTCTTAGCGCCATATAAACCCTTCTTCTCAATCTCCGGCTCCTCTTTCTCTCTCTCTCTCTCCTCCATATTCCATCTCTCTATCTCCCTCCCAATTTCACTGACACTCATTGACTTTGCTTAAAAATGAGTTCTTCTAGATCTATTCCGTTCAAATCGAAGAAACGTCTGATGGATTCGCCGTGTTCGAAATCGGAGACAGGGAGCCCTAATCCGTCTTCTGTAGCTGTGCCCACGCCGAATAAGCCGGCGGAGAACATGCACACTAGATCCAGGAACCGATCCGTGGCTCTTTCCGTGAAAGAGATTCGCCAAGCCGCCGGATCTCGTCGCAGATCTGAAGATCCGTCGGGTAATGTCTCATCCGCCAGGAGCAAGCTCGTGTTTTCCGATAACGATTCCTCCTCTTCCGCCTCCAAACGAATTGGCAGTAATAAGAACGCCGAGAAGGAGCAACTACCGGAGAAGTATGTTTGATTTCTAGGGTTCTTAATTTTGTTCCCCCCCCCCCTTTGTTTCGATTTTACTGATGAGATTTGGGTTTGTGTAGGTACGAAAATCTGGGAAAGTTCTTTGATGCGTTGGACAGTTCGATTCGGTTATCGAAACTGCGAGGCTCCAAGCCTACATTCTCAAGCATTTCTGGGAAAATCGAGCATTTAACCGAAAGGTATTTTCTTAGGATTTCAATTCAAATCGTGTTTATGCTCTCACTGATTGTTATTTAATGGAATCTGATCTGAATAAACAAAAGCCAAATCGATATCTGCCTTTATACTTTATCGGTTAGATAAGACAAAAAAATTATTTAGATCTGCTTTTTGTATAGGTTAGATATGAGTCTGTTTCTGATGTTCTAAGAGTTGGTGTATCAGGAGATGTGATTTGAATCTTAGCCAAGTTATGATTTGAATCTATTTACAGGAGATTTTGTCACGGTCACTTGGCTCAGCTAAAGCATATTTTGCCAGAGGCAATAGAGGTTAAGAGAGTATTGGTCCATGATGAAACAACTAGCTGCATGAAACCAGATCTTCATGTTACACTCAATGCCGATGCAGTTGAAGACAACGAGAATTCTAAATCAGAAGGCAAGAAGATCTCACTCCGGAAAGTGTTCAGGACAAGACTTGCAACATTTGTTAAATCTCACCCTCAGGTATTATTCCCTATGATGAAAACAAGAAATTTTTTGTTCTTTTAATGATTTTGGAAGTTGAAAGTACTTAAAAGGAGTCTTTTTTTTTTAAATCTGTTTTAGGGTGATGAAGTTCCTGAGGAACCTCTTCCAGAGCTATACAATAGAACGAAACCAAAGGAAAACTCAAACGCTGAGGTTAAGAATGTTAGTTCTCTCATGGAAGAGATGGCTTCTATTCCAGCTGCTAAGTTGATTTCTTCTTTCATGAAAGTCCCATCAACTCCACTCAAATCAGCTTTAAGTCTGGCTAAACCAAGTTCTTCACCATTGTCTAAGATTAACTTGCCGCCAACTCCAGTCAAAGCAGTGTCAGCTCTGGCTGACTTGCCGCCAACTCCAGTCAAAGCAGTGGCAGCTCTGGCTAATGTACCTTCGACACCGGCTAAAATTGACTCGACACCAGTTATTGTTGCTGCAACTCCACCTGAATCTGCATCAACTCCTGCTCGACTCTTCAGTACATCACTCGCAGCTCGTACGCAGAAAAGAAACAGCGGTGACACTAGTCCAGATGATGTTTCTACTGACCCACCGGTTAAGCTCGCGAGGCGTTCATCACTAAGGTCGCTGAAATTCGATTCTCATACAGAGGACGAGGAAGCTAATGATGTGACAGATGAGGAAGACACTGTTCAAGTTCCAGAGGAAGATGTACTCAGTGATGATGAAATCCTTAGCATACTTCCTGATAAACTTCGAGAAGCGGTAATTAATCACATTATACTTTTCAAGTATGACATTTAAGAGGAACAAACTGTCTATTGTCTTTTGCTTACTGAGAGATAACTTTATCTTCTATTTGCTCGTTGCAGATTAAAGAACAAGAGAGGAAAGCTATTGAGGATCAAAATCCAGCAATCTCGCAGGCAAAGAGAAGGAGAAAGATGATTGCTTGTCTACCTAAACTTTTCAATGTCATCCATTACTTGATTCAATCAATAAGGCGTTGGGTTATCACAAAAGAAGATCTTGTGCACAAGATAATCGCAGGTCATGTTGATATTACCGACAGAAGTAAGCCTTTTAACCTCGCTTGAGTACCTCGAACTTTTCAGCGTTTGAAATATATCCTAATCATTCTGTTTTTCATTAACGTTTTGCAGGAGAGGTTGAGGAACAACTTGTCTTAATGCAAGAGCTCGTCCCTGAATGGATTTCTGAGAAAAGATCATCAAGTGGAGATTTACTAGTATGGTGAGTCCAAACATCATCATCATAACCAAATATTCTTGCTCATTTTTTTTCTGGGTTTATTTTCGATTGCTTATGTAAACATCTTTAATATGCAGCATCAACAAATTGGCATCTCCGCAAACAATCCGGTCGTGTCTAGAAGAAGAAAACAAGAAAGCTATGGCTTCACCGCTAACTTAAGATGGCTGAGTTTTATAGCGTTTTGGACTACTTAACATGCGAGAGCGAGACTATTCATAAGAACAGCGAGTAGAGAGACTAGGTATATTTTGAAGCTCAAGTGTGGAAGCGTAAAATGCTGAAAACAAGTATAGTTGAGTCTTGACAAAACTATTTAGGTGTTTTTTTAAATCTATTTTCGACCAATCAATCTATTTTCGACCATTCATTAGTAGATTGCATCTTTTGGATCAGAAACAGAACAAAACTAATCATGTAATCGTAAATAAACCATTCTCCTTTTGCACACTGTTAACAACTGTTTTCTAAATTCTAAAAAGTTGTCAGTTGGTATCAAACGCCGATGCGGGCCTAAAGGATTGATCGAGCCCTTTCAAACCAAATCTGAACGTACTTAAGGCTTTTATTGTGTGAGTTCTATTGGGTTTTTGGATTCATCAATCTTATTTTTGTTTCTCAAAAAGAAAGATTGTTTTCTAGAGTTGCTCCATTATCCTATTTCAAGTCTTTTCTAAACCATCTAACACTTTTTATACAATCGGAGTTGTTGACTGATCGTAAATAAGAAACATAGTATAATTTGAATCGGAATTTATATGACTTTTTCTCTCCCACTGGAATTGATATCACTTGAGTTCTAGATTAGCAATTAATACAAGCTATTTTCACTATTAACAACTAGAGGCCGGTCGTCTTTATTGACTCTACTCATCTTCTTTGCTACAAAGATCCACTTTACTCTGTCCAATGCCATCACTACACATGATTATAACATAATACAATATAGATAATCTACCATAGATAAAATAAGTGAAATACAAACATTAATACAAAGAGAGCCACATTATGACAGGGTAAAAAATGGAAGATGTCATTAGGTAAGCTACGCTTTAAAATTTGAGGGTAAGGAGCCATATTAAGGGCTCGAATATAAGAAAAACAAATGTCAGAAGAAGAAAGGAGGAGAAGAAAAAATGGAATTTGTATATATAGAGAGAGATTGAGTGAGATTTCTTTTTTCTTTATAAGGACAATAATTATTAGATTCCATAGATCTTGCATGGACCACAACTAGTCCCATCATACATTCCTACTAAGTCTCATTGTTTTCTCTTTCAAAAGCCTTTCCCAAACAGTAATAAACTAATATTATTATAAAAATATAAGATAAGAAGAAAGAAATACAAAAATAAAAAAGAATAATAGAGAGACCTTTGCCACTCTTTTAAGCAATTTCTGACCCAGTTCTCTTTTTAGAGAAACTTCAAAACCCTATGTTTCGAATCCATCTGCCTCTAATTTGTAAGATTCGTTTATTTTCTCTCTGTGTACAATGAATATGAATATCCCAAAGGTGGCCACCTTCGTTTTTTTTTCTCTCTTTGGTATTCTGCATAAATTTAAGTTTTAAATTTTTTGGAAACGATACGATATAGTTCCAAATTAAAAATCTGTACATTGAAATCTGATATTCTATAACCATATTAATTTTAATTTCTTATTTGAAATCGAGCTTGTAATATACATGATTTGCTAACATCACGTATGTCATCACATTCTTTTGTTATATTATTTTGTTCTACGTAGTTTTTTTTTTTGGTAAAATTGTTCTACGTAGTTATGTACAGTGATTTAATATATCACGTTATCTAAATTTTTAAAACTTTGAATACTCCTCTTCTGTTGTACACTGAGAAGTTTTATCCCGCCATTATCTTTGTCAAAGAGATATATTTTCGAATAAATTTTCACAGTGTAAAATAATAACTAAGATCAACGTTCGGGAATTAAAATAAAGATTGAAATGAACATTTTGACCATTGATGGGAACTTGCATGGCTTATCGATTACGGACCAACTCATCAAACGTTGTCCACTAAACATTATAATTATCAAAAGCTCTTTGATTTAAAACATAATTGAAACAATTTTACATACATAGGCGCATGCCAGATCTTATTAATGCCAACTTTCGGAAACATACGGAAATCAATTAAAATAAATTTTTGGGTGGTATAGAAAATTATGAATATCCAACAAAGTGCACCTAGATCTTGTTTTTTATTCATTGGCTCTCTAAATAGGTTATTCTGGAAATTATAAGCTCCGAGGTCACAGTTTGCAGGCGAAATGACTTTTATCTTATGTTTTGATAAAAGGCGAATTTAAACATGTTTAACTAAAAAAAAACAGAGATATAGCTAGTTTTTTTTATAGACGAAATAAAGAAATTCAACAAAGCCAGTTTGTACTTTATCGAAAGGGGAAAAGAAGTCGGTTTATTATCCAAATCGATAATCTCTCTGATGAGTTAATACGAAATGTAAAAATTAAGTATGCTATTGGCTTAAGGAACAAGATTATCAACGGAAGGTGACGACGTCATAATATTATGGTGAATCTTGTTGGGTTCGAACTTCGAACAATCTTTAATCTCAATGATTCAACGGCATTAATTTTATAAAGTGTGTTTACTGTTTTAGAATAACTTTGCAATATATATATATATATATATATATATATATATATATATATAAATTTACAATTGACATATAACTGATTAGCTAGAGAAATAAAGTGGGAACAAAAAATGATCAGTCCAAAGTCTTGTGGTCAAGTGGTAAGGGGAAGAGTTTGGGATGCTAACACATTTCAAGTTTGATCCACCTGCTATGCAAAACTCCAATATATTATTCTTAATTTATCTATAGGCTGTATTTCTCCCTCCAATACATTATTCTTAATTTATCTATAGGCTGCATCTTTCCCGGGGATTAGATTTACCCTGAGTTATCAACAAAAAAACAATAAAAAAAAAAGAATGATTAAAAATGAGGGATTTTGTTACTATTAAAAAAAATTAATATGGATATAAGTATGTGTGCTTAATTGAATTTCAGCTAAAGGAGTAAAAGATAAAAATGATGGAAAGGGGGAAAGGGATGTTGAGTTGGTGCGTTGCATTAGAACACACTGATGGAAACATGTCATGAAAGCATATAATAAGAGCCTCTCTGGATAAAATATAATGAGCAATCAATAGTGAAACACCATCATATTAATTTCTAAGTGGAACTCAAAATCAGATTATGCAACATTCCAAGATACTCTCTTTCTCAACCCTTGGGTTCTTAATGAACTTATCGAATAATCGACAAAAAAACACTTGTCAATTGCCAGTATATAAGTACTGAGACCAGTTAGAATACTGAGACCGAACATCCTAGTCCTACTCTAAGCATTGTATGTTCTCTCTGTTGTTTAATCTGCTTTTATAAACATAAGAATTGTCCATACTTCCATATTCAGTTTAAAGGGTAATTCTAAGTTTTGGCGCAGATACATATGATAAATTTAGTTATATGATTTTGGTTATACAATGGACCCGCAACCAAAAATAACATAGGCCAGCACATTCATTATTCGATAGCTATTTCCTTTGTCCAGAGATTATTATGGTAAGCAAGACAAAATGAGTGAGTATGAAAAAGGCATTGGATTTTTGTTGACAATACAAAAAGGGAAATAAAAGGAGCAGTATAATTAATCATAATGTGAGAATATGTATGGACAAGTTATAAAGTCCGATATGTTTCGACTTTAAATTGGCAAAATGAAATCATTTTCTTTTTAAATAAAAGAGCTGAGTATCCGCAAATTCATTTTGAAATTGGAATAAAGATTTAAAGTTTTGACACCACCAGTAATTGTTTAAAGAAACCATCTTCCGAATCTATAAGCAACATATATAGTATCAACATAACAATATAAATAATCTATAGTCTAAATTCCACAATATTAACTTATTTATAGTTAATTAGTTGAAGAATAAAGTTGGTGGACCAAAATTTGAGTTTTCCTTTACTAATTCGATTATAGTTGACTATTGTAGACGTTTTAAAGAACTTGTAACGAAACTTGCAATAAAAATCTGTTGATTAATTTGTATATGAGCACACTATACTTTTGTACAAAAATATGTAATAACTAGGGGCTGAACCGCGCTTCGCGCGGAATTTTGTATTGTATTTATTGACATATTTAAGAAAAAACTCTACAATATCAATTTTTTCATTAGATTTTGTATTTTAGTTTTTTATATATACTTATTGTATTTTATAATTTATATAAAATATTTTTAAAATAATCAAATAATATATCAATTAAAACTTTAAATCAATTTAGTTTATAGATATCTTTATATTTATGCGGGTTTATGATTTTGGAACATATACAATTCTTAATTGTTGCATTCAGGAAAAAAAATATATGTAAGAGGCAATTAATTATTTAAAAATATCTCAATTCCCTAACATATTTTCAAAATATATTCATAATTTTTTTTTTCTACACCCATTTCCCTCTCCATCTCCCTCTCCCTCTCCCTCTCCCTTTCCTTCTCACTATCTTTTTCCCTCTCACTCTCCTTTTCCCTCTCATGTTCTCTCTCTCATCAATGCAACATATTGAACCACACACAACATATTGGACCGGTTGAAATTTCTATTTTTCTCAGATTTTTTTTTTTTCTAGTCACTCTCAATGTCACATCTCTAAGCTCTGTATAATTTTTTAAGGGGAACTTCACCCATTTTATGTTTCAAAAATTAGGTTGAACATGTTAACATTTTGTGATACCACAATTTGTTTCACAAATATGCATTCTCACTCTCTATATTATTATTTAATTAGTCATTTTTAAAAATAATTTTTATTTTGTAAATTATTACATGATATTCTATTACAAATAACAAAAATAATTAAAATAGAAAATGATATAATTGTCACTTGAGCTTTTTGAAACTCGTGCAAATATTCCTAACCCGTCTATATGTATTTTAATTTTATAATTTATTATTCTAATTTTCTTTAAATTTATGTCTTTTGTTATATTTTAGTGTTTTATATCGGTTTTAAAACGAATTTGGATATTTTTAGATATTAAAAAATTTGGATCCGAGAATTTGTTTTTCGAATTTGACAAAACTGGATCCAAATCTGGCTATCTTAAAATTTTATGTTTTACTATACATATCTATTGAATCATATAAATAAAATAAATAATTTAAAATAATAATAACTAAATGCATTAATATATAAACTATTATTTATAAAGAGTGTCTATTCATATTCTTGTTATATTAATGGATGATAGTTATTATGAGAATTAAAATATAATAACACAAAATATAATAAATTATAAATTAATAAATGAATTGATGATGTGTCAAAATTTTAGAGTTTGAGAAAATGATGTGGCATCATGAGAAGAGAAAACATTTTACTTTATGTACATAAATAGATAGATATATAGTTTTTTTTTTTTATGAGAATGGAAGGTTAAGAAAGTGAGAAGGAAGCAAAAATTCACTTGGTGAATCATTTTGCTGGCCATTGATTACTATTTAGAAAGATCCTATCCTTTGAAAGTTTTCCACATAAAATCCCATAAACTCCTCTAAACACACCATCCCACTACCTCCCTAACATGCGCACATCAGCGCACGATTGAGCCTGATCGTTCCTCTCCCGTTGCTAAAATGAGCATGGTGCGTGATTCGCCCGCTTACTTGCTCGTTTTCTTCTTCGCCCCCTTTTAAAAAAGGAACCTCTTTTCGTTAGCTCTGTCTCGTTCTCTCTCTCTCTCACACACACACTCTCTCTCTTCTCTGTTGTTTCCTTTTCCGGCAGATTTATCGGCTGAGATTGTTAAGTTTTGTCTGAGTGATGCAGATTATGCTGAGATCAGCTCTAAAAGAGAATCAATGTCTTCTGACATAAGCTAAACTCTCTTTCTTACAATCCCTCTCTTTCTCTCTCTCTCTCTGCTTCCTTTTCTACTGACTTCTTCTTCTTTTGCTTCGAATTTCAATTCGTAATTTCTCCGGTGAAAAGTCTATGGCGGCTCAAGGCAGCAGATCTAGCTCGCTGGTCCAGTTTCCAACTGTCTGAAATTCCTAATTCTCCGGTGTTTTGTCTGAGCTAGGGTTAAAAAGTAGTTTCCTTTTTGGGATTTTCTTAATTCGGATTATTGGGAAAGGGATGGGTAGGAGGCAAATTTCACAGGATGAAGTAGGTCCGCCGATAAAACCAAGAGCTGGATTGCGAAGGGAACAAGCTGGAAGAGGTTCATACAGAGGTAGCTAGTAACTTTGCCGCTCATAGAAAGGAAAACCAAAAGAAAGTTTTTGTTTTTGTTTTTTTTTTTCGTTTTGTGCTTGGTGGGGAGAAGAAAGTGTACACAAGACTGATTTTTTTGCTCTTCAAACTTATAAAAAGAATCAAGAAAAGAGGTCCCTTTGTCTCTCTTGATTCTTGATTCGGACATTAGAAAGGGGGGCTATTTGATTCTTGCCGTTTAGAATGGGTTCTACTTACCAAGAGATACTGAGGAGCCTTTGCTCTAACACGGACTGGAAGTATGCTGTGTTCTGGAAACTTAATCATCGATCTCGAATGTGAGTTGTCTAAACGTTCCTTACAGATTGAATTGTGGTAATTGAGTTGGAGATGTATAGTCTAGATATGTGTATTCTCCATTCCAACTTGCTAGTGTGAAGGAACAGACGGAACTTTATTAGTATTTGCTGTTTCTGTACTTTTTGTTTTAAGTTTAGAGTTTGGTTGACCAGAATGGTTTCTCATTTCTAGAATGTTGAACATTTGTAGGGTACTTACCTTGGAGGATGCTTACTATGACAACCATGTGGTAAATAACTCACCGGATGCTAAGGATTGCGGCGTTATACCAAATAACATGCATGGAGGACATCAAGCACATGACCCCCTGGGTTTAGCTGTGGCAAAGATGGCTTATCACGTCTATTCTCTAGGGGAAGGGTAAGAATAAAATTACACACTCATCCTCGACTTCATATTTTCAACTAGGCTTTCATGTTAGAATGATGGGTGTCTAGCGTACGACACAGTCTGGCATGTGGTAGTTATAGTTTGCTATGCCTTTTTTTCTTCTTCTTTGTTTCTTTGACATCTACTCTACATGATGCAAAGGATTTGGTTTTGCCTTGAGACTTGATGCCAACAGGAGTAGTTGAATTGTTTTACTGAAGGAAGCCAAGAATGATTTTCTTGTTTTATCATGTCTATATTAACAGGACTGTAGGACAAGTTGCAGTTTCTGGAGAACATCAATGGGTATTCCCCGAATATTATGAAAACTGCCACTCACCATTTGAGGTTAGGAACTTCATATCTCGAGTTGATTTTTTTCTTATAATTTTCATGTTTTCAAACCAGATATCTTTTTCTACTTACAGTTTCAAAATGTCTGGAAGGGTCAAATATCTGCTGGAATAAAGGTATATGAGAATTCTTTTAGTGTTAATTTTTTCTGCTCTGTTACATGGACTTTCTCAAAGTTTGCCGCTGAAGACTTTCTTTTCATAAGATCTGTTCTTCCTTTTTCGCAGACCATTCTTGTAGTAGCTGTTGGCCCCTCTGGAGTTGTGCAGCTAGGCTCTTTGCGTAAAGTAAGTAAGATCATATAATTGGATGCAGTGTTCGCATTTACAAAATAATAGTTAGGTATGAATGTATCTGGTCTTATTGTGTGTGTGTGTGTGGAGCAGGTTGATGAAGATGTGACTTTGGTGAATCATATCCGACATATGTTTTTGGCACTAAAGGATCCACTAGCAGATCATGCAGCAAATTTAATGCAATGTTATATGAACAATTCGTTGCGTCTGGTAAAGATCTTCTTCATACAAATATGGATTCATGTTTGTCCAGATTTCCCATTATTGCAAAATGGGGAGAGTAGGGTGGTTAGGTTTCTTTTAACATTTCCTCAGACCTCAACTGACTTCCGGAGTAGGACCATGATGTGTTGTGTAATTTTGTTGCAGCCAAATATACGTTCTGAATGTTCACATGTCAAGGCTTTCCCTGATTGCTTTGGAGAAGTTGACAAAGCTATGGATGTGGAAGAGTCAAATATTCTAACTCAATACAAACTTAGAAGAAGTGATAGCATGTCTTATAATACCCCTTCCTCATATCTTCTCACGGAGAAGGCAGCTCAAATAATTGGAGATCGTGAAACTGTGAAAGGATCTACTTGTGGGAGCTATAGCGGTGTTACGTTTGGCTTTCCAGTGGACCTGGTTGATGCCAGGCATGAGAATCAAGTAGGTACAAATATAATCAGTGATGCACCTCACGTGGGGATGACTAGTGGCTGCAAAGATCCAAGAGGATTAGATCCTAATATACATCATCATGTGCTCAACAACACAAGTTCATCTGCTTTAGCAATGGAGGCTGAAAGATTGATTACAAGCCAATCATTTCCAAGCCTGGACTCAACTTTTCATACTTCATCAACAGATAAAGAAAGTCGATTTGATGCGTTGGTCTCATCAAGGTATGCTTTTGCTGGCAGCGAGCTGCTAGAGGCATTAGGCTCCGGTTTCAAGCAAACGAGCAGGGGTCATGAGGAGCTAGCGACGTCTGAACATGGTTCAACAATAAGACCAACAGATGATATGAGTCATAGCCAGCTTACGTTTGACTCTGGCCCTGAGAATCTTCTAGATGCCGTGGTTGCCAATGTGTGTCATAGCGATGGCAATGCCAGGGATGATATCATGTCGAGCAGATCGGTACAGTCAATGCTTACCAGCATGGAAATTGCAGAACCTTCAGGTCAAAAGAAGCATATTATTGTTAATCCAATTGATAGTGCTATGAATCAGCTGCCACCGGCAGAGGTGGATAGGCAACAGAATCCATCAGATATCTGTGGGGCATTTTCTTCCATTGGGTTCTCATCCACGTGTCCCAGCTCCTCTAGTGATCAGTTTCAGGCATCCCTGGAGATGCCCAAGAAGAACAAAAAGAGGGCTAAACCTGGCGAAAGTTCTCGGCCTCGCCCAAGAGACAGGCAACTCATTCAGGATCGAATCAAGGAACTTAGAGAACTTGTGCCTAATGGATCTAAGGTGACTTTTCTCTTCCTAGCTATAAGGTTACTTCCACCATTGTAGGGTGTAGTATTTTAAGTTGGATAAAGTTGCCATTGATTTTGTCGTTTCTGTTTCGAGAAGCTATTAATTTTGTAGTTGCCAGTGTTTTTTGCTATTTGCTAATAATTTTGTCATATTTTACAGTGCAGTATTGATTCTTTGCTAGAACGCACGATCAAGCACATGCTGTTTTTGCAGAATGTTACTAAGCATGCTGACAAGCTCAGTAAAAGTACTAATACAAAGGTAAAAAAGTCGGATTTCTTGATACTAATAATCTCCTTTCTATCCTTGAAAATTCTGTTCCCAGCCTCCATATTTTATATATGAATCGACATATGAGGCTGTTATGTTTGACTGATTGATATAGCAAATACTGGGACAATTTTCTGAATCCCTTAATGGGAAGATATAATGGGCACAAAAAAGCTCAACAGGAAAGAAGTACGTACCTAAATTAGCTTTTACCTTTGTTTTCGCAGATGCAACAAAAGGAAACTGGCACGCAAGGTTCAAGCTGTGCAGTGGAGGTTGGTGGCCATCTTCAAGTGTGCTCGATTATCGTGGAGAATCTGAACAAGCAGGGGATGGTGCTTATCGAAGTATGTAATCTTTTTTTTCGTTTAATTTAGTCTTTGTTTGAACTTCAGTCCCAAGTCCCATAATTCCTAGAGCTAAAATGTTTTGGGTTTTGGACAGATGTTATGTGAAGAATGTAGCCATTTTCTTGAGATAGCAAATGTGATCAGGAGCTTGGATCTCATCATCCTAAGAGGCATCACCGAGGCTCAGGGCGAGAAAACATGGATATGCTTTGTAGTTGAGGTAAGAGTCCAAGTTATTTACTTCATGAAAGATAATCGAAATCTTTCTCTTGGGTTTTGCTTGAACATTGGATTGCTATCAGAGACTAATATCGATATGGTCGTATGAATGGCAGAGTCAAAACAACAAAGTAATGCAGAGGATGGACATTTTGTGGTCTCTGGTGCAAATATTTCAGCCAAAGGCTAATGGCAAGCGGTAGCAGCAGCAGCCTTGGTTGCAGGACTTTGCGTTTAGATGAGATAAACAGAGAAACTGATGTGTGCTTTGTACAGTGTTGTTGTGAGTTTTGCGTTTTGTTTGTTTGGGTTTTTTTTTAAGGTATAAAAATAGTTCTTAAAAGTGTGCCTTGTTGAATTCTTGGTGTGTTTGTTTATGATTTGCATTTTGTTTTGCTTTGGAGTTTGGACTCTTTGAAAGTATAGCAACTATCAGTGTGCCAGATCTTATAGAATGTTTTTTCGAGAGCAACATGCACAGTGAAGCCAAGCAAATACCGAAACTCAAACATGAAACTCATAATATAGTTTTTGGACTCCCTTGGAGACAGAAGTGTATCAAAGGTTGCAACTTGCGAGTTCCTGTAATGGGAAACAATGAGGATTGTGTTGGACTTCGGAACTTTGAGCTCCAATCTATTCCAGAAACCATCTGCAAGACTTATAAAATAATCAGGAAACTGTCTTCATGGTAATAAGATAAGTCAAATCAGTTTCCTCATATATCTTCTTACAGGCCAAGTTATTATAAATCATTCATATATAATTCTAAAACCAATGTTTTCGTATATGAATGATTGTTTGTCTAACCGCCAAGGGAAAAAGATGAGAGATGGTTGTTTGTCTTTTTGACTCTTTTTTTTTTGTTCTAAGGCTAAATCAAATTTCATTTTCGTAATTACACCAAGAATATAATAAAAAAATAAAAGCCAAATTTAAAACAAACAAAAAACAGCCAAATTTAAAAACAAAAATAAAAAGCTCAGACCATCCCATCGACAACAAGAGCCTGCCTCTCTTCTTCCTCCTTGGAACTTGGAACAGTTTCGAGCGATCGTCGAACAATAAGGATTCTTATAGGTTAGCATTCGATTTTCTTCTTCCTTCGATTGTTTCTTTGATTGAATCATTCTGTTTTGTTAGAGTTTAGGGTTTGCTATTGTTACGAAACCAGATAGGATCGTCGAAATCACCGCTCAATTTGGAAATAATCTCTGTGTTGATATTGTCCTTCTCATAGAATTCAGAGTGATTAGATTCAGATCTCCAAAGGAATGAAATTTGGGGTTTAGAAATAGAATCTGTTTTGCTTTAGCTTATACCGATCCAGAAGAAATTGTCGACCACCAGATTCTCTGCTCAAATCAGGTTCGAAACCCTAAAGATTTTCTCTCGAGACACACAGCAAGACACAGCCTTCGTGCTCTTGCCTCTTTTATGTTAGTTTTTTTTGGGGTCAATCCAATTTTAAGGTTAAGTTTCGTCCTAATGGTACATGTTTTCCAAATACATGAAAGACGACTACAAGCTAAACATGTCCTGTAGCATCTAGAACTTGAACTACTTCACTTAGGATTGATTGTTTCGTGTGAATTCATCTTTGGCTTCACTCTGTTCCATTCTCTGTTTTCTATCTATTAGTCAATTTGGGACTTTTCTCATAAAATCTCTGAGATACAACCTCACTAATCTTTTCAGAAACCACTCAATTTTAGTTGTTCGACATTTCACTTGATGAACAACGGTTTCATTTTTTATGCTTCTCATTGGATGTTGGCTTTGCTGAATCTATTCTAGAGCAAAGAAACAAATATTGAGCAGCAAAGATTGATCCTTTTTTTTGTTTTTGTGTGTTTTGGGTCTCCAAACGCAGATATCAGAAAGCTAGCTTGAGCGATGAGCACAACGACAAGGCCTTCGTCTTCAGGGACAACCTCTGTCATCTTAGAAAACCCTGTCTCTCAGTCACAACCGACAGAAAGATTAGTGCTTCGGTTGAACAGGAAGAAGAAGAAGGTTTCATGGAAAGACGGGACCGTGGATAACGAGTTCATGCAGAAGAAGAGCTCAAAGAAATGTTGCATCTTTCACAAACAGAAGCCCTTTGATGAGGATGACAGTGAAGATGAAGATAACAATCATCACCACCATCATGATCATGATCATAACCATCAACACTCGGATGATGCCTCTTCTTCTAACGATTCTAAAGCAGTTGACTAAGTCAATTGGGTTTTTTTCACAGCACTATATAAAAGCCTTTTATGAGATCATGTAAGAACACTAATTCGTAGTTTTGGATTTTGATCGTCTTCTCTTCTCCTACCTAAACCCTGGTTGGGCTTTATAGTATAAGTTACATGTAATTTGCATATCCTATTTGCACTGTAATGGCATTATTCATTGCAATTAATGTTGATGATATTAACTACTTGAAAGCTCTATTGACTGTTATGTTAATTTTCAGATGATGATTTAATAATGTATGTGAGGAACTTTCTCTACATAATGTGATGTCTATTGTCAATTTCATTTCTTAAAACCAAAAGAAAAAAAAAATTCAAGAAAGAAACATAAACTAAGCTATGATAATATTTCACGAAAGAGGTTCGGTGAGGATTCATGTTTTTGAGATACACGGAGCTGTATTATAGTCTTCTAATCAGTAAAACTTGATGAACTGATGATGAACTGATGAAGAACAAGAGCAAGGCTTTGGTGGTCTTGTTTTGTTAGCTTATATGCGGTATTAAAAGAAAAAGACGCTAATTCATACAGAATTAATAATATCATTGTTCTAATTTTGTACAAAACCATTAATAACAAATATCATAACAAATAAATAAAAATAAAAGTAAGTAACAAAATTTTCATTATAAAACACAAATTTTTGCTCTCTTTTTTTACAAATTGTTAAGTGGTTCTTTTTTAAAAAAAAAAACACCACTAACCAAACTTTTAAAACCAAAATTTTTAATCAAATTTTTTTCGATTGACTAGATAGTCAAGTCATTCAATCTGTCTTGTTAAATACTCGAATAAATAAAATTCATAAGACTATAATACATATTTAAATTTTCAAATCATATTTTCTTAAAGTAGATAAAGTAGCCACTTATTTGAAATTTGTTTGTAATTTACTCTAAATCACAAATAAAATTAAATCTAACATTAGATAAAATAAATTTATAACAAACAAAATCAGTAAATACCAATTGATTATGTAGTTGTTGTGGAAAATAAAATGCAAAATCTTCAAAACTTCAACGATAAAGAAGAATGAGGAGAATTTTTGAAAGCTTAATTTGTCTAATTGATTAGAATTCTATAGGATACAATGTTGTCTTAATTTAAATTCCATTGCTTAATTAATTTATTAAATTGCTAATGTAAACAAAACTCATGTTCTTCTACTAATATTAAAAAATAAAAGTTAACAATGAATCAAATGAACTCTTCAAAACAAAAATATTAGAAAACGGGCCATATCCAATGTTTATTTTCTAAACCAATAGGCACGGCCTATGGGCCCAAGAAGCTATGCCTCAACAATGTGGACGCGTCTTTTCTCTCAGCGGGATCAGGCGAGAAGCAAGTCATGAGAAAGAGCTTTGCATCAACAGCAAGATCACTCGGAATCAGTGGCTCGTAACACTTCTTCAGACTCTTCAAGTCATAGTTTGTATGCCACCAAGGTTTCTTTCCAGTGTACATCTCCAACACAACACATCCCAACGACCATAGATCAAGCCCTTTCCCTGTCTCGCCGTGAGAAACCGATTCCGGCAACATATAGATCGGTGTTCCCGCGTAACGACGGCGAGGCTTCCACCAGCTGCTGTCTCCATCTCTTCTCGACAATCCGAAATCAGAAATCTTCAACTCGTAAGAGGTTCTTCTCCACCCGTTCTTGCTGACAAAGCTCGGAAAAACGAGGATGTTGTCTGGTTTGAGATCGCAGTGGACATAGCCGTGTCCGTGGATCGTGGCTAAACCTTCGAGAAGCATAAGAGTAAACTTCCTGATGATATAATCAGGCAACTTGTTGTCTTTGAAGCTTTTCAAGAAACTCTTCAAGCTTCCTCCAGCTGCGTACTCCATTGCGATCGTGTACTCTGAGTCACCTGCGTAGTTGATTCTCTCTTCTTGCACTCTGTCCACGTAGCACTGGACGATTCTTGAACATCCTTTGAATTTAGACAGGATCTCAAACTCTCTGTGCAGAGCATCGGAGTGTTTATCGTCGGAGGTTTTCACGGCGGCGTAAATCGTCTTGCCGTCGTGTTGCCCTTTGAATAGACTCACTGTACCATAAGAACCTTTACCGAGAAACTTTTCGAAGTACATGGCCATTGCAAATAGGTCAAACAATCGATTCTTCTGATACCTTAGACACCAAGCTTTTTAAGCGAATGTGTCAGGTCTCAAAGAACAAATATTTTTATACTGTCATATTTTCCTTTTTAACGGGAAGTTCAGATATGGAAGAAAAAGGAAAAATCAAATTAGATAACGTTGTGGATTTTAGTGTGCCTCTCGTTAATCTTTATCAAATAAGTCACATTAGAATATTTCAAGATTTATTTAATACATAATCTATAAGAATCAATTGTATAACAGAGAGATATAATCTGAAAATTGCAGTAACTCAAGGTGAACTCAACGAAAAGTACAAATCTGAAAAAGGAAAAAATGTAAAAACTGATTTACTAATCAATATTCTATAGTTTTTTATTTAATCTATTTGCTTTAACTCCATCCAAAACACGTTTTCCGTTTGGAAAAGGAAACTCTAGTAGTATAAACTTAGCCAGTATACATCACTAAATCGAGATATAGATGAGATAAACATGTTATAAAAAAAAGGAGAAACATAGGATAATTAATTATTAATGGGAGAATTGGTTTTATAATGCTAATTGAATTAGAATTTGTCCCCTTAATGTTTTTTAAATAAAATTTATCCTTTAATGTTTAATTTAAATTTAATCAAATTATACTTTTTAATTACGAATTAATAAATTAATTTATTTTAAAAAAATTTTATTAATAAAAAAAGAAAAAACAAGTAGAAAAGACTTTCTATCAAGCTTAAAAATTACATTGTAGTACGTTGTAGTCAAAATTATGCTTCATCGCAAAAATTTCCAAAGAAGCTTTCAACTCTGTTTTGCTTCTAAAAATTTGATCCTTCTTTACAACATCAAGCAAGTTAAGCCGAATGTTCTTCTCACCGTCAACTTTGTTGTCAACCATAACTGGTTCATCAAACTCTTCCTCCACTTTATGGCCAATGCCTCTAATATCATCATCGCCTGACTTCACAACCTGATCGTTTTTCATACAGCTTGAATCAGAGGCTTTCTTCATCAATTCGATGAGATTGTCCAGCGTACGCGGTGAATGTCACACACAAATATACCGAGGTTTTATTCCCAGAGTACCCAACAAAATTTTTGAGCTGACAATCATTAGCGATACTCACTGGTGGAGAGCCTACAGTATCAATCAAATCACTCGGTAGATAACTAAACTCAGCTTTGTGATTGACTACTTCATAGTCTTCTAGAACCATTGTTTCTAACTCTGCGAGAGTCGTATTTGATTCAACAGCAACTAACCTAGCTCCTTTTTCTGCATCAGCCACAAAAATCCACTTCTTATCTGTCCCTGATTTCCATGAACCATAAGTCACATAGATATGTAGCATGTTTGAAGCAGAAGACATGTAAACCTAGGGAAAATCTGCTTGGTCAATGTGAAAGAAGAAGAAGAGAACGATGACAGCCAAAAAAAAAAGAAAAAAACGTCAAAACTGATAAAAAACGTTGAAAATTAAAAAAATAATAATAATAAGATTTTCAAAATTTTTAAGATCTTTGAAATTAACTAATTTTCCTAGATTTTCTCAGATTTTGGTAGAAGATGTATTCTACGTTAATGTAGAACGAAGTCTAACAGGTAGAAGATACATTCTATGTTAATGTAGAATGAATTCTAACAGGTAGAAGAACCGTTCTACAATAACGTAGAACCTGGTCTAACAGGTAGAAGATGTATTCTATTAACATGTAGAATATAGTCTATCCAGTAGAAGTTATAATCTACCAATCGGTAGAATATATAAAGACCTATAGAAAACGACTTATATAGGCTGGTAGAATATGTGAAGAATTATATAAATGTGATTCTACGTGGACGTAGAACATAGAACATGCATTCTACTAAGCGTAGAACGAATTTTAAAAATATTAGAAAAATATTTTTTTTCCATAAATGATATACAAAAATATTTTTAATTTTTTTTTAGATATTTTCAAAATTTTTAAAATATAGTTTCAAATTTATATTTAATTATAACTGCCATAACTGATTTAAAAGGGTAACTATGTCAAAAAATGACAAAAAATAGAAAACATTAAGGGGACAAATTCTAATTCAATCCACATTATAAAACCAATTCTCCAATAATTAATAGCTAAATAAATGTTCATACAAAAAAACTAAATAAATGTCTTGATTACAACTTCATTACTTCACCAAGGTTTTTTTTCTTAATGCGTTCGTGGTTGAAAATAGACACCGTTAAAAGTGATGAACAATTAATATCTTTAAAACCATGTCGTAACAAAAATTGGTAGACATACATTATTAAATTTCTTAAATTTTTTAGTTTAGTTTTTTTAACGTTATGTAAACTTTGTGGTCTCGCGAGTTTAGTTAAAATCAGATGCAATATTGTGTTAAGAGCTATACTCAGGCTATAGAGTTATAGTGGTTAGGGTCATTGATATGCAAATCATATAATATAATACTACATTTTCATGGATTTGGGGCGGAGAATTTGCTTATAGTTTTAGCTTAAAGGAAATTTTACACTTACGTTGGGGATAATTTTACACTTAATATCATTTCTTAAATTATATGAAGCTTAACCCACGAATAAGAAGCTAGCTAGTTTTAAAAAAAAAAAAAAAAAAAAAAGAAGCTAGCTAGTTTCAATATGTAATTGGTGAAAGCAACTACATTCTACACCTATGGAGGGTAAAAAGTATGGGAAGACACACATTTAAAAACGCAAACAAAAATATCTCTGTTAAAATAAAAAATCAACATGAATCTTATACTTCTGGATTGATTTTTGTTTTGTTTCTTGCGTCGGATCTCCGAACTCCATTATCTGACTATTTTAATCTTCACTAAACCAACATTAAGTCATAAATCCACTATCAGTTGTTCATTATTTTTGAATAATTTAACTTTTTGTACTTAGATCAATTATTTTGGAATATTTTTGTTGATATAATCATGATTCATGATTGTTATGTGGGCTGGATAATCATGGGTCTCTATTTTCTAGCCTGTAAAGTTTGATCGAAACTGAGAGTGTTGCAAATGTTTAAATCCATTTAGAATTGTTTCATAGATTAACAATATCAACCTTCCCTTTGTGTTCGTCCAAATTTTCAAACAATGAAGAAAAAACTATATAGATATATATTATATTATTATGTCAATTGTTTATAAATAATTAACTATACAAACTCGTATTCCTCTAACTAGTGCATATTATTCACTTTCGTATTCATTAAAACAGCAATACAAATTTGAGTAAATAATGAATAAAAAGGCTATAAGTACTATATACCAATCAAAACAAAAAGCAAAATGGGTTTGGTTCATGTTTACTCATTGTTTTGTCCTATACGTCAACACAATCTCTCAGTTGATCGGATCTCAATATTAATATGGTTTTTTTTCCGTCAATAATATTAATATTGTTTTCTCTCAATATTTTCTAAAATTCTCCTCCTCAAAAGGTTCAACACAATTACATATAATAAAGAGATATTTTACAATGTACATAAACTTGATGAAAAAAAAAGAAGCAGCAATTTTGTAATTGTACGCCATTAGAGAGACAAATATGTAAAATAAGAAATGGAGTTGATAAATCCCACTCTCCTCTGCATAAAGACCGCATGCACCACTATATATAATCGTCATTAATAGTATTAATCTTCCTCCAAGATAGTATTTGATTTTGTTATATATTATTACATTTTGAGAATGGGTGGTTTAGGTTCACCATGTGGAGGATGCAAGTTCTTGCGTAGGAAATGTGTTGAAGGTTGTGTATTTGCACCATACTTTTGCAACGAAGAAGGGTCTTCTAATTTTGCAGCCATTCACAGAGTGTTTGGAGCTAGCAACTTCTCTAAGCTCATTTCTCATCTCCCTGTTCATGACCGTTGTGAAGCCGTACGAACCATCTCTTACGAGGCTCAGTCTCGTCTCCATGATCCTATATACGGCTGCGTCTCCCAAATCTTCTCCCTCCAGCAACAGGTTTGTTTTCTTATAATTATTCGCTTAATTATGATTAATAAACGAGTTTTTGTTTTAATCATCAACTCTAGTGTGCTTACAAGTTGCTTGACTTGCTTGTGTGAGTTAAGGTTGTTAGTCTACAAGCACAAGTGGTCCTTCTTAGAGAAGAAGCTTGTAGAAAGTTTCCTCAAGAGAATTGTATGGAAGAAGAGAAGGTTCTAGCTCAAGATATGCCCCAAGATCTTCACAGTTGGTTTCATCAACTAGTCTCGAACTCCAACCTTAACCAGATGAGTGATATTGCATCAACGTCCATGGATAAAAATGAGTCGTTTTGTAGCTCAAATGAATCTCTTTACTACCAGGAAGTCATGTTTCCATGGCCTGTTTGAGTACAAGTGACTAGCTTGTGAGAGATTGGAACTTTTACATTCTTGTAGAATCTTCTTTACTATCGACTTTTCGACTTTTTGCATCTAAGAAATCAGATGTTCAAAAAAAAACAAAAAAAAAGCATCTAAGAAATTGAATCAGCCAATCATTTTTCTTTGAATATAACCGCTTCTTCAATGATCCATTCATAGAACCAACAGTATTTTTAAACAAGTGGCCAAAAAACTGGTTAACTGAGAAATAGCATACAAAATGTAATGTAGGCTGTTTTAAGACCAAACACAACTACAAAGCCAGAGAAACAAAAGCTAAGTCTTCATTCTGAATTCGATACCCCAGAAGACAGTTAGTTACAAAAGTTGTGTCTTTATAATGGATTCGATTTCCCAAAAGACATTTTAGTTAACAAAAGGTTTCTTCCTGTTTGGTTTCGAGCTCATCTCTTGTGCTTAAACCTTACTTTCAACAAGAACTGCAACTTTACCTGTCCAAAGACAAAAAAATATTTGTCAGAACTGTACACACCATTAAGCATATAACTATAAGAACCAGTAACAGTATATGTCGCAAAAACAAAGGCAGACTATTCCAAACTACTCGAGTTAGACAACAAGAACAGGGACGAAAAAGATTTGCCAAATAATCCTATTGTAAAACGGTGCAAGATATAGGGAAATGAACAAGGAAGATTATTCGGAAACAGAAGTTACCTGGGCTGTATTATAGACGATATACTCGTTGTACATAAGCTCAGACGCCTTGACCTTCGATGAAACTGGTTTTCCACAAGGAACAGTCACATCATCTCTCCACTTGGCAAAGTCTGAATCCTGAGGCACTTTCTTGCCAAGCCCTTTGGTGGAGTGTTTCCCTCTCGGAGGTTTATCCATGTACTAAAGAATTGTAGACATAAGAGAACAGTCATATAAGAAGGCAAGAATATGATAAGTTATGCGCTATAGTCTCGAGTTAAGGACCAAATGGCAAGTAGAACAACTTTGAAAATGCCATTTGGCTCACCTTGGCTTTTGTTAGCTCGTGTACTTCTCCCAATGCAACTTCACTCAGAAGCATTAGACCCACAGGGTTTTCCTTACAAGTGTAGCAGTACTGGGCACTTTTACTGACAAGGTCAGCGAAGTAAATCCCCTTGCCAAACTGAAACACGAGATTTGAAGGAAGTTCAGATTCTCCAACAAGTCAACTAGATTGCAATGAGCCCTCAATAGACAAGCATAAGTACAGAGAGAGTACTTACCATGTAGCCAGTAGCAGGAGCTTCTGGAGGCGCAATTCTCAGTCCTTGGTTCAGAATTCCAACAAAATTTGTCAATCGTGAACCTGAAAGCAGAGTTATTGTGGTGATCAAACATGTAAACATAGAATCAACAAAAAAAATTAATAAAGGAAATTCAAGTATCTGCTCCCAGAATCAGATAACTGTGGCTGGTTTTCATTTGGCTTACCATGCCATAGGAGCATCTTATTGCCAAGTTTTTCTCTGTAAGGAGAATATTTATCAAACTCTCCTTCTCTTTCAAGAGTAAAAACTTCCTCCAGCTCAAGACTCCACTCCTGCCAAATCCAATAAACAGAAAATGAATACGAAGAACTATGACAAGCACACATATAAAAGAAAAGAAAACCAGAACTTGAACTCACTGTATGTGTTGGGGCATGTGTTGTGTTGAGATACTTCTCTATTAACCGGTAATCGTTACTGTCATGAGGAAGTGGTGATATATCACACTGCAATTTCTTGTACTTATCATCAAGAGATTCAGAGCTATCAACATCAAAGCCAACTAATCTTGAAGCTATTTCGATATCCTGCAGAGCCTCGAGCATTTTCACCTGACATACAGATGCAATACCATTTTTTTGTAACGCAGAATAAAAGGCCAAGAATAAAAAACCAACACCATGGATCATGTTCTACAGCGAGTACCTTTGACTTAAAGTCATCTTCATCTCGGATAATATGAGGATGAATAGAAGGGATCATGGTAAAAAATCTATTGCTAGCATCAACAAGCAAGTTCTCTTTGATAGAAGACTGGGGGTCGCTTTCAGTCAATAGCTTCTGTATCTCCGTCAATGCCTCAAAACCTATATAAGAGCACAAGCAAAAACGTAATTGAATGTGATGTAGAACGAAGATTTCATCATCTTTTTTTTTAGAAAAAAAAACCTAAAACTAGACAATTAGGAGTTACCCTTCTGTATATTATGTTTGCTAAGTTTCCCAAGTGGCATCTCTGACATATTTATCTCGAACTCCATCATAGCAGCTCTGTGGAGGAAATAATTTGATTACTTTAAACAGTTTTTAAGGAGACGAGAGAGCGATAATGGTAAATAAATTTCTAACCGGTATGTTTCCACATCAAATAGCATCTTCATCAATTCTACTAATGGAGGAGCAAGGTTGCTAGTGGTCTGAACTGGCTCTTTTTTTGCTACTTGCTTGTTAACTCCATAATCCTGACACAAAAGATCAAAAATAGAATATGAAGATTTTTAAGAAAATAAGAGAATACAAAAATCCAAAAGAAATGAATGCTTAAGAGAAATTACAATGTCCAATGGGAGAAATTTTCCAGGTTGCTTCTGGAAATTCGTTCTTTGTTCCCAAGATTCCCATGTGTTTCCAGTCTTTTCAAGAAATAGACGTTTGAATTCGTGAACTGCATCAGACTTTGGCATCTCTTCCAGTTTGTTACCTCCAATTTTTTCATTTCCAACTCGGCCCCATTTACGAAATACGTAGCAATCTGAACCTTTATCTTCTTGGATTATCTGGAGTATGTAATAACTATTGACACCGGTAGAAAGATCAGACATGCTCAGAGTTGTGTTATAGATACTGTTCCCATCTTCAAGGATGTGACAATGCTCTTGGAGGCCAGACGCTTCATGCACAGCACTTCGCCCTTTTACTTTAACAGTGACAATGCTCTCACCAGCGTCTTCAATTTTGTACTTGTCAAATGAAAGCTTCCTCTGCTTTTTAAAACATTCGACCAAATAATCCTCTCTAACGGTTGCCACTTTCAGCCTCCTGCCACATATATAACAACACCAGCGTTAAAAGTGAGAGCGAAAGAGTGAGATGAGTTACAGTGGAGGCACAATAAAGGCATTCTTCTACCTTGCCTTTCTCAATTCAGCATCATGCATATCTGTCGGGCCACAAACAACCAAACAGCTTGTACCTGCAAATTTGTGAAACAGATACATATTTTAAAGCAAAAAACACGTTCATAATAGTCTAAACCCTCAAGTAACACACATACCTTTTTTAACACTAGCATGATACTCTGCACCAGCTTCCTCAATTTTCTTCTTCCATGCTTGCTGCAAATGATCCCATCAAGCAATGAAGTGCAAAGATAATTGGAACAATATTTGAAGGAGGGACATACGCGTTCCTTAGAGGATCCAGCAATTGAAACTTTAAGATCATCCAGCTTTTCACTCCTTGAGGAACCAGCTGCAGATTTAGAACCTTGAGACGTTCCACCAGATGATATAGGGTTCAGAATACGTTTTGGCTTCACACTCGTTTGCGACTTATTCCACTGCAAGGAATCAGAAGACAAAGACAAACTTAATGCCAGTTACACCAAATATAAACTAGCCCATACCGATACCAACTCTACAAGACGACTGATTTACCTTTAGAAGGAACTGATTTTCTGTCTCCTCAGGGATTTTCCACTTCCCTTTGATGCGGTCTGGATCAGAAGTGGAATGAGAACACTTGCTCCATTCCGAGATGTAACCATGGCACTGGTAAATTCCTCCAGAAAAAGAAAGATGACCAGAGCAAATTGGGCAGAGAGCGAGTGGACCAAACATCATGCCATCAGCACTAAGAAGGAAGCAAGAAGGATAGTAGAGGTCAGAAATACGAATACGCATCAGACTGTCTGATCCAAACTATCTTTTAATAATATCCCACACGACTAACGGAAATAAAACAAAAGACACTTCAGAACGTCTTTCCCAAGTGATTTACTTCAACACAGCTTAGCAATGTACCTTACCATTTATCCCGCAGATCAAGTTCTGATCCTCTTGTACTTTGTTCATTTACTTCAAGCATTTCCCGTAACTCAGCTGTTGTCACATATTTTTTCAGGTCATCCTTCAGGTCCCACAATTCCTTAATCTGGGCTTCCATTTCCCTTTCTTTGCTACAAGGTTGTAAAGCACCGGTTGTAGACATGTCAAAACTTGTCTTAGCTAGTTTTGACTTCTGGTTCTCGTTATCACCAGAATAATTTCTTCGTTTTGTGCCTGCTTTTGTTTGACGTGCTTCTGCTGTATCTGTCCCAGTTGTCAAGAGAAAAAGACATCAGACAATGATACAGCAACCCAGGCTTCTGTATCACGGAATTGAATTTATCACCAAACAACTTAAGACTCTTACCAGTTTTGGCTGCAGGCGGAGCTTTGTTCACCAAGGGAAGAAGAGCTTCTTGGTCTGAGCCTGGTATGCTTCCCCACCCAGACAAACTATCGAGTTCAGTAGAGGAAGACATTTCAAGGAAACATTTTGCGTGGTACCACATCAAACCCTTGTTACCGGGGCCTTCAGGCTTAGAGAATATACGCACCTGAAAAGCCAAAACAAGTTCATAGAACAAGCTACAACCACTGAGATCGTATAAAAGATGAAGTAGAACAACACCTTACCTCTCCTTTCAAGATTTTGTCACTACACTTTCTGCAAGCAGCACGAGAAGTTTGTGACACTTCAATCCCATATTCTAATTTGGCATTACCACCGCTGCTACTCGTGCTCGTGCTATTCCCTGCCCCAGATTCGACATATTCTCTTATCTTTTGCTGATCTTCCCAACGAAGTGATTCTAAGCCTTCAACATCATCAACTCTAACAAAACCAAGAGACAAAAAAAAGTTTAATAGCTGAACGCTTTTAATATCTCCACTAAGTGACATTGGTTTTACATACGATTTTATCTGCTTCGTTTTCTTCAGTATACAGGCAGCATGGTGCCACATCTGCGTGAGAACGATAAAAGTACAGAGAGGATATGTTAGTTTGAAAACCTTCATGTCTAGTGGAGCTAAAGCAACATACAACTAGAATGGGGAAATTAAGCAGAGCAAGAAGAAGGAAGTAAAATTATAATTTACGGTTCAAGTGTAAAGAACAACAATCAAAAGTCTATTATAAAGCTCAAGAAAATGATTATGATCATCCAAACACAAAAAATAAACTGAAATCGCATGAATATGAAACTGTCACGAGAAAAAGAGCAGTCCACATATGCCATTACCAAAAGCACGAATCTTTTGCAGTCATCAAGAACTACATAATAAACTCAAAAGTGACAAAATTTATAGCTTCAAAAGCTGATTAATCATGTTCGATTAGGCATAAAGGAACAAAGAACACTGTGTGAGTAGAACAAACAGCTTTTTTAAAAGTGCGAAAAAAAAGGCTCCAAATTGAGAAAGAAAACAAGCTTGAGACGCAAAAGTAGACCTAGAAATAAACCATACGCAAATAAAAATCGCAATGTACAGGAATCAGGATGAGTAAAAGAAAACCCTCGTCGTCAATTCCAACGAAAAAAACCCTAAAAGAGGTAACTTTTATGGTCCAAAATTGTGGAAGAAAAGAGAGAAAGAAGCGTACGGGCATGACGCCATCGAATTGAGTAGCTTGAACCAACTTTCCAAGACGAAAGATCTCCTTGTTAATGGCGGACTTGCAAGACTTGCAGGAAGACCTGCCGGACTTGGCATACTCCGCCCTCCACGGCTTCTGTGGGCTCGCCATTTCTGCGTGTCACAGTGACGCGAGAGTGAGTGTGAGAGGACTATTTATACGTATGCTTCTCTCCCAAAGAAGATGATGATGATTGATGACGACGACGATGGCTTCAAGGTGACGCCTTTTTCAGATTGTGATTCTACTGTTTACCCCTCTTTCCTTCTTTTTTTTCACCGGCGACGTTTTTTCACCCTAAAAAGCAATGTTTGTCACCGTATATGAAGTTTCTCAGTCGATATGATGATTTAGATTATTAATTTATTACGCAATCTTTTATCTCATACAGGCTAGTAATTATTAAATGAAATGTAATTTGATTTATTTCGACAATTTTAGTATTTTATCCCATCCGTTTTCGTAATATGATGATTTTCAGTTTTGGTTTATCAAAACTCGGTGTTTTATATTTTTCTTATACAAGCTTACAATATACTGTAGTTGACAAAGTTCATGATAAGAAAATCAAATTTAATGCATACATATTAGAAAGCAAGAAGTATTAGATAGAGGTTAAGTAATAGGTTGACAATAGTAATTGGCAAAAGATAGCAATGTTGTTGAACGTATTAGATTGTTAATCAGTTAAAAATCATCCAACAACTCACACGTATTTAAAAATCATATATGGACATTTCTATTCTAATATAATAGAAGCTTGCCAAATAATCATTTTGCATTTGTTGAAATTAAGTTTTAGATACATAAAACACTACAATCGACCAAGATGCTTAGTCTATTGATTTGTACTAATTTGTTCGTTGTGTTAATATCTGAATTCAAACTATCTACTGTATATTGTTGATAATAAACTAGTATATTGGAATATATTGTTATGCAGTTATGCTTATGGTTGTACATAGTGTATTTGGGAAGCAGAAAAAGCATAATCATGAAAGTTAATAACTTTAGTAATAAGGAATCATGCTTAATTTGTAACTTACTTTTTCTCAATATAATTGAAAGATTATTTCAACAGTTCAACCACATCACTGAGTCCTATATATTGAACCGATTGTTTACAACATTAACGAACTGGAATAGAAAATGAATTAACTAATCACTCTGAACCGAAATAAGATGGTTGTCTTTTCCTCCAAATTTGCTAGAAATTCGCAAGACGCGATCTTCGGTGAGAGAGAGCCTAAGAAAAACCTTGTGATCCAAGACAGAAACCGTGTTATGTGTTAACTTGTTTGATCCGTTTCAATATTTATCTTTGATTCAAATGTTGAGAACCAAGTCTTTCCAAGTAAAAGTCAACCCATATTAATATTATTATCAGTATGTAAGACCAAAAAATGAAGTCCCCCTATATATATATAACTCATACTCGAATTATAAAGACTACTCAATCTCAATGCGAAACAAATAGCAAGACCTTACAAATTGTTGACTCTTTATTTCATCAGTTCAAAAGAGAAAAGTGATGTTGAAGAAACAAGTGATCATTGGAGTGATTTTACTTGCAAGTTTAGTGATTTTCTTGGACGCCAAACAAGTAGGAGCCACAAGGCTGTTACGAACCACCGTGGATAGTAGGATCCGGTTCGTGTTCGAGTCGTTGCAGAAGGGTTCGGTTCCTGGCTCCGGTAGGAATGGTTGCTCCCATATCCCCAAAGGCTCGGGCTCGGGCTCGTGCCACGGTTAAAGCACCCACGTGAATTTTGACCCCAATTCTGTTTTTTGGGCAATGTTAAACTGTTCCTTGTATCATATGTGTATTCAAAGCATATACGTGTTTCATTGTCTTATAGAAGTTCGTTAATTATTTTACAAATTAATGGTTATGTTTGATTAACCGGATTCTACCTTAAATTCAATAAGGTTTTGGTTCCCTTTTCCTAACTCGTCTTTACTGGTTATTAATTTAGTGTAATACTATAATCAAAACAAACAAACGATCAGTGATTCCCCGGTTATTATATGTTTTTTTTTCGGCAAATAATTTCATTGATATCAAATTAAGATTACAAAGTCAATATACAAAACTTCCGGAAAACATACATAAAAGCAGATATATGCGGCATATATTAAGAATGATATAACATGAATAGTAAATTGACGATGCTTTCCGAAGTAAAGTCTTATTCGCTAACGAAATATTAAATCTATTATTTTCCTTCTCTGAAATCATTCTTTTCCTAATGCGAATTGTGTGTTTGGCTAGCAATTTTTGGCTAAAACTCGTAATTATACACAGCATCATAAAACCTAATGTTTCCGTTGTTTGAAGCTTTGTTTCCACAATTAGATACATAGGATTCCGTATCCAATTCATTCTATAAAGGTTTAGCTTTGATCTTGTCTTCTTATTCAAAATCAATTTAAAGAAATTTGACTTCCTTTTCCTTCCGACTTGATCTGTGAAACGCCCGATCCCAACCAAAGCCTTTTTTTGAATCGTAACAGATGACCACTAGTAAACAAATCCAACGAAGAGGATCCTCCACCAATAATAAAAACACACATGCACATAAAAGGTTTCTTCAAATTCAAAAGAAAATCAGCAAAGATGAACCATGTCGAAATTGCCATTTGAGTACATAAATTCTTTTGAGAAGTAATTAATGCATAATTCACGCCAAATGCAGTAAATTGAAATCGATATTGTATTGCATCACTCCACGTTAACGAGGATTTAAGACAAAATCTAAAAAAACAATAATTATGAATATCATTAAGGAATCGGAAATCATCCGAAGAGGACAATTTCAAACAACCACCAAAGTTTTCACTCAAATGGATTAGCACTGACAAAATTGATCCAAAAAGATAAGGGATCAACCATCGGACATCGCTCTTCAAGAGGAAGAGAAAAGAAATGCAATAATTGCATAAATACTCTCTCATGAGAGAAAGGAAAAACATGAGTTTTATTGTAAAATTAACAAACTAAATAACAGAGAAGAGAGAAAAGTACAGCTGATGCCGGAGCCCGACGTCGGCCGGAGAAATCACAGAAATCCGGTGGTTGTGCCAATCACCCAGAAGTCGTGAGAGAGAAAACGGTTATCGAAGGATTGCTCCGGTTATTATATGGTTAACGTCTCAATATTATTCGTATCCGATACAAATAACCGAGTTAGAAAACTAAACCGATTCAGATTGCATAAGCCGGTTCAGATTTGATTCGATTTGAAGTTTGATCTTCCTTGGCGAGATTTCTAAACGCTTAAACCCTTTGATAGTTTCGATTGAACATTTTCCCGAGTTTTGGGAGTGTCCATAAACCCCACACTCTCTCTCTCTCGCTAAAGGCAAGAGGAAGAAGAAGACGAAGAAGCAGAGAAATGGTGAATAAACCTTGGAAGATAATTCCAAGGCCGCTTCTAGAAACCGTTCTCAACAACCATGTCCAACGCCACCGTGTTCCTCAGCCGCTTATCCTCCATGGTCCTCGTGGCGTCGGCAAAACCACCCTAGTTCTCGATCGTAAATCTTCCCTTTTGAATCCCTGAATTTCATTTTTTTGTTTCAAAAGATCAAAGCTTTGATTGGTTCCGATCTCAATTCTTTTAGGTCTTCTCGGAGACTGGAACAAAGGGCCTCATATCGCTGGCTATGTAGATTTTGCGCAATCGGTAACGGAACACCATCCAGATCACCAACAATCATATCCATGGGCGTCTTGGACCAGCTGTGACCCACCATTGTTGTCGAATTGCAAAACCCAGCTCGAGAATTGTCTTGAATCTATGAGCCACAAAGCTATCAAGCTTGGGAGTATAAGCTCGCAGCAGATATTCGCTACAATGAACAAATGGTATGGTCTTAGCACCTCACTCCGCCGTATACTTCAGGGCTATAACGTTGCCGTCCCGGAGAAAGTCTCCGTTTCGTTTCTCTGGGAACGGGCCGTTTATGCGCTATCTGTTCGACAAAATGCCGATGAGATTGATGGGTTGCTCGAATTGGAAGAGAAAGGTGATAGCTTGTCTGTAGAAGAAGCTTCGTACTATAGAGAGACCGCCTTTGCGTTGAGATTGGCGAGAGAGGTAATAAGGATGCACCAGAGTTGGAGAGCCAATGCCATTGCCCATCTAAATCGAACTAATGGGTTTTCGAGAACATTAGCAAATTCTTGTACTGACTGGCCGTTGCTACTGCTCCAGTTGTTGTCACAAGCTGCAGAGATTGGTTTCTTCCAGGTAATGGAATGGATAAGTACTAGTTTTTTTGTCTTAGGTCACTGAATCTTTCGAGCTTATGAGTAGTTAAACAGTGGCTGTATCATCTGGAAACATTTTGCGAAACTGTCGATGTTACTTTCATGCTGGCTTAGTTTTTGTTTGTCTTTGTTTCTTGTTTTACTTGGCAGCCTAAGCTGGTTTTAAACAACATTGAAATCTTGAAGAGTGCTATTCAGACTGATGATTCAACAGTTTCAGCGTCAATGTACCATGACAATCTTCTATGGAGAATAATAGCGTTAGGTGCAAATGAGCGCTGTTTACCTGTCCTGTTCGTGACTTCCGATAGGTTGGTCCATTTTTTGTTTGCCTCATTGGGTTTTATATGTACAAGCTGTTGCATTCTGATGATTGCCTGGTCTCACTGGACTTGTGTATCACTTTTTAGCATGTCACTTTGTCACAGAGATTCTGAATAGTCATTTTCCTTTCCGAAACTCTTATTAACCTTTTTTTATCATTATCTCTGATATCGGAAATTTATATCATGACAGCTACTACTCATATCAAGCCTTTGTTGACTTCGGGTTTCCAGACATCTTCATCTCTCGTGAGGTATAGAAGCTACACATCTATCTCTCACTAAACTATGGATTCTGCATAAATCCCACTCTTCTAGTTAACCCAAAAGTAAAATTTTTACCGGCATTATCCTCTTTAACATTGCATTTTGGCTTTGTTTTATTGGTAGACATTTGGATGGACTCCTCAAGAAGCCAAATTACATATGGTTCCTGATTACTTCAGCGCTTCGGAGGTGAGAAAATGCTGTAGGTAATGGCATGCTTGTTTAATGAACCCATAAAATTGATCATTAGTGTGACATTTTACTAAAACAAACAATATTACAAAATAGAAAAATTGAATGGTCTTTTCTGCTAACATTTTATTGTTTACATTTAGTTAAGTGACTGCCGTATATAATAGAATTCTTACATAAGCTTGGAATTGCAGTGGACTATCATTGCTGATGTTTTGGGTGCCAATTCTCGGCATCTATTCGAGCTTTATGCACTTAAGCAAAGTAATCATTACCAAAGGTATTGGTTCTCTGTTCTTTGTATTCTCTCATAAATTTTTCTATCTTCTTATCACTTATGCGTTTTGTCCGTCCTCAAAAGGCATCAAACTCCGTTTTTCATTTTTGAAATGTGACCCAAAGTTTGCTTTTTTCAGTTTGATGGGAAACAAAGCAGGTACATTTGAAGATATTGTGGATGCATACTTAGCATATCTACAAGTAAGCTCATTTAAAATGATTGCTTGCAATTGGTTTCAAATTACATATAAAAGTTTGTCCCAGTATGTCTTATCTGTTCTTTTCTTGTATAGATTGCTGTGGTTAATCCTGCAATGGAAAAAGCTTTGTTGCGGCTTCAACGGTATGCCAGTGATGCACAAAAGGGAAGCATTCCGGATGAAAGATTACGTTTTGGTGCTCCATGGAGGCATCCGCCGCGTACTGAGGATCCTACTCACTGCTCCGAGTGGGCTAAAATTCAGCTGATGGATTTTGTCCAAGCTCTTGTCAATACAGAATTCGCGGTACCAACTCTTCTAGACCCTTAATGGAAATGAAGCCAAAGTTTGTTTCATTTTTACCTTATCAGATATGGAAACCAACGATTATAGCATCACTGATAATGTATAAGCATCAATGGTTCTATAGGTAAATTATTTGGGTGACTATAGCCTTGAAATTTTTGAAGACCCTTCTGCAATGGCACTGGTTGAGGTAAAAAGTTCTATCTTTTCTTGATCGGTGGACACTACTTTTGAGACCCATGTTCCTAAAAAAAGGGTTGATTCTGTTCTAGGTTGGGATACTATATACTCAACGAGATCCATCTTTCTTCCGTCCTATATCTCAAGGCATTAAAAGATGTCTTGTTAGATGGTGAGCAAACTTTTTCTTCTCTTCTCCCATGGATCTGCTCTTTTAAATCTCTGCTGTTTTTCAGTTCTCACACAACCCCGTGATTCGTGTTACAGGCTCATCCAAGAGCGAATGAAAATGAGTTATTGGAGCTCAACCAAATATTGGTGGCAAAGAATCATTCGGGGTCGTTATTACAAGCATTTGATGCTTGGCTACAGAACATAGGCAGTTTCACACAGGTGTTGGTGGGAAACGGGTATACACTGCCATGAGAACGGCTTTTTATTCAGACGCTGTATATAAAGAGCATGTTGCTGTGTTATGTGAATTTTTTTGGTAAAATTATAAGTCAAATTCTTGAATTTATTCCACTGTATTGTCTGCCTTTTCAAGCCGAAAAGTCCAATAAAGTTTCTTTTTTTAGAACGTAAAATCTATTGATTATTACATGCTATTTTCTTGACCAACTTGGTGAATAGCGAAAAAGAATAAACATGTTTGTGTTGAGTCACTGCACAAACAATTAAAATAAAAAAACTAATGAAGATTCCGTAGATAACAATTCAAGTGTTATGAGACCAAGTCTAAAGACTAAAGCTATCGTAAAATTACGTAAATGTAATTATGTACGTAACACACAAATGTGGAGAAGAAAAAAAAGGAATCAAAGAATGATGAAGAGGAAGAAGATTCGGATGACAGCTTAGCCGTGGCGGCATCTGCCTGAACCACGAGGAATATTTGTGCAGCCGTTGCGACCAGAGCCTTGGACCGGACCTCTTTGCAGAGCTTGAAACAAAAGCCTGATCTCATCGACGGCCTCCGGGAAAGGCCTCATGGCTTCAACTTGCGTAACGTCCAAGACACCAACAAAAATAACAACCAAGATAATTACGAGCCCTAATTGTCTCTTCATCATACTTAAGTTTTTAGTTCTTCTAATTTTTGAATGGGAAAATGAGAACAAAAATGAGCTTTCTATTGGTTAGGGGAGTGTAGGGTCTCTTCTTGGTTTGTGAAATTGTGATTGTATGTGTAATAAATTCGATAATGACTCTTATATATAGGGGTTTTTGAGATGTCAGTGTTTGACTTGGGAAAGGCTGGTCTCACTATCCTAGGTTTATGTGTATAGACACACACACACATATATCAACTTTGACTTTGACTTTACTACAAAAGAATTGGTTTTCAACAGTTTGAACCATATTGTAGGATTTTGGAATAGAAAATTCACTTAGACACGGTTTGTCCAAGTCCACATCGGCTTTTTACTAAAAATATATTGGACTTGGCCCTAGCTGCCTCACTCTAAACCAAATTCTGATTTCGGTTTAGATTGGTTTATTTTGGTTTGCCGTTAATAAATAGAATTTATTATTAAATATGGAAATGTGATTTGTAACGAAGCATAATTATACTTTTTAACCGTAAATGATTACTGCAACATTGGTTGGTGACATAGGCACAGTGATAAACTTAAGTCTATATGTCGCAAGTCATCTGATTTTTCAAAAATGATTGATTCATCAAAGTTATGAAACATGTGGATAATCAAATTAAAATGTTCCAAAAAAAAAAAGCCAAATTCATACACGGTGAGTTATAACAAGTTATTTGTAATATGTTTGCATTAAAAATTGACTGAATAACGTTAATATTGTAAAAGGCAAAGCCGCTTTATTTTACCCTACAATTGAGATATATACACAAATGGTATAATAACGTTCATAAATCTATCATATGTATGACTAACACACCATTTTCATTAGGATTAGTAAATATAATGAACTAAAAATATTTTTGGAGGTTGAGGATGAGATTATGCAAATGACCGACTTGGAAAACAAAAAATGGGTATTTCTATTGCTCCATCAACAAGATTTTGAAATGAAGAATTTAGGCTGATATTTAATTTGGTTATAACCTAAATGTATGTGTTTATTAAGATCAGGGGGTTGTTTATGTTTGTTTGAATCGGGAATTTTGGTCTCGTAGGATTTTCTTGAGATTTGACTTTTAGTTGGGAAGAAACTCGGCTTGAAAATATTTGAACATCATATTGGAATTAATCAAACAAGGTGATACACGACCCGGTTCGCCTTACATCACGACTTCTTATTCACACTGGAACCGGATAATTTTCTGAAAACCGGATCACAAGCCCGGTTTGAGTTTATCACATGAGTATTGATCCACAAATCATAAAATCGGTCAAAAGAACAAAACCATTAGTTACTTGTTTTCTGTTTCAATAGGTCGCATTAAATTCACTAATTCAGCCTTCATCTTATGAAAAACAAATACTTCAGCATTCAGTTGTTTCATAAGATGTTTTTTTTTGGTCGAATGAGATGGTCTTATGAAATTCACTAATTTCATAATTTCATAAGATCATCTCCAACCATGGATTGTGAAGAACAGTATAAGAGTTCTCAAAACAATAATATAAAATGAAATCATGTAAAAAATGAAGAGAAAAGTCTTTAAATGTATAAAGAGAAATTCTAAAACAAGAGATTTTGGATATTCTCTCTTCTATTTTAAAAACCTCTATAATATTTAATTATTATTTTCTATACATACAACTTCTATACATACAACATGAATAACTTCCAAAATATTTTCATTGGAGATGGTCTAAAAAGTTAACTGTACAAACAAACGCATACGCGTATAGTTTATAAACACATAATTTTAAAAATATTTTTGATTGTTGCATATACTTTGCATACCTTTTTATAGGTCTTCCCAAACTAAAAATATTAAAATACATGTGTGCTCGCGTCATGTCCATGACTCATGATTCATGTGGTAATTTATTTCAAATTATTCGTTTTTTTTTGGGGGGGGGGGCGGGACAAAACATTGATTATAAAATGGTTGATAATAATATAGTAGTAGACTAGTAGTAATTAGTAAAAAAATTCGGTAAATGTGAGAAGCTGAACATGGAGTCAAAATTAATTTTAAAAAATTACATGAAAGGTGCTTTTTAGTCGGCACAATGCAAAAACGTTTTGGAGAGAAAATGCACTTTAGGCATTTTTTTGAAACTATTTTTCCTAACAAAATTGAAAATAAACCCATAATCGTGAAGACACGTCTTGCCTGAATGCCTCGCTGTTTCATGTTTTGGTTTAGTATTCGGTACGGTTCGATCCGGTCCGGTTCGATCTGTTTTGGTTGTTCTATGGCATTTGATCTCTCTCTCTCTCTCTAAAAGCACCTCGACTCTGTACGGCTTTTTCTCTCTGACGCTCTTTCTCCGTCACTTCTCTTCGAAGATCCTTTCTTATCAAAGAGAGAATCTCTGGGAAGATAGAGAGGAAGAGGATTCCTTTTAATCTAAGAGAGAATTCTCTTCGAGATAGATACAGAGAAAGAAAGAGAGATGCAAGCCATCTCGAAAGCTTCTTCTGCTATCTCCTTCTTTCGATGTTCTGGGGTTTGTTTGATTTTCGTTTCTCTTTTGTTTTTTGTGGTTCTTTTTCTCTCTATTGAATTACTTCACAAATTTTTGGTGAAGAAATCATACTTGATAGTCTATAATTCTGAAATTTTGATTATGATTCATGAGAAGGGGAAAATTTCTGACTTTCACCAGTGCATTCTTAGAAGTGTATCTCGTACAACTGATCATAATCTATATACTTAATTGTTGATGATCGTTTCGTTAATTTCAATTTCATACCTTGATTCATTGTCTAAGATATTTATCGAGGATTGTAATTTTGAATTGGTCGATTGAAAGCTTGTCTAATTAGCGTTAGTAATCGAAAAATTTAGTGTTTATAAATAGAAATATCAAACTATTGCTTTATCAATCCTTGCAGTGATGTTTGATGGCGTTAGTTGCATTCGTATAAGCACATAAGCTTGTTGTTTGATATCTCGTTGTTCACTTTCTCGTCCTTTTCAAAGTAGAATGAAATAAATGTGTAACATCTTACCGTTTTTTTCTTTCTTTCTTTCAGAAGATAAGAACTCAGACATGTGTTGCACCATGTGTGAGACAGCTTAACCTCAGAAAGGGTCTTGTGTGCAGAGTGATGAGACTGGTCTCTTCACCTCTTAGGACTTTGCGTGGTGCTGGTAAATCTATTCGAGTGTCAAAGTTCTGCAGTGTCTCCAATCTCTCCGCATTGCAGATTGAACTGGTATGTTTGTGTGTGTGTGTCCTGTGGGAGCTTCCTAAACCATTTTCTCTCAATACTAACTAATTTGGTTCATAGATTTGTTTGCTTCTCAAATTTTCATTCCACAAACCCATTTATTAAGGCCATATTGTCATTAAATATAACTCTCAGGTGTTTTCTCTTTTCAGGTGCCTTGTCTTAAGGACAACTATGCTTATATTTTGCATGACGAAGATACTGGTACAGTTGGGGTGGTTGACCCTTCTGAAGCTGAACCTGTTATGGATTCGTTGCAGAGAAGTGGTCGAAATCTAACGTATATATTGAACACACATCATCACTATGATCACACTGGTGGGAATTTGGAGTTAAAAGATAGGTACGGTGCAAAGGTAGGAAGATATAACTTCTCTTTCTATTCTTCTTGCGTTATGATACATTATAAAAAAAGTTGTTGGAGATGAACGTGAAGAACGCTACCTATTTGAAATGTAGGTGATTGGCTCAGCGGTAGATAGAGACCGGATTCCTGGAATTGATATTGCCTTGAAGGATGGTGACAAATGGATGTTTGCTGGCCATGAAGTCCATGTTATGGATACTCCTGGCCATACAAAAGGTTGTTTATATTGTTAACATTTGGAAGCTTTGAATGTTATATTCCATGCATGTTTCATTCCGTTAAGCCTTTAGTTTACTATATTCTCGCTTTGAAGTAGTTGAAGATCTACATAATGTGTGAGCATAATCTGAGACTGGAGATTTGGGTTTCAAATGTGTGGATTTCCTTATAGACAGCATGGAAATAGAAAATGTGTGCTCTTTATGTGGTCTTGGTTTGGTACAGAAGATAGTGTTGTCTCTCTTGTTCACAGAAGTTAGTTGGACATATAACTGTTCAGGATGCACAATGCACCTCTCAAGCATTTTTGTCTCCCATTTTACTCTTTTTTCTAATCATCTTATTTCTACTTTCAGGTCATATCAGCTTATACTTTCCAGGGTCACGAGCTATCTTCACAGGGGACACCTTGTTTAGCTTATCATGTGGTAAACTCTTTGAAGGTACCCCTAAGCAGGTAAACACCAAATGTCTCTTATCTTCCTGCTTAATTACATTTTCTTTTGGAACGAAACTCTCAGGAACAATTCATGTATACTTCGTCCTCTGCAACTTGTTCTGCAGATGCTTGCTTCTCTCCAAAAGATCATAGCTTTACCAGATGACACAAGCATATACTGTGGTCACGAATATACACTGGTCTGTTATATTTTTAGTATCTTAGTGTTGTTGAAAAAAAATTAACTAATAAGGGGTGGTCTCAAATGACTTAATATTGATTTGGGTGCAGAGTAACTCCAAGTTTGCGTTGTCTATAGAGACAAACAACGAAGTACTCCAGTCTTATGCAGCTCATGTTGCCGAGCTCCGTAGCAAGAAATTACCTACGGTAAAAGAATCATTCATTACCAATGATCCTTATGCATTGCTCAATTTTACTGGTTGACTTAGTGTTGATTATTGTGTTTTGTTTTGTTGTTGTTGTCAGATTCCGACAACAGTGAAGATGGAGAAAGCTTGTAACCCGTTCCTACGCAGCTCGAATACAGATATTCGTCGGGCTTTAGGCATTTCAGAGACTGCAGATGAAGCAGAAGCTCTGGGGATTATCCGAGAAGCAAAGGATAATTTCAAAGGGTAGGCTTTTGCGAGGTAAATCTTTTGTTTGCATCTGTAGTCCATAAATAAGGTGTGTGTAGCCTTTTCACATGGACCTTTTTTTTCTTTTACTTCAAGAAAGACAAAAAAAACACAAAGAGAGATAATTTTAATGTATAAAAACTTCTAACTTTGGTACAACACCGCAATTAGGTTTTGGGTGACGATTATTCTTCAAAAATCAATCATATACAGAAAAGAATTTACCCTTTTTCTTATTTTGACTTATTCATGCGAATTGATTGTTCTATTTTATATTTTTTTATCTCAAAAAATGCTTTGTTTCTTATGTTTATTAGCGTTTCTTATATGGAGAATACACACCTACTAACTCATTTCAGTATCACAATAAAGTTATTTGTAGAATATATTATCTGTAGCAGATGTGACTTGATAAACATTCATTTTTGGATTTAAAACAAAAACATCCATTTTCAAGCATTCATTTTTGGATTTCAAATACAAGCAACAATATTTAGAATAACAAAAACAAAAATATAGTAAAACGACACTTATGGTGAAACGTAAGTAAGTAGACTCCTCTCATGACAAGATTCAACTTTTAAACGTTCACGTGGTTTGGTGATTAGCTAGTAGGCAATAGCTTAACCATTGTGGGATTTGAACTTTGAGTAAGAGGATCAAGTTGGTCATTGTCATTAATTTCAATAACTGTATATCATTAATAAATAACCTAACCAGCTTTTCAAATTGAATTTTTTGATTCCATTAAAAGATTAAATTCTTTTTTTGTTCTTTTATTCTAGGACCACTCGTGTCAAAGTAATACTTCTCCGTTAAGAAAAAAATCTACAGATAGATCACATTTTCCTTCTTTCAAGATATCTAAGCAGTATAAGTATAAATTCAATTAGGTGAACCAAACTAAAACCCAACAGTAAAGTGCCGACTTCAATGTGATGTCAAAAACAAAGTATCGACTTCAAAATGTAAAAAGAAAAGCTGGTCAGTAGTATAAAAACTTTGTTACATATATACCAAACAAACACTGCTTAAGCCAACAAACACCAAAAACCAATATATTCTTATTGAAAAAGTCTCTGTCTCTGACTCTGTCTGTCTCTTCACTGCTTTTTGAGATATTTTTAAAAAAAAAATTCGTTTATTTCGTGTTACAATTTGAGATATACTCGCCTCACATGTACTATCGAACAAACGTATAAACTCCAAAAAAGTCTATTGTCTTTTGCTTTTCTTATTTTACAATATTATTCCATGTTCTCTAGTAAACGACGATTTAGATATTTTTAGATAAAATATAATAACAAATAGTCTCACATAGAGAAAGAGACCAGTAATTAAAGTATTAAAATTACCCCCCACTATGGATTAATAAGTACCAAATTACGACAAATATCTTAATCAACTTGGTCCAAACACCAAACACATCGGAAACGTTCATCGCGTTACCCAAAACTTCAAAAGTAAAAAAAGAAAAAGAAAAAAACAAATGACTCTTTTAGGATTAGAAATTATTCTAATTACATAGAATAGATCCCTTTTTTTTCTTTTTGTTTGCTCTCCCGCAGCAGTTCAACGAACAATAGCCATACGACGTCGTTGAGATTCCGTTGGCAGCTTCACATCGTATGCTAAACCGATAATCTCAAGAAACCGAACAATGTACCAAGAAATGTCGATCTGCCACCACTCTAGTCCTTGTCTCGCAGACGACTCGAACGCATGGTGATTGTTGTGCCAACTTTCTCCAAATGAAAATACCGATAACCACCTTCAAAATGAACCAAACATTACCAAACATTAAATTACAATTCCACATTAATGCATTTTTTTTTAAGAACAGGAGCTGTCTACAATTCATGTGTACTTCGATAATTTGAGAAAGGGACATAAATGATTATTCTTGTACAAACACCAAAAATGTAAGATTGAATTTGTTATGAACATACCAAACATTACGAGAAGTGTCATTGGTCTTCCATGTTCGAGTGCCCCAAATATGGCAAAGTGAGTTTATGAGGCATGTCACGTGCACCTCCAATGCTGCTCCTACCCCCTGTTCATATACATATATTCCAACCCAAAATTTACATAAATATACATTTCCAAATTGATTAATATTTTTTTCTTAATTTCATTGTTAACCAAAAAAAAAAACAATTAGAGATTGAAATTACCATTCCCCAAGTGACGAAGGACATGCCACCAAGATAGAAGAGAAGGATCCCAAGTCCTAAAATGTGAAAAAGCACCGTTTTCTGTAGAAATCTATAAAACCATTGCCTCTTCAAATCATCCACGTTTGTTCTTCTTCCACACTGATTTCAATTCACCATATATAGATCTCTTTTGGTTATAAACAAAAACGACTTCTATAATAATGAAACCCAAAAAAGCAAAATTTGAAAAAATTACCTTTTCCACAAGATATGCAGAATCATAAATCCAGAGAAGATGGCTAAACCAAAAACCTTCTTTAGGACTATGTGGATCTCTTTCTGAATCCGTAAATTGATGATGATATCGATGTGTACTCACCCAATCAATCGGATCTCCCTAATTAAATTACAAAAAAATGTTAATTACTAATTAAAAAAATGTTAATTACTAATTAATACTAGCAATTAATTAAGATCTCAAAGATCTGAAAAAAAAAAAAAATTAGAAAATGGTGATTTATGAACCTGAATAGCGAGAAGAGCACAATAGGCAAAGAGATACTCGAGCCATTTAGGGACTTTGAAACTCCGGTGAGCCAAGTTCCGGTGATACGACACCGTAATACCTAAACCACCGATCGTATAAACCAAAAACGTAACCCAAAGAGCTGACCATTTGAAATAAAACGGAGCCAAAAGCGCCATTGAATGCACAAACAACGACGCCGATAATTTGAAGTAATCTAATCTCCTCCACTTTCTTTCCCAGAACACCCATCTCCTTCTCCTCTTCTCCGCCGTCTTCTCCGCCGCCGTCGATGGATTTTTCCGGTGGTTCTCCTCCACCGTTGACGTCACCGACATCTCTCCGATTCTCTCTTTTTCTCTCTAACTTTTTCTACTTTTTGTTTTAGTGAATAATGGAGAGGAGAATAAAGTTGATGCTCAGCTTTGTAATTTATAGTCTCATTGAGAAAAAAAGAAGGATTAATTACTGCAACAGAATATGGTGTGACTCAGTAAAATAATAAATATCACGATATTTGTTTCGAGTTTTTGACACGTAAGGTGTAAGGTGTACATTTTACATGCAACTAGTGTTATGTTTCTTTCTAACCACTAAATATTATTATTAATTATAATACTATATAGTGTGCTTTTTTTTTTGATAAAGAATGAGAAATGGTAAAAGTTATTTTTAGATGGGCAAATGTAAGTAAAGAGCTAGGAAAGGTGACACAGGGCTCGATAATTTGCTTGACTTATTCTAAAAGGAACTACTGTGATATACATTGCTTTATGGATGTACGTGATTACAGGCTAAAATCACGTTCGGTAGCTGGAAAAACTGTTATCGAATTTGTTTCTCTGAGTTCTTTTTTTTTAAGTTTTAGTTTGTTTGTTTTTATTTTTTTAATTAATAAAATTGGAATAAACTCACTGCGTACTACTGAGCATATGCTGTTTTGAATCGGTACTTTTATTATTTATTTATGAGAAAAAAATAATCAGAAATAGACAAAAGAGGTACCCAAGTGTGTAGAAATACGCCAACTCATTGTATCGATACCTAAATTTGTTTATTTTTCATTTATGTACACGATCTCATGCCAATAATACATTACTTTAATTTTCTTCCCGTTTTTGTACAAATAGTACATAACATTTGACTATCCAGATCATAAATATAAATTTCCTTTTAATACACAAATTCATATATGCAACAAAAAAAAGATCTTTTGAAAATTTGAATATTTAGATCATAAAATGGACAAAAAATTTTTTTTCCGGATATGGGCAATTGTGATTTGTTAGCATATATATTTTTTGACGTGATTTGTTAGCATATATATATATGTGAATCATTATTTCTATTTATTAGTTTGGGATCTGTATATTTATTACCTTTATAAAAGTATTTTTTCTCAATGTAATTTATTTATTTATCTAAAAACGATTTTTTGATGTATCTTTAAGAGTTATTGTATTTTTTATTTATCAAATGTTTATAAGTTCGTATATTTATGGATTATGATTTGAATAGTAAAAAAGATGTGTGGTTAGAACAAAGTCGAATATCCTGTTGTATATAGTACTTTACCAATTCGGGCATTTTCAGATTTCAAGTAGTTGAGTTCATGTATTTCTTTAGCTTTCTTTTCTTGTTCACTTAAATTAATCCCTAACTTTAGGATTGCAAGACTGATCATTGATGCATACACGTCTCTGCAAACAAAGTATAATATTTAGTTTTTTCAGTGTTCATACATATATATATGATGATGATATCTTCTTTTGTAGCCTATAATGATATATCGCTCTCAGTACGCACACTTCTTCTTTTTTGACAGCTCTCACTACACCCCACCTCCAAGAATAATTATTTTAATTATTTTAATTTTAACCAAAAAAGAATAATTAATTTAAAGGAAAATATGATGAGAGGGATATTATCATCAACCTCGGGGCCGTATGTCCTAATGTCCATACCTTTTAGCAACTAAAAATGAATTTGCAACCATCTATAACTCGTCATATATAGAATGTTGTATATATAAGATCGTAACTTTCACATGTTAAGATCCTTTATGTAGACATTAGCATGTGCTCGAACTTGTGAGCTCTTATATATATAATTCAAACTGTTTTGGTGCGAGTGTAAGTGTTCAGCTCACTATATATATATACACATAATTAAAAACAACTCAAGAAATCATCACGTTTGAGATGTCGCAAAAAAAATCCTAGATCCTCGGTTTTAGATCTTGACAAAGTGATCTTCAAAACGCACAAAAATGGAGATTTGATCAGCCTCGCGAACTCCGGAAGCGTAAGACGACAAAGAAATAAAAGTTAAAGCAAAATAATACAAGAACTGATTGTACCCTACATGAATAGTACACAAATTGAAGTTGTTTTCATTGTATATCTATGCATATCGTTGAATATAAGATCTTTCCCAATGTGTACCAATACATTAGTAGTTTGGACATCAAAATCATACTAGAAGCTAAGTTATTAATTGCGTTAGTTAAAAATTCATTAGGTTGTGTGTAAGTGAGAGAGCGAAAAGTGAGAAAGGGTGGTAAGTGAGAAAGGTAGTTAAGCTTTGCTAATAACGATTAGCAAGCATTTAAGTAATATTATAAGCAGATACATAAAATAATACGGTGGTTTCTGTCATTTGGTTAAAACTAATGACCGACCTTCGTGATGCACTAATAAATTAATGGTGGACAAAACTGATCTAGAAGATGTTAACATTCAAACACACCAAGCAAGGAGATCTGGTCTGTAAAGCATGTTAATCTTTTTTCAGTGATAGGATTTGGAGAAAGTAATTGTACCTATATATACTATAGTTGTGATAGTAATAGTCACATTGGTAAGTTTCTATGATTTTATGACGTTTAAATTAGAGGAAAAACTACTAATATCATCTAAAAGCAAAAAATTCCCAGAAAATCACTTTCTAAGATTGTTTGTTTACTCTGATATGTTGCTTTGGAAATAATCATGAGAGGTCTAAGACTGACCAAAACTGAAAAACAGATATTGTTGTTAAATACGTAATTTGTTTTTAAATGAATGAAATTTTTCTTTTTTAAAAAAAAAAAAATCGTTGTTACAACATATGATTGAGTTTTTGATAGAGTTGTAGTTTAATTTTGTCTTTAAAATAAGTTAGATACATACTTTTGAGTTAATTTTCTAAACAAAAATTCGTGATATATAGTTTAAATATATTATTGTAACACATATTATAAAACAAAATTGATCGTAACATGTGTGCAGAGATAGAAAAGTAAATGATGCGAATGGTCCCTGATCACGATTTAAGTAGTAGCTTGTCAGATGTCACTGACCACTAGTCAATATACTTTCTCAATATAACAGTTTCCTCCCTCGCTTTCAAACTTTCACCATTATTCCAAAGATATCAATTAATTACATTTTGTGGTTTCCACTTCTACTCAATCTCATAGAACTTTTCCTCAATTCCTCGGAATTATCATTGATGAACTAAAAATTTTAGTGTATCTGACAGTTTTTTTTTTTCTTGTTTGTTGCGTATATATTTTTGTTACACACATACCATGAATAATAGAAGTATTACAGCAAATATTTTAAATAATCAACATAATTTACATAGAATTGTTAAGAATAACGAATTGGAAGTAAAATACCAATGGGTACTTACGTGCATCAGTCTAAGTACGTAATAATTACTTCCAAAGTTCTTGACACAACAACCAGTCCTGTCTAGGGCTTTTTAGCTCATTACGTCTTTTAAAATCTACCTCTAAAAGAAAAGAAATAAAAAGTTTCTCAAACGAAAAGAAAAGAAAAGAAATTTAAGTATTGTTAGCTTAGTTTATGTAAGGAATACTTGTTATCGCGTTTAGATCACGTATCGATAATGAGAAAAAAAAATATCACAACATAAACGCTCACGCGTAACGTATATCTATGTTAATCCACAAGTTTTGTTTGACTTATTAAAGACTAATAAGTGTAATCGATAGACAGTTTAGACTTTAGAGCTTGGAAGTAGTTGGAATGCATGTTCGGTCTAACAGTGACGATAGTCAGAAGTAAAATTGTTAATTAGAACCTCCTACATTATATTTATAAGCTTAATTTTTTTTTGGGAAACGCAAATCTAAAACAAATGAAAGACTTTAACAAAAAAAAACAAATTAAAGAAGAAACTATTTTCATTATTACGAAATTAAAAACAATGGAAAATTATAATATGCTGTAAGCATATTGATAATATAGCTAGTAACGTAAAATTCTAATTATTATTATTATATATTGTTGATTTTGTGATCTTTAGCGATTCCTTAGCTCGATCGGTAGATTGTAAAAGGCAACATGACAGAATCAATAAATCCAGCCCAACGATCATACAAATAACCACCTGTATTAATATCAAAGTACGAGGAAAAAGTGTGAACTCGTAAGAACGACACTTGAACCAAGTGACTTTAATGCGATCGTTGATGAAATTGATTATTACGAAGAATCTGAGAAGAATATATGAGTTTTTAAAAAAAAAGACCAATTATATCGATTTTTCTAGGTACATTTATAACTTATTTCCGCGCCACTATGAAAAGCATTTTACGTTTATTAAATGTGAAATCGATGACCGTAACATTCCTTTCCAACTTGGAAAAGGACAGTGCTTCTGAGATACATGTGGTACCAAGTGATTTTTTTTTTGGTTTTTTTAAGGGGAAATTTGTTCTGTTAAATCGCTGTTCAATGTTAAGTATTTGATATCCAGGTTATGAAAAAAACATGATCGTTTATATATTGAAAGAATTAGAAAAGTAAATCTTGCTTCCTCGTGTTCATTAATTCCATAATAAAGATTAAAAGTTCACAATTATAGTTTTTCTCCGTCTAAATTTTATTAAGATCTCAAAGTGAAATACAAAGGTAAAACCAGCAACAACACTGACATGAATGAAACTAAGGCCAAAACTAGAGCATATAAAATGAAATACGAAGATAAACTAATAGTCTTTCTCGCATGGGCATTTTAACACATTGTTTTCGATGACAAATTGACAATACCAAGACGATCTTGTTTTGTATAAAATATCATCAAAAATCATATTCGCATAAACAATAACTTCATATACGGATCATGCAGCCTAAAAGAGAGTATGCAGCTCCAAGTCTTGGGCTATATAGGCTTTAGGCCCATAAGTTATTAAAGATAAAGGCCCAGGCCTGGTTGAGACAAATTGACAGTGCTTTAACTAATGCCATTAAGCAAAATTAATTAATCCTTAATGGTTTGGTTAATGAATCTCTCTGCTTCTCATCGTCGCACTAACGGAAATGGCGGAACACGCAATACGACGCGTTTTAAGAATATATTTTACCCATTACGCAATAGATTGTGGGAATACACATGATCTCTTGTAAGAATCGCATTCTCTCTTCGTCTTCTCACTCATAGATCTCTTTCTCTTCCTCTCATTTTCTCCTCCGATTCTCAATTTTCCTCCTTTTTCTCTCATAACTTTTGGAAAAGCCCTAAACTTTCTGCCTGGAAAATCTTACAATTTTTCTCTTGGATCTCTCTCTCTCTCTCTCTGCAGGGCCAGGCTACTACAGCTGATTAGATCTATTTAGTAAGTGATGTTACAAAGTCGTCTCCTTTGATCTATTTAGTAAGTGTTACAAAGTCGTCTCCTTTGATCTACTTTCAACTTTGGGTTCTTTCTTTTTTCTTTCTTTCTCTCTGTTCATTTTGATTCTGGGTTAGAATAAAAACTTGTGCTTTTCTAAGGTTGCTTCACTGTTTTGATAGCTTGAATTTGTGGAATCAATGGCCACTTAGTGTTGAATTTACCACTATTCTGATCGTAGTTGCTTAATGATCGTTTTGGCAGATAGTTGAGTCTTTAGAGTGAATTCTAGAAATGGATAAAGAGAAATCTCCGGCACCTTGTGGTGGTCTCCCACCTCCATCTCCGTCAGGTCGATGCTCAGCATTCTCAGACGCTGGTCATGGACCAGATACTAACCGGTTAAGCCACGATATTAGCCGTATGCTCGATAACCCACCAAAGAAGATTGGACACCGTCGAGCACATTCCGAGATCCTCACTCTCCCTGATGATTTGAGTTTTGACAGTGATCTTGGTGTGGTTGGTACTAATGCTGATGGAGCTTCTTTCTCTGATGACACGGAAGAAGACTTGCTATCTATATATCTTGATATGGATAAGTTTAATTCCTCGGCTACTTCTTCTGCTCAAGTTGGTGAGCCGTCAGGAACTTCTTGGAAAAATGAGTCGAAGATGCATACAGGCTCAACTTCTAATCCTCAGAATACGCTCAATAGTTTCGGCGAAAGACCAAGAGTCAGACACCAACACAGCCAATCTATGGATGGTTCAATGAACATCAATGAGATGCTTATGTCGGGAAATGAAGATGATTCCACTGTTGATGCTAAGAAGTCCATGTCTGCTGCTAAACTTGCTGAGCTTGCCCTCATCGATCCAAAACGTGCTAAGAGGTAATTAGTATTTTCGTCTTTTTCTCTGTGCTACTCTGTTTTACATGCAAAACTTTTGGTGTCGAGCTTTAATGAATTAATGCCACTAGTCATAACTTCTCCACATAACTTCTAGAATGGCGTGACATCACAAAACATGAACTTAACTGCTTTTTGATGATCTCTCTTCCAGCAAACATTTGTGTTTGTGCAATCAAAATCTGAATTCTTATTATGAGTAGAGCGAGTGTATGATTTTTTGTGTGTGCCACATGATAGGATATGGGCAAACAGGCAATCCGCGGCAAGATCAAAAGAAAGGAAGACGAGATACATATTTGAGCTTGAGAGAAAAGTACAGACTTTGCAAACAGAAGCTACAACTCTCTCAGCCCAGTTGACTCTCTTACAGGTTGGTTTTGAGTCTGTGTATGGTTGCTCTTTCTTTCTTCATGCTATGTGTTAATATTCGTTCATGTTTTATGGGTTTTTAAAACTTGTGCTATTTTCGTCCTGTTTGTTCAGAGAGACACAAATGGCTTGACTGTAGAAAACAACGAGCTGAAACTGCGGTTACAAACAATGGAGCAGCAAGTTCACTTGCAGGATGGTGAGGCTCTTTTATAGCAAACACTTTTGCTTCCTCACTTAGAGAGAAAATTCATTACAATTTGGTTAAAACACTTGGTCTTTTGGCAGAACTAAACGAAGCACTTAAGGAGGAAATCCAGCATCTGAAGGTGTTGACGGGCCAAGCTGCTCCAAACGGTGCATCAGCAATGAACTATGGGTCGTTGGGATCAAACCAGCAATTCTATTCCAACAATCAGTCAATGCAAACAATCTTAGCCGCACAACAGTTCCAGCAGCTTCAGATCCATTCGCAGAAACAGCTGCAACACCAACAACAGTTTCAGCTTCAGCAGCAACAGCTGCAGCAGCTTCTAAACCATCGCCTTCAACAGCAGGAACAACAAAATGGAATTGCAGAGATGAGAAAACAGAAACCATCTCAAGGCCAGAATGAGAGCTGAGGAATACGAGGTTGAATATATGTGGACTTTTGCGAGAGAGGTATATCCATCAATCAGAGTCCTTTTGGATTTAGGATTGTTGCGTTTTAGGGTTTTACCTAACGGGTGCCTTGGCCTACAGGGTATTGACGTTATGCACTAAGCAGAAGACTTTTGGTATATCATCGAGGAAAGAAAACATTTGGATAGCCCAAAGACACATTATGAGCTGTTTGGATTTGGTTATTGGAATTTAGATTGGGTCTTGTGTCCAAGTACGTAAAAAGTTTTTTTTTTGGTTTTTATCACATTCAAACTGTGAATTTGTTATAAATTATAAATTGTACACGTTATTCCCAACCGTGCTTGATGTATATTTGTTTTCTCAGATGCTTTTGTAAAATAACATTTAGATTAAATATCATATTGATTGACAATTTGCTGCGTAGACTTGCTTAATTCATCTAGTTTTTGTAAAACTCTTTGAGACTAAATCGTTAATTATAAAGTATTATTCAGCGTTAAAAATAAACATACATTGTAGAAAATATAAAGATTATTTTCAGTAGAATTAAACACTGAGTTTATCCACTAAAAGAAAGAAGGAACCGCCACAAGATTAGTCAACACCAACTCCATCGAAATTCGGTTTGATCTTAAAAGAACATTTGTTTTCTCCAATATGCAAATTTTAATACAGACCGCTAAAAAATTTCAGCCGACTATTTGTTGTGAAATATTGTCCACAAGATTTTGAGGCTACTACACTCAAATACAAGAGGAAAACATTTTTCTCATAATTGTCTTACTTTTAATACAGACCGCTCATAATTGTCTTACTTTTCGGCCCCCTTAAGAAAATAGATCACTTTTCAATATTTTATTTTCAATATAAAAAGACAGATTTTCAAATTTGTAGTACACATATAATACTAATAGGTGTTAAATTTAATGATAGTATAATGAAATAGTCCAAAAACAAGAGGTATATATATATAAATAAGAGCGCTCTATAAATAATTGAAGAAAATTTTGAGAAAATAACTTTTAATGAGTTAGTATTTTTAAAAATACACCATTTATATTAGTTTGAAAACTACATAACTCTAATATCCCAGTCAGATTATCTGAAAAAGACGGGACAGAGAAAATATCGAAATACAAGTGAGAGAGACAGAGAAGAAGAGAAACAACGAGAGCCGCAGAAGAAGAAGAAGAGTGGGACCATACAAACAAGTACAAGGCCTTGCTGTAAGAAGCAATGATGTGGTTCCTTTTGATACGCATAATCTTAAAAAGGCCTTCCTTATCTTCTCCTCTTCAAAATCTTGAACTAGAGAAGACAACAAAAGGCATAGCTTTCTTTTGTAGAATCCTCTGATACTCAGATTCTCTCATCTCAAGAAAAAAACACAAAAAAGGAAAGCTCTGTTTGAGAAAGATGAAGATACAATGTGATGTGTGTGAGAAAGCTCCGGCTACACTAATATGTTGTGCCGATGAGGCTGCTCTGTGCGCTAAATGCGACGTTGAGGTTCACGCCGCTAATAAGCTCGCTAGCAAACACCAACGCCTTTTTCTTAACTCTCTCTCCACCAAGTTCCCTCCCTGCGACATCTGCCTTGTAAGATAATCAATCTCCTCTTCTCTTTTTTCTTCGTCTCTGTTCGTGTCTGTATCTGTTGTATCTTCAGAGATCTTTGTGTGTTTCTGAGTTTCTCTATTGGTGATTCTTGAGCAGATCTTGTGATTGAGAGCTATTCTTGGCAGGTTCTTTAGGAGTATCATTGTGAAAGTTCTTAGCTTTCTATAAATTCGTTAACAAAGATTGGATATTTAGATTTAACTCAAGCAAAGGTTGGAGTTTTAGATCCAATTTTGGTAGATATTCTAGATGGAGTCTCAAGAAACAAGGTTGCTCATGTAGTATTCTGTTCTTTGTGTTCATCTTTTGTTTGACTTGCAGGAGAAGGCAGCTTTCATATTCTGTGTTGAGGATAGAGCTCTTCTCTGCAGAGACTGCGACGAGGCGACCCATGCGTCTAATACTCGCTCTGCTAATCACCAGAGGTTCTTGGCCACTGGAATCAGAGTCGCTCTGAGTTCAACTAGTTGCAGTAAAGAAGTGGAGACGAATCATTTCGACCCATCTAACCAGCAGAATGCAAAGCAGACTCTCCCTAAACCTCTAATTCAACAGTCTGCTGCTCCATCTCCACCATGGGATGGTGATGAATTCTTCCGCTACTCTGATCTTGAGTGCAGTAATAAGGTGAGAAGCGGTTTTACCAAATCTATGGGTACTAAATGTGTTAAGGCTTGTAGCTTATTTTGACATGTGTATAACCTGTTCTTGTGGTTCAGCAGAAAGAGCAGCTCGATCTCGGGGAGCTAGACTGGCTTGCAGAGATGGGTTTCCTTGAGGACCAGCCTGATCAAGAAACTCTACCGGTAGCTGAAGTTCCCGAGCTTTCGTTTTCACATTTGGCTCATGTTCATTCCTACAATAGACCCATGAAGTCCAATGTTTCCAACAAGAAACCGAGGCTTGAGGTCCGGTATGATGATGAGGAAGAGCATTTCCTTGTCCCTGACCTAGGCTAAGCTTGTATATAGCACTTGCTTCGCCATATGTATCTATACGTGCTCATCTATTGTCTTTGTCTTGCTTTCTCTGTGATCTGATTCGAACCAGTAATAGGTTTAAGGAACAATCTTCTCGTTTTATTAGCAAGTGATGCCTTGAATTGAAACATAGAGTCTTTTTTAAATCATTACATTTTGAAGAAGGAGAAACAAAAAACAGAGCGCAATGCCCCCAATTCGTTTCTCTCATCCGGAAACAAGAATACAGAAGAGAGAAGAGAGCCGTGAAAGAAAACAAATTACGTGATAATAAAGGCTTTGCGTTGGCTTTTGTTTCTATTTGCCTTCGAGAAAGCTGACAACTTCAGCCTCCGAGGGAAGAGCAGGAATGGCTCCTTTTTTGGTCGTGGTGATTGCTCCACAAGCGTTTGCGAATCTCAGCACTTTTCTCAATCTCTCTTCGTCCTGTTTAAAGTAAATACCCAAGAGTTCAATGGATACTGAAGTTAGAACGATTCATTCAATGGATTGGATAACAGATAGGTCATTTGGATGCTTTCTTTTGAATGTTACCTCGAGAATGGATTGATCATCGGCAATCTTGTTTAGAAGGGCACCAACAAAGGAATCTCCAGCTCCGGTTGTATCCACGGCGTCCACATGGAAAGGGTCGACGGATCCACGGAAGTTCTACACACAGTTTGTTAAGCAGAGAAACCCATTTTAGGTAAAAGTCACAAAAGTTATTGACGTAAAGCAAGTGTACGAATCGGTTTTCATGTTCATGTGATTCGGCAACTAAGAAAAGCAAAAGTAACTTCCATTTCTTGACAAGAAGAAAATTCGTCACCTTTGAAAAACAAAAGAAACTTAGAGATCACGACTTCTCTGACCCTAAGTAGGAATTTTTTTTAATGGAGGGTCCACGAGGAAGAAAAAATTTCAATTTTTAATTAAGCAGTTGGTGAGATCTACCAAACCAACCAATATTAAATCGAGTAGCACAAATGATTCCTGCAGCAGTATTGACATCTCTGTTCTGATTAATATATTAAATACGTTTCTCTAATCCTTTCCAAAAACATGTTGATATAAAAGTAAATCTGAAATCATTTTATATAGCACACTACTTTTGCCTTCTGGTATCAGCTAATCGACACAACACACAAGACACAACCAAGAGACAATCATAATGATGATGATGGTAAATGCACATAAAATATGTTTGACTGTGTTTACCTTGGCGTAATACCGACATCCCTTTTCACCGAGGGTGACGAGCAAGAGCTTCAAGTTGGGATGCCACAAGGACAATGCGGTCTCATCATCGATCTTGTTGCTTCCAGTTAGAAACTCCAGCTCAACGTCGCTTACCTTGATGATCTCAGCTTTGTCCCAGATGCTCATGATCTGTGTCTTGGCTTCTTCCTTTGATGGCCACAGAGGTTCCCTTAGGTTTGGGTCGTATGAAAGAAGAGCTCCTGCTTCTTTCGCCACTTCCATTGCCTTCAAGTGAGCCGACCTACATGGCTCCACTATTAAGCTTATTGATCCATAATGAAACACTTTGGCCTGCAAAAAGACACATCAGGTTGGTCACACAACAAAATTACACCGATCTACAAATTCCAAACTTGACAGAAACAAGTAAAAGCCAGTTTGGTACCCCAAAACTCACAGAATTACACAGCTTGGATCATAAGGAATAATTATTCAAGGGACCCAGTTTGATATGATTCTTTATATTTTGATAATTAACTACGATGGGGTCAGTCATTATCAAACTGTTCTACAAAAGCAAAAGGTCCTCACCATTGAGACTAGCTGTAAAGGTAAATTTTTCAAGCAAAAATATTCAATCTGACGTTTCACCATCACCATAAAATGTGCACATTAACTTTAGATCACATCAATGAACCCGAACATACTCAGAATTTCAGATTTTCAATTAGGGTCAAGAAGAACAAATATTTAGCTCACTGCAAAACTACTAAACATTAATATTATATATCACACCCTATTTTTTCCACAAATCAGAGCAATATAATAGGAGGATAAAAATCATTAGAGAAGTCAATTAACCCAGATTCTGATCTTGTGCTTAATCACGATATTAGTCGACCAAAAGGTAGAAAGCTTTTATTTTTGGGGGAAAAAAAAGTAAAATGTATCACTTTCATCCTTTTTTTTTTCCTTTCAATTTTTGGATAATACAAACAAGTCAGGTACTTCGACAAATCACGTGACATCACGTGGATCTACGCACATCCGTGTGCGAAAAGATCTTAAGACCCGCGAAGAAGAAAAAACGCAGTGAGATCAGAGAAAAGTCACCGCCCGTGAAATTAGCAACGACACATAACCCCAGTGAGATCATCTTCTACGTTTCTTAAGCAATAAGCACGATTCCCAATACTCTAGAATTCCAACACTCCGATGAAAAAATTTCGAAAACAAAATTTTGTTTCTGCGTTTTCCCAGTAATTCAAAAAACAAGAGACCCTATGAGAATCTATGATTTTCTCTTAGATCTCGTGAAGATCTGGAGTAAACAGAGTTTTCTATAACCCCAAAATCGTAAAATATGGAATCAGAGAGAGATAGAAGGGATTTAAGCGATTTACGTACGGATCTGATGAGCTCGAGGTTGAGTTCGTCAGGGCGGAGGAGCATATCGGCGCTGGGATTCCGGTAAAACATAAACTCCCGATCTCCGTCGGCACGTAACGTGACGAAGGCGAGGGCGGTCCTGGCTCCTTTGTCGAAATTGATCCCCTGATCAGCGACGCCGTTTTTCCTCAGAATCCCAGCGAGCATATGGCCGAACTCGTCGTCTCCAAGTTTTCCGACGAAGGCGGAACGTCCACCGAGACGAGAAACGGCGATGGCGACGTTTGCAGGAGCACCGCCTGGAGCTTTGAGGAATCCAGGAGCCTCGGCGAGGGAGACTCCGGATTCGGTTGGGACGAAATCGATCAGCATCTCGCCGAAGCTAACGATCAGTCCTTTCTCGCCGTTTGATGCCATTAGAAGGGAAGAAAACGAGATCTGTGGAGAGTTGGATCAAATCGGAGAATAGAGAAGGAGAAAATACAGAAGAGAATATATTAAAATGAAGGAAGGAGAGATTGGTTTATATAGAGGAGGACGAGACTTTAACTGGTGAAGCTACACTGAAATATTAGCGTAATCATTAAATAATATTCATTATTTGTTTCTGGAATATTATCCATAATCGATAAAATATCAAAAATATATTACCAAAAAACATAATAAAATGCATAATTCTTATTACCTTTTCAAACTTTTGCCCGAATCTTTGATTTATCTGTTTCGTTTTCTCCGTAATTGTCTCTGTTTTAGTTCTGTATCATTGTTTGATCAAATTATTCTGTTAATACGAGAAGAGAGAGTAAATAAAAAACTATAATCAGGTTAATTGAATAATGACAAAACACCAACAAAATACTCTCACGTGTTTAAAAACAGTTTTAATTCTAAAAAACTAAACATTTTTAATTCTCAGGAATTTTGGTTTAACTGTTTCAGTTTCGTTATATACTATCGTAACATTTTCATTGAAAGGTTTTTTTTCAGAATAAAAGCAGTTACATTTTATAAATTAAATATAAGAAATTTGGTATTGGGATGTACCGATTTTGGGATGATTAGTTTGAAGCTATGTTGAGTTCTTTATAAGATAAGTCGGAAAAATAACGAAAAATATTTACAAATCTAACCAAATGAAATGATTCACGTTAAATAAGTAAGTGAAGCGTCACTGGTTAGTCGGTGTTGACAAGTTGAATTATTTTAATGTTTAGTTAATTAGTACTAATCGTAAAGGATTTAAATTAGACAAACCAACCTGTGGATTCCCTTGTTCGGTTTTCAGAAAACCAGCAAAGAAAAACTAAACTTTTCACAAGTTACAAAAAATCTCGAAATTAGTCTGAAATTTAATTCATCATTATCTGGTTATATTAAATAAACCATGTTCACATAGTTACTTCGTTTAATTCTTACAAAATATTAGCACAGATCCCAACATTATTGGGAACAAAAGAGTAGACTTGGTGGTGGTCATAAATTGTTAAACATCACAGTGTAGAGCTACAAAAGAAGAGGCTGCAAAGTGAGAGAGGTTTGGTCTGTTGATCTCATTGTTGTGTTAGCTTTGGTGGTTATGTGGTCATGGAGGATTAAGAGTTTGAGTGTGGCTGATTCACGCAGCCAAGTTGCTACGACCGAACCGCTTGATGTGAAGCGTCCCATGTTGCATTTTGAGAGGTGGAACGGTGCGTCCATTCCCCTCAAAAGCGCTTCAACGGCTGGCCTTAGTGCTCCGTCTCCAACCACTTTGCTATGTTTTCCCCAACCAGTCAATATGCTGCCACAAAAGGTTAACCAAAACATTTCACAAGGTTTCAAGGAACCCGAATTTTGAAAACAAGACCAAACCGCATAAATCAGTATCTCCAAAGTCACTGTAATCAGCAATGACTTTGGTTTCTAGGCCCGGTTTAGGTTGGGAAGTTATACCAAAGAGCTCTTTGTAGCTTACCTCATGAGTTTAGGTAACTCATGACCTTCATAGACAATGGAGCGTATGTTTAGCAACCAAGCATGAACCATTGCGCGTGCAGCACCAGAAGACATAAGATGCAAGTCCAAGCACGTAGTAGACCACACATTCTCCCAAACTTGTCTAGATCTTACCTCAAGTGCCACCAGTTGTGCACCTCGTTTCTATAAACAAAAAATGGATTCCAAAAGTAAGCCGCGTAAAGAATCAGATTCCAAAGATTTTGCCTTCTATAATATCAGTGTGATTTTACCTGACCAAAGTGCCAGAGCATGTCGGTAAGAGCATTGTAGAAGGCAGATACAGTTGAACCATCCATTTCCTTGACTTTGTTAAATAAGGTCTGAGCTTGGAGCCACACGACCTCTCTATGTCCCATGAGAAGTCCATGAACTACACCATATAACTGATTATCAAACAGCCTGAGCTCCTTTAGCAGCATTGATGCATCTTCAAATGAGTTGCACCGACTACATTGAATACACACATGTCAACAAAATAAGGATCCTCACCAAAATGCAACCAATCTATGAGAACACTAACAATTGGGCCATATCTTTCACTTTCAAAACTCAAGAAGAGGGACAAACCTGCAAGCGTTCAGAATCGCTGAAAAGGTTACAACATTTGGTTTTATTTCCAGCTGATGCATTTTGCGGATAACTTCCAGTATACAGGAGATCTCATGCATACCCACCTTACAATCTTTCTTCATCCTGTTCGTATTCTCAGTGGTTAACTGCCCAAATATCTGTATTACCCGATTATCTTCTGTTCTACTCAATTTACTTGAAGAAGGAGGAAAAGAGGAAGTTCCAACTTCCAAGTTACTAGCTCCACCATCTCTAGATTCAGCTAACGACTCCATAGTTGCAGAACGACCAAAGGCGTCGATTATTGAATTGTAAGTTACAACGTTAGGCCTAATTCCTTCCTTTGTCATCTCATCGATCAAAGAAACAGCAGAACCCACCAACCCGTTCTTGCACAAAGCATCAATCAATGCACTGTACAACACAACATCAGCTCTTAAACCAACGCTTTTAAACTCCCTAAATATCTCCATAGCCTCTTTGTACAAACCCCCTTTGGAGTACACATCGATCAATGTTGAATAAGTCAGTAAATTAGGCAGGACATGCTCTTTTTTCATCTCAGCGAAAACGTTCTTCACTTCAACATATTTCCCTTGTTTCCCATACCCTCCAAGAAGAGCATTATAAGTCACAACATCCTTCTTAATCCCAACCGATGCCATTTCTCTAAAAACATCCAAAGCTTCTTCAGATCTGCCAACTTTAGTATAAATAGAAACCAATGTGTTGTAAGAAACTCTATCCAACGCAATACCGAGATACCTCATCTCATCAAACAAGCTAAGAGCTTCATCGAATCTCCCGGCCTTTGCAAACCCATCAATGACAGTGCTATAACTTACAACATTAGGCATGATTCTCTTTGCCGGCATCTGAGAAAGGATATCAAAAGCAAGATCCATCTAAACTCCTTTGCATATTGCATCCAAAAGCGTATTGTAAGAAAACACATCTAACTCAATCCTTCTGTTCAACATCTCATCAAAAAGATTCCTTGCTGCTTCCCATAACCCCCTCCTCTACTACAAACAGCAAGCAAAGAGTTGAAAGTTATTCTATCAGGCTGCACACCGTTCCTCTGCATCTCATCGAAAAACTCAGCCACTCGCTTAAACTCCATCCCTCCTTTACCGCACGCGTCAATCACAGCATTGTAGGTAACCAAATTCGGCCTCAAGCCATAGCTTTTCATGGAGTTGAAGACACTAATGGCTTCTTCATGGAGACCACTTCTCCCATAAGCGCTGATGAGAGCAGAGAAGGCGTAAACCGTGTTTCCATACCCACAAGCCAAAGCAGTTTCGAAAACACTCTTAGCAATGTCTACTTTGCCTAATCTACCAAGTGTACTAATCATGGCACTAGCTAATTTCCCTTGCTCGTTATTCCTCCTCTCTCGTTTAACTGCAAACTCGTAAAAGCCAAGTGCTTTATCACACTCACCTCGATTCCCTAACTCACGGATTATAAAAGTGTAGTCGTCAGAGCCACGAAGCTTAGACTCGAAGCTCAACATTAGACTCTGAAACATCTCATCGTCTCCTGAGAAATCGATAGCACTCTGGAGAACATCTTCCGCAGCAGAGCTGTGTCGAGTGGCCATTGTAGTCTTAGGTCGCCCGAAATGCTTCTTGGAGACGAACCGGGTCGATCGACGACCCGAGAAGTCCGAGGAGAGACCCGATTCCGGAGTTTGCAGAGGAGGAAAAGCAGGAAACAGAGATAGTCGACCGGAAGAAACAGTGGCGACGGAAACGGCGGGAGATGAAGACGGAGGAGCTGAGGTAACGGCGGGACCGCCACGAGGAGAGGAAGAGACACGCTGCGGAAGCCATGGACGAATGTTGTAGTTGGGTTTTTGACGGGTCTGACGATGGTTGTTGGTGGTGAAAACCGACCAGTGAGGCGGCGTTGACGCCATTGTTGAAAAGAAAGATTTTTGGTGCTTCCACGGAAAAAAAGAGCTCGTTTTGCCTTTTATGAAGGGTTTTTCGATATTGAGTGAGAGAGAGAGAGAGAGAAGAGTAACAGATCGTTGACTTGGACTCTCTCCTTAATAGCTTCCAGGAATTTGATTACTTCACCAAAGTCAGTCACTCATGCTCTATTTTCGTTATCTTCTTTATAATGATCTCATATTATATTGTTTCCACTTTTTTTCAATATTTTGTTTAGCTTTCCCTTTTCTAAAGATTCCATTTTTATGAAGCGATATATCAAATTTTTGGAAAAGAGATCTGAAGAAATGATACGCTCCTGGTCCTATAAATGAAATGCGACCAACGCTCTCACCAAATTTGATAAGAACACACCCCTACCTAGAGTCTCTAGACGAGTAGAAGATTTGGACGTGTCAAAGAGTCATTGTCCCACCTAATATAGCATAAAGTATCGTTGAAACAATCTAAGAGCATCACTAATGCTGATACCCAGTTTGGATCTCTTATCAATTTTTAATTTCGTTTAACATTTATTTTTTAGTTGGGGAGGACTCCATGTTTTATACCCCTCCAACCCTGATACCCAATTTAAGGGTTGTTTTGATTAAAATATTAATATTTCGATTATTTTTTTAATATTTTTAAAAATACAAAAATAAAATTACATAAATACATGACATAAAATGTGATTAATATAGGAATACAAATGATATATTGAAATACAACTTTTTAAAATTTTTAAAAACATACAAACTTAATTTCAAAGAGTGGTTCCTCCAAATTTATGCCAAATATGTTCTACTAAATCTTCCTTTAATTGATCGTGAATTTCGATATCTCGAACTTGAATCCGATTACCGATCAAATTGCCCATATTCGATGCCGTTTCTGTTGAGTAACTCATATCGACATATGAAGTTCTGCTTCCTTCACCTTGTACGAATTCAGATATATTAAGTTGAGTGTTGGTAGGTCGTTCGTCTTCGATTATCATATTGTGTAATATGATACATATTCTCATAATCTTCCCTATCTTCTCTTTATCCCACATTAAGGCGGGATTTTTGACAATAGCAAACCGGGCTTGCAAGACTCCGAAAGCTCTTTCGACATCTTTCCGTACAGATTCTTGGCATTGAGCAAATAATGTATCTTTTTCACTTTGGGGAAAAGGAATAGACTTGACAAATGTTGCCCATTTTGGATATATACCGTCTGTTAGGTAATATGGTAGACGATAGTTGTGACCGTTGACAGAGTACTTTACTTTCGGAGCTTTACCATGTAAGATGTCATAAAAAACAGGTGGTCGTATCCGGCACTCTCTCAACCCTTCCCATGTCGCGTCTTTGATTCGAAATCCTTCTCTCCAGGATGCCAAGTTGCTCCGTGACTGCCTCGTCCCAGAACTTGAAGATATGCTCCCCAGTTCCATACTTAAGACATTGAAAATTGATGGTTAAAATCACGTTCAACAATTTTGAAAAATAAAATATAATGACTTTTCACTCTTACCTCTTATAACCACGCAGGACAGCTGTAGTATTGCCGACCTGGAGTCCTAACCGCCTCAGCAGACATGCCTTGTAGCTCGATAAGTCGACCACATATGCACTTCTCCGGGATGCCGAACTTGGCTTCTTCTAACATCCAACTGTAGTCCTCAATGTATTCCTCATCAGAAGATGGCTCACTGTAGCTAATGGGCATCCTGAAAACAGATTCATAGTGATCAACATATGCAAACCGTTTGAAGGAAACATAGTGATCAACTAATCGATTTCAAATAACATAGAAAGAAGAACGAATTATCGCCGATTCAACCACCCATACAATACTACTGAACCGATTAAACCCAAATTTCAAGTAATTCGACGAACCCTAGAATTTCCCCCAAATTGATTCAAACCCTAATTTCGATTTTAAAAACGATAAAACCCACGAAACGATTGTTAACGAGGTCGGGAATCTTTACCTTGCTCGTCGCGACGTTCCGATGAATCAGCTTCGTCGTCTCACCAGTCCAAATCGCCGGTAAACCGATTCGTCGGTGACAGAAAAATACTCAGGGAAAACCACTCGTTTTCTTTCTCGAAAACAAAATGAGACGGACAAAAAAATAATGAAAATACGCACCATTTTCCTTTCCATTCCAGCCACTCACCTTCCGCCACGTCATCAACGATACTGGTTTGAGATGGGCTCTTCGGTCTCATCTGAAGAGACGGTACGTCCAAATAATTCGGCTCAAAGTGTTTTTTAATTGCATTCTAGCCCTTCGGGCCCACTGACGTACCGTGGATGATATCGCGTTAGGCCCACTGACGTACCGCGGATGATACCGCGTTGGAGATGGCCTAATACTCTGATATATTTGTCTAATTTTTGTTGTAAATATTAAAAAGTTGTGTGGTGGGGTTCTATAGTCGTTGGAATTTCAAAAGATTGAAACTTTGGAGAGGAGACATATGAAAGCTGTTCTGATATAATTTTTTTTTTCAAATTATATTATAAAAATATATCCTCCCATTTTTACAAATCCTTGAGTTAATATCTTGTTACAAAATATTAGCAGAGAGCACAAAATCCTACCATTGTTTACAACACAGACTTGGTAATCAGAAATTGTTAACATCAGTGTACAGCTACAAAAGAAGGGGTTCCAAAGTGAGAGAGGTTTGGTCTGTTGATCTCATTGTAGTGTTAGCTTTGGTAGTTATGTGGTCATGGAGGATTAAGAGTTTGAGTGTGGCTGATTCACGCAGCCAAGTTGCTACGACCGAACCGCTTGATGTGAACCGTCCCATGTTGCATTTTGAGAGGTGGAACGGTGCGTTCATTCCCCTCAAAAGCGCTTCAATCGCTGGCCTTAGTGCTCCATCTCCAACCACTTTGCTATGTTTCCCCCAACCAGTCAATATGCTGCCATTAAAAAAGAAACGTTAACACAACCCTATCAAACTGCTTGTTAGTTATCACAAGAAAACCTAGCATCGAATTTGGGAATACATGATATATATTAGATTTTGAAAAAGATGAGGTCAAATCTTGTGCTAAGTTTTAGGAAGAAGAAGTCAGACGAAAGGTGTAGCTATAATATTGGTGTTTAACCCAAAGAGTTTTTTGTAGCTTACCTCAAGAGTTTCGGTAACTCATGACCTTCATAAACAATGGAGCGTATGTTTAGCAACCAAGCATGGACCATTGCGCGTGCAGCACCAGAAGACATAAGGTGCAAGTCCAAGCAAGACTCAGACCACACGTTCTCCCAAACTTGTCTAGATCTTCCCTCAAGTGCCACCATTTGCGCGCCTCGTTTCTGTAACATGTTTCCAAAAGTAAGCCTTTGCACAAATAGTAACGCATAAAAACAGATTCCAAAACTTAGGCCTCTAGAATATCAGTGTGATTTTACCTGACCAAAGTGCCAAAGCATATCGGTAAGAGCATTGTAGAAGGCAGATGCAGTCGAACCATCCATTTCGTTTACTTTGTCGAATAAGCTCTGAGCTTGGAGCCAAACGTTCTCTCTATGACCCATGAGAAGTCCATGAACAACACCATATACCCGATTATCAAACAGCCTTAGCTCCTCCAGCAGCATTGATGCATCTTCAAATGAGTTGCACCGACTACATTGATACAAACATGTCAACAAATCAGAATCCTCACCAATGCAGCCATACAGCGAAACCACATATAGAGCTAATCTATAATAACCCTAACAACAGGGTCATATCTTTCACTCGCAAAGTTCAAGAAGATAGATACCGAAAAGAAGGACAAACCTGCAAGCATTTAGAATGGCAGAAAAGGTTACGACATTTGGTTTTATTTCCAGCTGATGCATTTTGCGGATAACTTCCAATATACAGGAGAGCTCATGCATACCCTCCTTACAATCATTCTTCATCCTGTTAAAACTCTCAATGGTTAATTGCCCAAATATCTGTATTATCTGATTATCCTCTGTTTCAGTCAATCCACTTAGTGAAGAAGAAGGAATATTGGACGATCCAACTTCAAAAGTACTAGCTCCACCATCTCCAGATTCAGCTGACTTCATAGTTGCAGAACGACCAAACGCATCGATTATGGAATTGTACGTTACAACGTTAGGCCTAATTCCTTCCTTTGTCATCTCACCGATCAAAGAAACAGCAGAACTCACCAACCCATTCTTGCACAAAGCATCAATCAAAGCACTGTACAACACAACATCAGCTCTTAACCCCACGCTCTTAAACTCCCTAAATATCTCCATTGCCTCTTTATACAAACCCCCTTTGGAGTACACATCTATTAAGGTAGAATAGGTCAGTAGATTAGGCAAGACGTGGTCCCGCTTCATCTCAGCGAAAACATTTTTTACTTCATCATATTTTCGTTGTTTCCCATACCCTCCAAGAAGAGCATTATAAGTCACAACATCCTTCTTAATCCCAACAGATGCCATTTCTCTTAGAATATCTAAAGCCTCTTTGGATCTACCAAGCGTAGTATATATCGAAAGCAGCGTATTGTAAGAAACTCTATCCAATGCAATACCAAGATATTTCATTTGATCAAACAAGTTAAGAGCTTCATCAAATCTCCCGGCTTTTGCAAACCCATCAATGACAGTGCTATAACTTACAACATTAGGCAAGATTCTCTTTGCGGGCATCTGAACCAGGATTTCGAAAGCAAGATCCATCTTCCCTCCTTTGCAGATTGCATCCAAAAGCGTATTATAAGTAAAGACATCTTGCTCAATCCCTCTCTTCAACATCTCATCAAAAAGATTCCTTGCTGCTTCCCATAACCCTCCTCTGCTACAAACAGCGAGCAAAGAGTTGAAAGTTATTCTATCAGGCTGCACACCGTTCCTCTGCATCTCATCGAAAAACCCAGCTACTTGCTTAAACTCCATTCCTCCTTTACCGCAAGCGTCAATCACAGCATTGTAGGTAATCAAATTCGGTTTCAAGCCATAGCTTTTCATGGAGTCGAAGACACCAATGGCTTCCTCATAGAACCCACTCCTCCCATAAGCACTGATTACAGCCGAGAAGGTGTAAACCGTGTTTCCATATCCACCATCTAAAGCAGCTTCGAAAACACTCTTAGCAATGGCTACTTTGCCTAATCTACCGAGAGTACTAATCATGGCACTAGCTAATTTCCCTTGCTCGACCCTTCTCCTCTCTCGAATAACTGCAAACTCGTAAAAGCGAACGGCTTTATCGCACTCACCTCGATTCCCCAACTCACGGAGTATAAAGGTGTAGTCTTCGGAGCCACGGAGCTTAGACTCGAAGCTCAACAATAGACTCTGAAACATCTCGTCCTCACCGGATAAATCGATAGCGCTCCGGAGAGCATCTTCCGCAGCTGAGCTGCGACGCGTGGCCGTCGTAGTCTTGGGTCTCCCGAGATGCATCTTGGAGACGAACCGGGTGGATCGACGACCGGAGAAATCGGAGGAATCCGACTTGGGAGTTTGCAGAGGAGATAAAGTAGGAGTCTTTGATAGCTGGGCAGAAGCTACGGTGGCTACTGAAACAGCTGCGGATGAAGACGGAGGAGCTGATGTAACGGCACGAGGACAGGAAGTGATACGCTGTGGAAGCCATGGACGGTGGTTGTGAGTGGGTTGTTGACGGATCTGAGGATGGGTATTGGCGGTGGTCATCGACCGGTGAGGCGGCGTTGACGCCATTGAAAAGGGTCTAAGCAATCGAAGAGCTTTTCGGAGAAATAAGGCCAACAGTGAACCTGAGAGAGATAAAGAATATCCTTGAATTGGAATCTCTCTCCTTATCACTTATCTTATCTCAGCTTCCCCAAACTCATGGCTACTTTCGTTTGTTTTATTCGTTTTTATTTTTTGGAACTATTTCATATGATTTTCTTTCCAATTGTTTGTTCCTATGTTCTTGTTAATATTATTTTGTTTAAATCTTCCTTTTCTGCAGATACCATTAATCCATTAATCAAAATTTTCTGAAAAAGATCGAGAAATGATATGCTGATGGTCCTATGAAAAGAAAAAAATTGCGACCAAGTCTCACCAAATTAGATTAATAAATTAGTAACCCACCTACCTAGAGTCATTGTCTCACCTAATATAGCAAAGTGTAAACGTTGAAACAATCTAAAAACTCTGATTTCTTTATTTGCTTGTTTCTGGTTTTAAATTTTGGAACCAGCTTTAGCGACAATGATTTCGGCGTCTGCAAATCCCTTCTTCACTTGGCAAGTCATGATCGGGCAACTTTTGAATTACAAAACAAGATTCGCAAATTGATCATAAATCTGAAGTGGTGCGACACAAACTTCTCAAAAGGCTATCATGTTGACATAGCTTGTGTGTTTCACTTAAGTGACTACCATAGAGATGAATAACTCTCTAACAGGACAAAGACTAGACTTGAAAACTGTCGTCACAACGACTAAATACAGCCCGCAATTCGAACATAAGGAACTGAGAACACATCAGAACAAAACTCATATGATCAATCATTGTACTTCCTCAAAACTCAAAAAGAAAGAATAAAGAGAAACAGAGTAAACGTAAGGTGAGATGAATTCAACTCTATTGGACATTTAAAAAGAAAATTTGATTAGCTATCCCGGAGCTAACATCCCTGTCAAATTCATCGTAATCTCACATCTCAAAGCTCATCTTGGTTTCTCTAATTAGCTGTTTCTCAAAGGATTTTGCAACATCCTCACAGAAATGAATAAATCCTAAAGCCTCATTTTGCATAATAAAGACGGTTTTTTTTTTCTGTTGAAGCAAAATCTCACTATTAAATTTGGTTCTTAGCAGCAGATTGTTAACTAACAACATTTGACTAAACGTCACAAGAAAATACAAAACTGAAAATAAAAACTTCACCTTTTTGTGTAAGAAGAGAAAGAAAAATTTCACTAATTCTTGATGGTCTTCTTGTTCCCGTTTAACATCTCATCAGGAATAACTTTAAGATGCTTCCTCTGCTTAGACTTGGCAATTTTCTTCAGAGTCTTAGGGTTTGTGATCTTCTGCAACTTGGTACCAGTTCTCAAGATATTCTCCTTCTTCCTCTTCTCCCTCTCTTCCCTCTTCTTCCTCTTCTCCACCTTATTACTCCTAATCTCTTCCTTAAGCTCGTTAATCCTCTCCTTGTACGCCTTCTTAATCTCTCTCTGCCTCTTCATCTCCTCCAGATCCGGTCCCTTGTTCCTCACAAACCTCCCCGACGCTCGGTGAGTTCGCGGCTGCTTCCACGTCCGTCCGGAAACTTTCCCGGCGATTACACCGTCGTATGTCGGTCTCCCGATCGCCACAGCCACAGGTTTGTCTGGATCTTCAGAGGAAGCGACGGCGCTGCGTTTCGCCGATGGAGGACGGATCAGATCGCCGCCGTCGATGTCCATCGACGCTTCATCGGCGATTGCTTCGGCGGCAGCTTGTTCCTGAGATTCGCGCTTTCGTTTGTAGGTTTTGCCGCCGAATCCTTCATCAAGGCACCGGAAATCTACGGTGCAAGCCATTTTTTGCTTCTTCTTCTTCTTTGAGCAGCTAAGTTCTTTGTGGCTGTGAATAAATTTTTAGGGTTTTTCGAGTATTTATGTAATTCGAGTAATTGGGGACAGGGTAGAAATCCGGTTTTAATCTGCCCACTCAAATCTAACAATCGAACCGGTTTAGATTCCGGTTCGGTTCGGTTCGATTTCGTAGACGCAGATGCAGCGGAAAAAAAACAGACCCTAAGCCTGATTTAAACGCAACTGTTGCGATAGTGCGAGAGTTTGCAGAAACGGATAATTGCAATTTTGAGCATTATTCAACGGTTTAAGTTAAACTTTTTAAAGCGATTCCATTTACAGGACATTTTGATTGTTTTACCGGTTAAACATAAAATTACTAAAATAAACATCATATATAATTATAAAAAAATAGAAAAACTATATTATTATGATTAATATCAAAATAAGTAGTTCAGAATAATTAATAAAATTTATAAATAAATACTAAATAATTATTTTAAAAACTAATAAAATTTATAATAATATATTTTATTTTAATGATTGGGAACATCACCCAAAATTGTATCTAGTAATATAATAGAGTGGAAAAAATTTGCTCCAATATGTGGATCTTCTAGATTTGTCTTATGCATGATGTAAAATTTCTTCAATTGATCTAATCGATTTTTGCACGACTCCAACTCAAATCAACTCTAAATTGTTCATTAGTATTCTTCAAAATACGTTTTTCTGGAGTGCACTCAAAAATCTAGGATATTTATCTTGAGTTTGTTTTTCAATAATGACCCATTGAAGTAACGTACATGTCATCTCGTTTGATTATGTAACTTTCTGAAGAACAAAAAAAAGAATTATAACAAACTAATTTTATAATTAATAAGATACATATTTATAAATTTTTACTTTAAAAGTAAAAACAGAATAATTAGTATAAATGAATTAAATCAAAGTATTATGGCAATTATACTTGTATCATAATTTTCTTCAACTGATATGAAAGCCATGATTAGAGATTAGAATTTGATAGAAATTAAAAGTGAGAAGTAAGGGTTTATATATATAGGAGAAGATTAATAGGTCATGGTTTTTTTTTTTTTTAGTTTGATTTTATTTTATTTTATTTTTTATCTTTTATAAAACTGCTACCGCCCGCAACCACAAATGCTGGCGGAAAGCAACTTTTGGATTTCAGTGGTATAAAACGATACGAAACTGTTTGCAGATGATTGTGATAAAACGCCACTAACCGCTACCAACCGTAAACGCTGCGTTTGCCGGTGATAACGGATGAACCAATCAACACCTAAGTCTCCAAATTGAATTTCAAACCGTGAATTATTAAATCTTGGATTATTGGTAACGCAAGCATTCTATCTTTACAGTCTAAGCATTTTCCTTCTTGCTAATAAGTAATAACCGATTCATAAAATCACAAGTCCTGTCTGGACCAGTCTGGTAATAATGTTGAAGATAGTAAAACGATGGAGTTTTTTTTTTGTGGCTAAGATTTAACATTGAATTTTTAGCTTTCGTTTGGTATTAAAGCATGCCAAATCTTGAAAAAGAAAAACAAATGGTCGACGCATATTCTATGCAAACAAAGGAATCAACCACAAAGCTATAGCGAATATTGACTCTATAACCGAGACCATTGTCAATTACACGAGGTTTAAAGACAACTGTGCCACCATGGGCGGATTAGTAATCACTATATACATTATGCCACATAGGCAGGCTTAGGCTTGGGACCTTCTTCTTCTTCTTTTTTAAAAAAAAAAAAACCATAAACATCCTAATAAAAATTGTTTAGGTTTAAAGACTAATCTCACAAAGCTTCGTATCACTCGAATCCAAATCCAGGACTCACCAATTAGGAATTACTACTGAATCAAAGTAACTTGGTTTGGAACTCCTTCTTCTTGTTCAACAAATAAAAATAAAAAGACTAAAAATATTAAACAGATATATAATTTCATAAATGTATTTTTGTTCAAACAAAAATTCATAAATGTATAAGAAAAATATATTAGTGAAAAATTGTAACTTCATAGGTTCTTGTATTTACCCAAGGGCATCTAAAGCAATTTGGTAACTTCTCAATATTCCACACCAAAATTTCAAAAGACCAGTATTTTTTTTTCTTTTTGAAAAATCTAAATTGTATCCGCTCCACAAAATTTATCAAATAATCTCATCCATATATTATCATTACTAATTTTAGTTCTCAGTTTAAGTATAAATAAATAAATAAAAAAAGGTTTGAAACACATAAGTAAAAAGAAGATCACACTACTTTTGTTTATGAATAAATGTCCACAATAATAGAAACAAAATACATGAGGTTTCTGACGTCGTTTTTGTTATTTGTGCTCATTGCAATTCAAGTAGCAAACGCGAAAATACCTTGACTCAAAGTTCTTCATTTTCTCTCTCTTGGATTAGGCGATAAATGGGCGATTAGGGTTTCATTCTGAACCGCTCTCCGCCGGCGGCCTCACGCTGTCTGGCGAGAATTTCTCTTCTTCCTTCTCCTTCCTTTGTTCTCGCTCCATGACTCTGTCAAAAAAGAAAAATAAGTCTCGCCATCTAAGCGCGGTGAGCTCCTCCAAGTTCGCTCAGGTGGCGGCAGTGGCTCGTCAAACCTCCGCTAGCTCATTCGCCGCCGTTCCTCCGGTCTCTGATGGCGGATCTGGTATCTCCCCGCCGCTTGAGCCGTCATCCTCTTCTCCCTCTCGATCCGGTGTTCCAGATCTGAGTTTGGATCAAATCCCGGTGGTGGATCCCATCCATCTCCCCGTGGTTCCCCCGGCACCTCTTCAGGAGGCTCTTGCCTCCCCTGTTGATACCTCAGTCCCAAACTCGGCCGCCGTAGAAGGTTCATCCTCCGGTGCTGTCCCTGGTGACCCCTCTGCCACTCTGGATGCTCAGGAGAGCCAGCACCGGAAATGGGCATCGATTGTCAAATCATCTGGTATTCTAGATGCTATTGGTACCCCCTCCAAGCATATCTCAGGAGTTCCCTTCGTCATGATTCCCGACCCCAACATCGAATCGGCGAAGGAGGAGTTCAAGGATTTCGTCTTTGCTAGATTCCATGGTGATGCGCCTGAAATGGGTCGAATCATCGGTATTGTCAACGCCATCTGGGCTCGTGTGGGACCTAGAATCTTCGTTCATAGGATTGGTCAATCAATCTTCCTCCTCAGGGTAATGAACTCCAGAACTCGAGATATTATCTTAAGTCGTAACATGTGGAACATTGCAGGATATCCAATGTTTGTGGCGCCATGGTCACCTGAGTTTTCGCCGGAGGTGCCTCCGCTTACATCTGCTGTTGTGCCGGTGGAATTTAGGAATGTTCCCTATCTCCTGTTTAAAAAGGAAAGCCTAAGCCGGATTGCAACTGCGGTTGGGCATCCAGTCAAGCTAGCTCCTGAAACTGAGCGTAAGGAGAACTTCGAGGTAGCCAAAGTCTATGTTCGCATCGATCTGCAAGCAGAGCTTCCTTCAAAAGTGATGTCGGGTTTTTCCAATGGCAAGGAAATCCTCATCTCTATCTTGTACCCGTGGATGCCAGTTAAATGCTCTGCCTGTGGTATGGTCATGCTGGAGTGAACTGTCACACCATTTCCTCCCAACCGTCATCTACTGGCAGAACTTTAAGTCAGTCTCCCATCAGGGGTATAAGACAGCGTATCCGTAAATCAAGATCCGGAAGATCCAAGGCCAGGAAGGTTACTGAACCCACCAGTGAGAAAACCCGTGGCAGGACCCCTGGTGAAGAGCCCTCCGAAGTGAAAGATTATGTGAACTCGGATGCTAACACTGGACACGTGTGGAGGAAGGTTGATAGACCAATATTGGGGTCTGCCTCAGTCAGCTCAGATTCGAACAAGTTGTCAGCAGGCGCTGTGGTCCAGTTAGACAAGGAAACTGATGCTATACCCAACAATCAAGAGCTGCGTGAGGTTCCTTCGGATACTCATAATCCTGAGAGAGGGGAGAATTCGGAGATGCCTGCTTCTACTCAAGAAGAGGATGTTAAGAATGATGATCCACCCTTCTTCTTGGTCTCCTACAAGAAGAGTGGCCGCAAGGCCAAAAAATCCATTTAATCTATCAGTATGTCGTTTTTTGTGTGGAATATAAGAGGGCTGAACAGTAACCGATGCCACAGTATGGTCAAAGACTGGATTAATATCCACAGACCTCTTTTTGGAGCGTTCTTAGAAACGCATATACAAGGAATAAATGCAAGGCGTATATCTAGAGCTTTGCCGGCGGGATGAAATTTTTTTGGCAATTTTAACCACCACAACAATGGAAGGGTTGTGGTAGTTTGGGATCCTTCGGTTACAGTAATGATATACCAAGTATCAGCTCAGGCAATCACTTGCGGGGTGTCTGTGCCAGCTAGTAGTTTGAATGTTACAGTTAGTTTCTGCTATGGGTTTAATCAGGTGGAGAACAGGGTCCCTCTCTGGAATGAGCTCGCGTTGATTAACTCATCCACTCCTGCAGCTCGTTTTCCTTGGCTGCAGTCGGTGACTTCAACCAAATTCTTCGAGTCTCTCATCACTCGCATCACCTCATTTCTGATATTGACACTTCGGGTATGGAGGCTTTCAACATTGCATTGCAAGATGCTGATTTGTTTGAAGCCCAATCGAAGGGCCTACCGTTTACTTGGAGGAATAACCAAGCCGACCCGATTTCTACAAAGATTGACCATGCTTTCATAAATCAGGCTTGGTCTTCACTTTTTCCAGACTCTTATGCTGAGTACTTGGACCCGTCGCAGTCTGATCATGCGGTTTGCCTGTTTCGTATTCCCTCCCATCAGCAGCGTTCTCGTAAACCTTTCAGGTTCTTTCATCATGTTATTGACCACCCATCTTTTGCTAATATTGTCAAGGATGCCTGGGACTGTGACAATGTTACTGGTTCGTCGCAGTTCAAGCTTGTGCGAGTTATGAAGTGCTTAAAGAGGAATCTGAAGAGTTTGAACAAAAGGCACTATAGTGGTATCTCGAATAGAGTCAAAGAGCAGGAATCTATCTTATCCGACCTCCAGCGATCTCTTCTTACGGCGCCTGACCCTCTGGTTGCCGCTCAGGAGAAGGAGGCGAGGGAAATATGGAATAAATTGAAAACGGCTGAGGAGAAGTTTTACAGGCAAAAATCAAGAGTACAATGGCTGCACTCGGGGGACAGAAACACATCCTTCTTTCACCGTATGGTGGCTGAGAGGGTCACTAGAAACCACATCTATTTCCTAAAAGACATTGATGACCGTGTGATTGGATCGATCGCTGAGATCAAAACCTACTCTGCAGAATACTTCAAAGAGATTATCGGGCAAACAGATCTGCCTATCTCCCCTTGCTCAGTTAGTCAACTCCAAGCTCTTTTACCTTTCAGATGTTCCGATGAGCAGAAACAGTCCCTTCAAAAGGCTGTTGCTCCGGAGGAGGTAAAAGCTGTTGTCTTCTCCATGCCCCTAAGCAAAAGCCCAGGACCGGATGGTTATTCTGTTGAGTTCATCCGTGCTTCTAGGGACATAGTCGGTAAAGATGTCACTGGTGCTGTAATGGAGTTCTTTAGGAATGGTCGGTTGCTGAAAGATCTTAAAAGCTGGTATGAAATCTTAACATTTTCGACCAAAAAAAAAAAAAGTAGCAAACGCGATTTCAGACGCAGAAATTGAAAAACTCTGCATGGAGAGTGGAGCGCGTGATCCAATCAGTTGTGTCACTTTGCTCCGAACGGATCCACGAACGATTAACGCAGGCAACATCGCCAGGCTCTTTTTAGTTGTGGTTGGTCATTCTCTCACCACATGAATTTTAATTTTTTTTTTTTTTGCACACATATACAAGAATCATTTTAGCTTTGTTTTCTTAAAACATCATTTATTACCTACATAAACACAATTTAAAAAAAATAAGAAAACTATATGCATAATAATAAAGAAACTAATTGGGAATCCAAATGCGTATCCGGATGCAAGGGCTCGTGAAATTAATCTTTGTGTATAGACAATTTTTTGGGATGCCCACCGTTATCAAAAAAGAAACTAATTGGGAAATCAATAATGTATCAGATATCGAATGCAAAAATGCAAGTGGACGACGCAAACACACATATTGGACAAGTCAGTAGAAAGTACAATGGTCCGAACGGGAAGAGAAGGATCAATTTTTGCAGGAAGAATTACAAAACAGCTTCGGCTCTGTTTCAGAATTCTTGGTATGAAGCACAGAAAAATAAGTTAAGCTTCGCGAAGCAGCATGCATTGGTTGCCACGAACGATGTGAACCAATGCGAAGACGGATGGAAAAAAGGTGGTCCGGTTCAAAAGTCTCCTTTCACTGTGTATACCAATAATGTTAACAATACGAATAGTGTCATTGACCTTATTGTCCGAAAGCAACTTGGGGGACGCTAGTTGTATCGGAATTTCATGTATTTATACTATATGATGCTTAATTATACCGGAATTTCATTTTTTTTACACGGTCATTGAATGAATAAATCAAACCTTTATGTAGATACAAGTTTTGGTTAAAGAAATGACGTTTTATGACTCTCATATCATAATTCAGATCAAATCTGTCGAGAAATACATAGCGTAATAATACGGAATAACCTTCGCTTGCATTTTTATGTTTTAAAATTCGAATTTACAATTTATCTAACAATTTTTTAAATAAATCAATCATGTTGATATTGAACATTATGGTGATCGTTTCATTTCCAACTATTATTGTCTTATCATAATTCAAAATATTTTTTGATACCATGAAACTAGAAAACCATTTTTGGGGAATGAAAAAAAGAAATCAAAATATCTTATTAAAATGTTTTCACTAACCGTTATCATGATCACGACCAAAATTTCACATTACGCCGAATTTTACACTTGGGTAGTGATACTGAAATCTTACATAAGAGGCCACCATAAAATCATCATCCACATATTACACATATTACAGAAATGAATACATAATCATTAGTTTTCAACCAAATACTGAAAATCATCAAATCAGGGTTTGATGTTGCGCAATAGTTCATGTAGATTACTCTTCTTATAAACATAGTAAAAACTTGCAAATGAATAAAACAAACAATTGTCTATGCGGTCTTTTAGAAGATACATGCAAAAATAGAGTTTCCTAATTTACTAAGGAATCTCATCCATATATATTTATCATTACTATTTTTAGCCTTCCAATTAAATATAAGAAAAATATTCTGAAACACATTAGTAAAAACCAAAAAACAAAAATCACACTTCTTGTTTCTGAATATGATGGCCACAATAGAAATAAAACACATGAGGTTTCTTAATTTGTTTTTGTCATCTGTGCTGATTGCGTTTCCAGTAGCAAACGCGGAAGTAGATTATGAAATTAGCAGAATCTGCAGAAGGACGCCTGACTTTTTCTATTGTTTCCGTATGTTCCACGACGATAAACGCAAAACTGAGAAAAGCGACAACCGCGACTTGCTTGTATTTGCGGTAAATGTTAAACACACTCTCCATTTCAAAATTATAGATGAAAGTTTAAGCTTTTGCACTTATATTTTTTTTAAAAAAAACACCATTTCTTCTCTTTTTTCCTAAACTAAAAAGTTATTTATCATCTACATAAACACAATCCAAACAATAACAAAATAAAATTAAAAAGCATAATACAAATGATAAAATTAAAAACATCATATAATCTGAAACAATTTATGTTTTTTAAAAAATCATGTATTGTAAAACAGAAAGAGTAGTAGTAAACCAGACGTTTGTATCCCAGTTGTTTAGAAATTTCAGTGGTATGAGTATGTGTCCATTCCGTCTAGCCCCTCTTCCACGATTAAATTAGTGATATGTACCCGGTTGTTTGGACGGCCAGTGATTACTCTTGGGTCTTGGAAAGCCTTTTGGTGAGTAGTAGTAGGTAGTATATGGGCTTTGGAGAGAGGGTAAACTAGATGTAAAAATATGACTAAATGTATTTTAATGATCGGCTATGCATGCCATTGCCAGCCTAATAAAAAACTGATTGGGAAATTTATCAGCTATCGAAGGCAAACATGCAAGTGGCAAACGCAACCAGACATATTGGAAAAATCAGACCAAGGTACAATGGTCCGAACGGGAAGAGACGGATCGCGGTTTGCGAGAAGGATTACAGAATAGCTTCGGCTACTTACGAGTTTGCTTTGAAACCAGTGTCTGAATTAAAACCTTATGATTATTTTAAGGAAAGAGCGTTTAACTATGAGTTTAAGGACGCCAAGAGACTAGCAAAGTTTGCTATTAACGCTGTGAACAACTGCCAAAACGTTTGGAAAACAGGTGGTCCGGTTCAAGCGTCTCCTATGACTGACTATAACAGTGTTATTCAGAAAATAGATGTTATTATTTCTCAAGTTCTCGAAGATTTTGCGTGATCCTATTACTTGTACTGGAGTTTCCATATACTTTATACAGTTATACTCTATGCTTCATTATACCTGAGTTTCCATATACTTAAACAGTTAAGAGTCTATTAACAATGTTTTTATCATTGTTCGTATTGTCAGGAAATTTGAGGCCAAGTAGTAGCGTAATTTATCGGAATTTGAATTGTTAGCTATTGTTGGTTTAGCTTATTCACTCGCAACCCTTAATAAACCAGATATTTCTTCAGGGTCATTTTTAAAATAGATATTTCCCTTTTTCTGTTTTTCTCTGTAAGATTTCTCTGTTCAAGATAATTTAGGATCATAATTGCGTCAAGGGAAAAACATGACATTTAAGTTTCGACGCAATTAGGGGATAAAACCAAATGAGCTATGCAAGCAAAGCAGAAAAAAACCAAGTCAGGAGAGATCAGAGGATGCTAAAGACCGTTCAAGTGTAAGAAGTTTTTACAGACAAAACCTAAAGAGTCAGAGTCTGACGCCAGATTTTTTTACCGAGAAGGGTCGCTTTGATTCCGGCTTTCTTTCAACCTTTGCCAAACCATTTTTCCACAGTGCAAAAGAGTCACAGATGCCACAAGGTAAAGAAGAGGAACGCCGATTACACAACCTTCCGATGCAAAATTCACCAATGTCTGGTAACCACCAACCAAAAACACAAACGATTAAGTTTACAGGAACCAAAAAAAAAATTGCATTAGCCTATCATCCTAATAAGCAAAGGAAAGTTTGAGAATTATCTGAGATCATACCAACATTCCAGCAGCAAGGTGTATGACTGGAACTATTCCTTGATCTACTTTGTTCCCTTTTGCATATCCTTCGAAAGCAATGACCATCGAGAATGTGTGGATCGTGACAAATGCAAGAGCAATGATTGCTGTAAGACGTGGTGGAAAAACTTCAACATTAAGTACTAGTCTACTAGACAAATTCAAACCACCAGCGACTCTGCTAAAAAAAAAAAATACAGGACTTGGGTTCAGTTGACTCACCAGAGACGAGAAAAAATGGCACCTTTGAACATCTATCGACATAGAATGTGGCCGGACCAAATGCCGGCGTTAAGAGGCTCAAACAAAAGAAGACAGCATGAGCCACACCATGACCTAGACCACCAGCTGCAAGCAATTGACTGGAATAGTCTTAGATCATGTCAAAGAGTAAGAAATGAGATGTACAACAGCTGCCTAGTGGTTATAGGTTCCTTTTTAGCTTCAGCTATATTGTTATTTGACCTACTCTTTAGTATTCTCCTTCTCTACTTGCTCGAGCTTCTGACAAGCTTTAAGATCAAGGCAGATAATACATCTGAGTAAATCCTATTCTAGATCAAGATACTTTGCAGCCCATTTATTTCAATTTGTTCTTTTTAAGACAACACAAGTTGTGTTGTCCAACCTGATAACGTAGACTAACACAAACGCAGCAGATAATAAACAATGAACTTAGCATGAATCTCGGCCAAAAAAAAAAAACAGGAAAGCGTACCTAGAGCAATCTGCAGCTTATCAGTGAGAAACAAGCGGGGCCTTGAGATCCGGTCCGCAAAGGAATCCAAGACATCCTCAAGCCTCCTTGAGCATAATAAGAACACAAAGACATGTTTTCAGAACAAACTATACAACCTATCTGACTAATCATACATGTATTTCCCCGTTAAACTACATCATCGGATTAACAAAGTTATGATGGGCCATGTACATACTTAGTCCAATATCAAAAAAGCGAAACAGTATGTAGCTCTAGCTCAAAAGAAAAAGATCAACAAGGATATAATATTCACAACACTCAAAACGGGGAAGATAAAACTGTTAATGATCATCTTATACGAAGAAGAACAGAAGCAACTCTACAATATAATTACTTACTTGTAAACCTTCCAGAAAAGAAAGCGAAGACCTTCCTGGAAACAAACAGAGGAGAGAACAAGCAAAGCATAAGGCCACCAGACATTGGCTTTGAGAGGAAGGAAAGGCCTCCACAGTCCCGACAAGATGATCAGGCTCACAAGCCACAGCAACGTACTGCATTACATTCACCAAAAAAAATCTATCAATCAAAGCCATAATCAGGTTTGATTCCAAACCCTAAAGCAGACCCGACGAGATCCATCGCCCAAACAATTCGAAAAGCAAAAGGACCAAATCGAATCGAATCGAATCGAAATCTCATCACATCGATAGCAAAACAGAATCAGGAAGTTCCAGAGAAATTGTGAAAAGAAAGAGACCTGGAGAGAACAGTGAGGATGAGAAAGGGCTTTCTGGAGATGACGGAGACGAAGAGAGAAAGAGACGGTCCCAGAGCCACCAGCGCGTAGCCGATCCCCGCCGCGACCGTCATGCCTCTCACACTTTCAGATGATCAAATCCAGACGTCGTAGACCGTAAAATCAAATCAATTGACAAAATGGTTTATGATTTTGCGGAAAAAAAATCTCCCTTTTGTCTTTTTTTGTCTTCTTTAAATTGAAAATCACTGAAAGGCTAAAGCTTTGCACTTTTCAATGTCTCTCTATACTGAAAAGACAAAAGAAGTGCCTTTAGATTACAACAGTGATCTCTAGCCTCTACAGATAAAAAAAATTTAGTAAATTCATTGTGTTCTCAAAATGGATCTCATCACTTTCATAACAAAATCTAACGAATGTTGTTGTTCAATCTTTATTCCAGAGCTTAGAAAGAAATAGTGACTAAGCTCTAATCAAATAATCTAGACGATTGAGTAGTGAGAGAGAAACATTTTAAGAAACATTTTTCTTGCCATCCTCAAAAATGCTAAAAACAGTTTCCTGGGATGCAATTCATCTTTTCAGAAGGAAAAAAAAATTACAAAATGGTTTTTTTTTTGTTTTCAAAATACAAAAGGCCCAGGTTTTGGATCACAGTTCTTTGCTTTGCTTAGACTTCTTCAACTTGGATGATGGACTTGATGCCTCTTTGAATGCAGCAGGACAAAGCTTAGTGACACTGCAGGTTTCGCAACGAGGTCTTAGTGGTGTGCAAATCGTTTGTCCAAATCCCACCTACACAAAATTTCAGACAAGTCAAAGAATCAAGAAGAGGAGGACGATTGATTTGTATGGTCTCATGTGTTGTCTTAAGGCAGAAGAATTGGTGAAAGATGACGCACCAAAAGCGGGTTAATGGCAACCCATTCTTCCTTTGGAAGCCATTGTTGCAAAGCTACTCTTGTTTCCTCTGGAGACGAAGTTTTCTATCAAATCACACAGATTAAGAATGGTTGACAAAAGAGAAGGCAAACACGAAAATCAACACTAGTAGAAACCATCTTTGCTTGATTCGTCACGATACAACTTCTGACTGAAACAAACTTGGGACTTGGGAGTACCTGTTTGGTTCCTGGTCGAGACACCCAACCAAGTCGATTGCAAATACGATGGACATGTGTATCTACACAAATACCTTGAACATCATTCCATGCTATATGCAGAATCTGTCATGTGGCAACAAAAGAAAACTTTGACAAGCCATGTATCTATCTCACAAGATAGGTAACAAATAGATCTTGGGTCAATTTTACCAGATGGGCCATCTTGGGACCAATCCCCGGAAGCGCAAGTAGATCGTCTAAAGAGCTTGGAATGTCTCCGTTATATTTCACTAGACAGATTTTGGCTATCTTCTTCATATACGTAGCCTTCCTTGTATAAAATCCAACCTGGAAGTAATGGCAAACTGTTAAAACTCATAACCAAGATTTTACCGTGAAAAAAGAACCTTGCCTTTTATAGTCTCTCATTCATTTCATCGTTTCCCACTATTTGAGAAACTGGCATGAAAATTACCGGGTAGATGAGTTCTCTTAGAGTTGATTCATCAGCTTTGTCAACAGCTTCGGGCGTGAGAAGGCCGTTCTGATGAAGACGATGTATTGCAGCTGCATGTTGAATGTGTCTGAATAGTTAGTATGCATTTATAATCAGGAAACTTTTAAAATGCAGATAATATAAGTGTATACCAGAACGTGGAAATATATTCTTTAACAACACAAAACTCACCGTTATTCACTTCATCTTTTGTCTGACTTGAAAGAAGTGCTCCTAGCAAGACAGCGAATCTTCTTTCCTAGATAAAGCCAACAAAACATGATCAGTAACGAAACAAGAAGAGGAGAGTTTTGTAAGCTATTCACTAGCAAAAACGTACATCCAAATTTATCAGAAACATGAGAGGAAAGATGTAAATGTGCTTTGTATGGTAAACAGAAAACCTCAAGAGTAAAGAGCTAGCAACTCAGTGTATCTCATAGCATGCTTCCACAGAAAAATCCAGTCACTAAATCGAGGAGAAAAAGTGTACCGTGGGAGGTAGAAAGCTTCCTGCTTTATCACATCCCATAGAATCCACTGGTGCGTCTTCAGAGGATCTCATTTGACGAATACCCTCGAGCACTTTTACCCAGTTTTCAGGCGCATTCCCTAGATTAAAACCATGAGATTAATACAACAGCAGTTGCTGTGAGTGAAGAAATCGGTAAAGTAGAAACCTCAACAACCTTATCATTAAGGGACTTGCTGCGTGATAACATACCTGCTGTTTTGACTGAAGTGACAGTGATGCTGGTTTCCGTTGACCTCCCTGCAATAACTTAGGTAAGGAATCTCTCTTGGCCATTTAAGGAAAGGGCTAAAGAATATGCTTGATGATAAAACATTTCCCACCAACTTTTTTTTTCATATAGAATCTGTAATAACTTTCAGTTACGAGTACAGGTTCTATTCGTATGGAAATTAGTCAGGTTCTTTGGCTGTTTCTTTCTAATCCAGAGACTGAAATTAAGTTTACTGAATGATCAGGAATATGTAAATTCTGAGTTGTACAAAGTGAGACTTACTGGATGAAGAAGATCTAGTATTCTTTTTGTAAGCAAATTCTTCTATATCAGGTAATCGACATAGCTGCTGCATCATTAAGTACGAGAAGACAAAAATACTTTAAATAAATCGACACATAAGACACAAAAAATAATAACACAAACAAGGTGATGTGTACTCATATAACATACGAAACACACACTAATCAAGGTTTCTCACTCATTTGCTGAAGCATAATCATAGCAAAAACCAAAGCAACAAATACACTCCAGTCACTAACAAAGTAAGACTCACACCCACGAAATTACAACACTTGATCATCAAAGGAAAGGCAATCTTGATCAAAGGAAAGGCAATCTCTAGAGCCCTAGTCTACAAAATGAGGGGAATCATGCAAAGCTTACCTTTTTTCTCTCAAATAAGGTAGAAAAGGAAACTTACTTTCTGGGTATTAATGCAGGAATCTTTCTCCAGAGGCTGAAAAGCTTCCTGTTTTAGCCTTTTCTTCCGGGTATATACTCGAGTCTCCGACCCAGAAGCTGGTTTGGCTGGTTCTGGTGCAAGGTACAAGTTACGCAATGGAACACAAAATTTTCGAGGAAGTTATAAACAGAGAAGAGGGAGGGAAAGAGAACCTGGGTCGGAATCCGGGAGAGAGTGTTGTTGGGTGGGTTTAGAGGAAGACACAGTTCCGTAATTTAGGTGATTCATGGTTCGAATTCGAGAAAACCGAGCGGCGTTGTGGAGGGTAGAAGAAGCGGCTCCGTTAACGAGAATCATAGAAGAATCCGTAACTTTAACGAATTACAAACATTTATTTTTGTTTTTATGGGGAAAAATATCAAAAAATACCTTATTTATTTAATTTTTGGAAAAATCATTCACGAAATTTTAGCGTTGTCAGAAACTCACAAACTATTTTTTCGATGTATAAAAATACATAAGTTTTTTAAAGTTTCATTTCCCCCCTCTAATTTCACGGCCGTTAACAGACATAACAGAATCAATAAACAGCGATAATTTTTTGTAGGAAAAAATGCTAAAAAAATACATCAACTATTTAATTTTGTCCAGAACCCACACAAACTTTTTGCATTACCAGAAATCCACACAGACTATTTTTTTAATCTATAAAAATACACAAACTTTTTAAAATTCTATTTTTCCTCCTCAAGTTTCACAGTCGTTATGTTAGTTTTTTGTAACACGTGCTAACTACTCTAGGAGTGATATCATTGTTACCCTTAGAAAATCTTCAAATTGATTTGGGGTAGAAAAATCTACACCCTAATTTTTCTCTCTCTTTTAGAAATTGAGTGAAATCGGTTGAAAAATATGGTTGGTAGTATAAATCGAGTCGAAAACATTGTGTGTTGTGATATATAAGACTAATAAGAGCAATTCGAGGAGATGATGTATATGTTCTAAACATGATTTATTGCTTTATTAACCACATTTTCAACCGATTTCACTCAATTTCTGAAAAGTAAGAGAAAAAAATTAGAGTTTAGGTTTTTCTTTTTAAAGGTAATAATGGTATTAATTTGACAGTAACTAACACGTATTATAAAAAATTAATGCAGTTTTTCGATTCTGTTATGTTTATAATGACCGTGAAACTTGAGGAAGGAAAATGGAATTATAAAAAGTTTGTGTATTTTTATAGATTAAAAAAATAGTTTGTGTGGATTTCTGGCAATGCAAAAAGTTTATGTGAGTTTCTGGCAAAATTAAATAGTTGATGTATTTTTTTAGCATTTTTTCCTACAAAAAATTAACGTTGTTTATTGATTTTGTTATGTCTATTAATGGCCGTGAAATCAGAGAGGGGAAAATGAAACTTTAAAAAACTTATGTATTTTTATGCATCGAAAAAATAGTTTGTGTGGGTTTCTAGCAACGCTAAAAGTTCGTGGATAATTCTTCCAAAAATTAAATAAATGAAGTATTTTTTGGCATTTTTCTCTGTTTTTATGTCAGCAGGATTTTATTAAAAACAAAAATTAGAAAATACCAAGACCAAACTTTTCATTTTGGTCATTAGTCTCACATATAATGCTTGACACCAAAGAATCTTTTCAATTGTGTGATAGGGAAGATCAAGACTCGTAATCTCGTGGGTGAGATATAAAGAAGATCAATGACCTCGTATGTTGCCACTTGCCACAAAGCTCGTTTACCTCTTTGATTGATCCAGAACGCATACATTTATGTGTATAAATATTACATGTATTTACTATCCAGCAGATATGTAATCCAGGAACAAAATTGTGGCCAATGCAGATTGCGGTTTGGCAAGTATACACTATTTAACCGTATGATGCTGTATCCTCGGGTTATCAAACCTGTAAAAGTCTTTTGTTTTCATAGAGAATCTTCGAACAAGAAACCATCAGTGTTGAAGTCTGAGTCTATGCCTTCTCTTCCCTTAAACTCGCAAAGCCCAACCGCCTTTTCTATAGAGAAATCATTCATCAAAGCAAAGTCATCTTCTAAAAAAGTCCTCGACTTGCGGGTCATGATGAGCTTCTTAGGTGTTTTTTGCTCTCTGCATATCTCTCCACTCTCTTCTGTAGCTTCTATTGGCACCACCTTTGAAGATATTTTGCTTGATTTTCTCAACCTCGATGGCAAACTTTTGTTCCTCTTCACACTGTTCCTGATCATGGGTTGTTCGTTCTTGCTGATCTCGGATTTCTTGGTGGTGCTACTGTTGTTGCTGTTACTGCTGATTGTTCGTTTAAGTTCTGGAATCCGTGTGGGTTTCGAATTTGATCCGGGACCGTTGAACATGAGCTTTCTCTTACACCCTTCTTTGAGATCTAGCTTTCTTGTTTGGAGTTGTGCCCTCATTGATCTTGGAGAAGTACCTGGAGTTTTGGTTCCTAGTGACTTCTTTCTCCGAGGAGACATGGTGAAATGCTTCAATATATCCTCTGGTGTCCAGTCAAACTTCTGCTCAAATGGCCAGAAAAGCGGCTCCACAGCTATCTTGTTCTTTGAATTCCCATTCTCTGCAGCTTTCTCCACAGTCTTTGCCGGTATGGTTTTACTTGGACCAGATGAGCTAACCGGTGAAGGAGACACCTCTGATTCTAGTGAGAAGCTAACTTTCTTTTCGTCAGGACTCACAAAAGTGGTGGAACTAGATGACTCTTCACATGATTTTCGTGGACAAGTCTTGTTGTTGCTTGACGTTTTTGCAGAGCCTGTTCCAACATACTTCTTCTCAGCTGAGTTGCAGATTTGTCCATCCTTTCGAATGTTTTGTGAAGAACATTTTGCGTTCTTTGAACTTGTCTGGTATCTCTGATTCCCTTTGGTGGAGTTTGTGTCTTCTTGATTCAGAGACAATGAAGAGTTTGCAACATTTGATAACCAAGAGACAATCCTTTCGTCGACTGAGAAATGAAACGAGACAGACACTCTTCGTTCCTCTAGAAGAGAGGTAGGAGAGGTACAATCTGAAGACAACCAAATGGAATCGCTGTCGTCGAGACATCTCAGCTTCGTAAACTGTTTCCCTGATTCATCGATCTTTTCACGCCTTGGTTGAGGAGAAACACCTGCAGATTTGGTCCTCTTTGTGTTTGCTGTGACATCTGGAAGAGACTTTTTCCCCTGAGGAAGCCTCATGGATTCATAGTTGCCACCTGTTGATTTCGATCGAGGGAGAAGCGGTTTCGGATCACTCGTTGTGTTCTTCTTTTTCCTAATGGAGAAAGTTGATGTAACCCTCTTCACAAAACCTTTAGATCCATCTTTCCCACCTGCAAAAGACATTTTGCAGTTTTTTAAATTCTTCTCCTTTCAATCTTCAGAACCAAAGACAAAGTTGTTCCTTTTCTTTGTTTGTTTTGCTTTAGAAGCAGACCAAACCACAACATAAACACATTAGCGTGTGATTAGAGATAAACCAGAAACGGCAAATGCTAGGACAAATTCTTGGCATTTTCTGAATAAGAAAACCAGAAAATGTCAACTACTTGAAGAATGATATTAAAAAACTCTTTTAACATTCTTGATTTGTTGATGTAATAAGAATTATACATCCATTAAAAAAAACAATTAAAGAATTCGGACACACCAAGCACTAAGTGGTCTGAGAATTAGAAAGAGTCAACAACTTAGCTTTGGAAGAATATATACAAAAACCCTAAGAAAGCAATGTCTTGACCATTAACAAACAGATTTAAAATCTAATTTCACTACTCTAAAATTAAGCAGCTCTTTACTTTAAGAACCAACGCGAGCTTCGAGAATTACTCAATTCCGATGAAAATCTAGACAATGAGATAACAAATGAGTAAAATTCGTGAACGAATACGGAATTTCAAGAGACGAGAGGATGAGAAAGAGCTTGTCGTCACCTTCAGCGATTGAACGGCGAAATCTATGCATATGGAAGTGTAAAGACTAAAGAGAGAGCTGAGATAATTTTCGTGAGAATTGAGAAAAATTGATAATTGAATAGCAGAGACAAAAACTAATTTACACTTCCGCGCGATCCATATACAATTACGTTCTTCAGATTCTCCCATAGTTCAAACTTCAATACAAGGCAATATAATAATGACATTTTCAAGAACAAACTTGTGTTTGATTTTGTTTTTCGTAATTAGTAAAAAAAAAAAGTAAACATCTACGTGTCCTATTCAACAAAAACGCTAATCTTCTTCAACAAAAACTCGTAAACCAGATTTTGGGCCTATATTTTCAATGGGCCCAAGTCACGATAACTATCGCTCAAAAAATATTTGGTTTATCTAAAAAAATCAAATAATTTTTCACTGAACCGGTAGCGATCTGAGCTGCCCAACCACTCAGTCGCGTGGCTTCCCCAATTCACAGGAGAAGCTAAAACCATTGAAGAGGCGATTCGGAGAAGAGAAAGGAAAGTGAATCGAGAGAAAAGCGAAGAAGATGGGTGGAGGAATGGAAACGAACAAGAACAAGTTCATTGAGGATTGGGGATCGGCGAGGGAGAATCTCGAGCACAATTTCCGCTGGACCCGTCGCAACTTCGCTCTCATCGGAATTTTCGGCATCGCCCTCCCGATCCTCGTCTACAAGGGAATCGTCAAAGATTTCGTGAGTTCAATCTCTCTCTCGATTCGATTTTGCATTTTCATTTCTATCGAGTCAGAAATGTTCATGTTTTGTGCCCTAATTTTCTGTCTTGTTATTGTGAGAGCATCGTATGAATTTTGATTGTGTGATACATTAATTGGTTTAGCTTCTGATTCTGGTGTAGATTTGTGTGAATCAGATCAGTTCTTGTGGTGGAACGATTGGATTCCGAAAATGCATATCCGATCGTTAATTTCTTCTTTGATGGAGAATTGAGTCTTTTGTTTCATTCTTGCTTTGGTGTTCCTTCTTTATTTAACACTTTCTCTTGTTTTGATTTATCTATAGCCAAAGTAGTTGATGAATCAAGAGTGTTTCAACTGCTAATTCCTTTGTGTTTAAACTTTAAACTACCCATCCTTAAGCCTTTGATGCGTTTAACCAAGCAAAACTAGTTAACATGCTCCTAGTGCACTGTGTTCATCAGTGAGGAATACAAAAAGAGAGACTTTCTACATTCTGAATCTTAACAGTTTCTTGCTACAATCCTCAAGGTTTTTACTCCATCTTAGTTTATGATGATTGATGCTTGTATGGCATAACTTGCTAGTTGAAATTTCTATGACGATTAAAATGGAAAGATTTGTGTTAACTACTAGTTCACAGGCAATTCAGTGATGTATAATTTGTTGTCTTGTGGTTTTAACGACATTACAAGTGAAGCTAACGTGCTGAAAACTTGAATTTTGACAGCATATGCAAGATGAAGATGCAGGCAGACCACATAGAAAGTTCCTCTGAGTTTGTTTTGGAAGAACACTCTATGCAGTGTGTGTGAAAGTATCAAGAAGCTGATGCTAGAACTCGGGGGTTTTTTTTTTGGCATTTTATTCAGAATAAAAGAAAAAACATCTGAAGGATTATAGTTTCTGTTTGGAACCGTTTATCTGTATGTTTTTTTCTTTTTGTTGTCAATGGAAAAGTTTGTCTTGATTGGCAAATAAAAAACTGAAGTTTGCCTAATTTGAAATTACTTTTGTGCTGAATTTAGCATATGCTGGAGTTAAACATTTCGAAAGTGATTAAGAGCTTTGACCGCGCGCACACCCAATAAAAAGGAACAATTGAACGAAAAAATATATAAAAAGCATAGGTTTGTAAAATTTAAAACAAACGAAATTGTTATTCTGGGAGCAAAGTTTGAAAACTTTTGATATGAATCACACCAAGTGAAGTCTCAATTTAGGTGAATTTGTAAGATCACATGAAAATACATTGTAAGTTCACCTCACTAAAGAACCTTGTACATTTAAATAATCGACTTTGGTGACAGATACAAACAAGTGTCAAACAAAATACATAATACATAATGTAATACTCGTCTTGCTCTACAATTTTGAAATGTCTTCTTCGTCCAAAGATTTGTAGAAAATTTTAGGATGTTCTCATGCCACATCTTCTTTCCGCCTTCTCATATGCAGCAATACTTGAAAAAGAAATTTGACATCTGTGTAGATTATTTCCCGAGTCCCCGGCTTGGCAAGTGTGGGATTTCACTCATTTAAGTATATGAGTTCTACTTCAATCGATGATTTTCGATAATATGTTCCTCAATATTTGTTTGTTTATTGTTGCTGACTTGTTCCTCAAAATTTAGATATGATTATATTACATACTATTTCTTGTTTTAGAGTATCATAAGGGGAAATAGTCCCAAATTAAAGTATTAGATTTATAAGGATAATACTTATATTATCAAGAATATTAAAAAAAAGAATTAACTATTGTTTTTATTTTACAGAAATATTTTAGTCTCAAATTATTTTTTTTAAAGGCAATTCCGATTAAGATTTTAAAAAATTATATATGTAAAAAAGAAATCAATTTTGTTTTCTAAAAAGATAATCAGTGAAAAAAAAAAAGAAATTAGTTTTTAACAAATAAAAAAATCGTTTTAAAAGGAAAAAAAATAAATCGTATTCACCAATAGGAATTGGTTTTTTTTTGACAATTCTATCTTCTTTTTGTGGATTGTATCTTCTTTTCTTACCGTTTAAATCTTAGAAGATAAAAAAATCAGCATAGATAAAAGATGTTGAGACTTTATCCGTCACACTCTTCAAAATCGGAAAACTTTTAACATCGATCACTGAAGTAATAAACACAAGTTATTTTGTGTTCTTGTTTATGGTTTCAGATTGATTATGATTCCTACAAATTTAGGTTGTGTACATTTGTACATTTTGTTCATAACGCTACTATTGTTTTGCAGATATATTCGCCTAAATTGCAAACATTATGACGCACGAGGAACAAGATCATACTCTCAACTTTCAGAATTTAACACTCAAGGAGGTCCAGGTAACTCCTCGAAAACTAATAAGCCTAATAATTTTGAAGACGATGAGTAAAAATCTAGCTAAGTCTTTCCAAGTTAAATTAAAAAACCCCTAATCCTTCAATGATTTTGACAGAGGCTATAAAGTCTTTTATTTAGAACACTGAGATTATGAAGTCTAGTTTACTTAATTTCAGTATTGTTGTCTTTATTTTGGGCATATTATGTGGAGAATTGGTAGAATTTATGATTATTCAGGTGGCACTTATTATTAGATTTAGCAAACTTTACGAAAATCTGCCAAATTTATTGATTTACTTAGATTTTAGTTTGTTAGGTTGCCATAATTTTATCAAATTATTGAGTTTTTAACAGACTGTACATATACATTTAGCAGGTTAACAAAAATGTCAAACTTACAAGCTAATTTTGAATATGCTACTTTGCCATTGTTTTAGGTAATTATGTAGGTTTATGAGATTGATTTATTGGTTCAACTAGATTTCAAATCAATATTAAGCTAAACTTTTTAGGGTCAAAATCAGTCTCCGGTGTCAAACTTACAAGCTAAACTTACAAGTCAAAATTTATTGGTTCAACTAGATTTCAAATCAATTTTAAGACTGATTCATGGAGATGAGGGTAGAGAATAGAGTCCCACAAGTCCTCTCGAGAGAGCAGGACAAACACAAGTGGAACAAAAACTAGAAAGAAGGAGAAGGCAATGGTTAAACCAAATTGACACCAAATTTACAACAATGAAAATTTTGAAATCATATAAATGATTAGGATATTTGGGTAATTAAAATTTAGATACTATAAAAAATTCTCATATTTTATATATGTATATTCTCATATACAAATAATTGAGAGAAATAGTTTAGAGAAATTGATATTTGGATCAGCCATTAACCCCTTATATAAAACAGAGGAAAAATGGCGGGAGTAGGGAAACAGAAAAAACGAATTTTTGAAAAACAAGACCAAACAGACTGTCATAACCAAATATAGAGAGATTTCTCCATCCATCCAATCTTTTTGTTTCCCTCTCAACCTCCTGTCTTTTAGGACTTCCTCTTTCTTTCAAACAACAAACAAATAAACATAGAAAACGAAACACAAAGAAATCAAAAGAAGAGAGAAGCCCCCTAAAATAAAAATAAAAAAACAGAAGCAAAAATAAGAAAGAAAGAACTTGAGCACAAAAGCTTCTCTCTTCCTTCCCATGGGGTGCATTTGAATAAAAATTTCCTTCTTGAAAATCGCTTGATCGATTGTTAATAATCGATCAATCGTGTCGTTGGATATAATTATTCCCCTTAAAAAAAAAGAAAAAACAAATCCCATGGGAAGCTGTGTTTCGTCGCCATTGAAAGGTTCTCCTTTTGGTAAGAGACCGGTAAGAAGGCGAAACAGTAGTAGTAGCAAAACATCATCCTCTAATCCTCGTTTCGATTCTTCAACTAATCTTTCCCGGAGATTAATATTCCAGCCACCAAGCCGTGTTCTTCCCGACCCTATTGGTGATGGAATCTTCCTCAAGTATGAATTGGGCAAAGAGTTAGGCCGTGGTGAATTCGGAGTCACTCATGAATGCATCGACATCACTACTCGAGAAAGGTAATAACTTTCCTCTGTTTTTTTATACCCATCTTGAGAAGTTTGATTCTTTTGTATTCTAAAACAAAACCGGACAGGTTTGCGTGTAAGAGGATATCAAAGGAGAAGCTAAGGACGGAGATAGACGTTGAGGATGTGAGAAGAGAGGTTGAGATCATGAGATGTTTACCAAAACATCCAAATATTGTTAGCTTCAAAGAAGCTTTTGAGGACAAAGACGCGGTTTATCTTGTCATGGAGATTTGTGAAGGAGGAGAGCTTTTTGACCGTATTGTCTCTAGAGGGCATTACACTGAACGTGCCGCTGCTTCTGTCGCTAAAACCATTCTTGAAGTTGTCAAGGTTTGATCAAGAAAAATCTCTTTTTGTGTAAAATCGTTTGGTTCTTTGGTCTTAAAAGTTTATGGTTTGTGAAGGTGTGTCATAAACATGGAGTGATTCATCGTGATCTTAAACCCGAGAACTTCCTCTTTTCAAACGATACCGAGACTGCACAACTCAAAGCTATTGACTTTGGTCTCTCCATTTTCTTCAAACCCGGTACTAATATCTCATCTCTATCGTGTATAACATCAAAGAAGTTTTGAGTCTTTTATGTTGTTTTCTTGAAGAAAAAAAAACTTGGTTTTGCAGCCCAGCGGTTCAACGAGATTGTAGGAAGTCCTTATTACATGGCTCCAGAGGTTTTGAGAAGAAATTACGGTCCTGAGATCGATGTTTGGAGTGCTGGTGTTATACTTTATATCTTGCTTTGTGGTGTCCCTCCGTTTTGGGCAGAAACAGAGGAAGGAATCGCGCACGCGATTGTGAAAGGGAACATCGATTTCGAGAGAGATCCGTGGCCAAAAGTCTCAAATGAAGCCAAAGAACTCGTTAAGAACATGCTTGATGCAAATCCTTATAGCCGACTCACAGTTCAAGAAGTTCTTGGTAATTACATTTCATTACCAAGATTTAATACGATTAGTTAACGGCATCACCTGATCGATGAATTATGTTTTGTAGAACATCCATGGATCCAGAACGCAGAGAGAGCACCAAATGTGAATCTTGGAGATAACGTCAGGACCAAGATTCAACAGTTCTTGTTGATGAACAGGTTCAAGAAGAAAGTCCTCAGGGTATATCTATAAAAGTTTCTTGATTTTTCACAAGGATTATGAATTTACTTTAACCTTCGACTCATAAAATTTGTTACTGATCATATGGGGAAATCAATCATTCAGATCGTAGCTGACAATCTACCAAACGAGGAGATAGCTGGGATAGTACAGATGTTTCAAACGATGGACACAGATAAGAACGGTCACTTGACTTTTGAGGAACTAAGAGATGGTCTGAAGAAGATTGGACAAGTTGTCCCTGATGGAGATGTGAAGATGCTAATGGATGCAGCGGATACTGATGGAAATGGAACGTTGAGCTGTGAAGAGTTTGTGACACTGTCAATACATTTGAAGAGAATGGGTTGTGATGAGCATTTGCAGGAAGCATTCAAGTACTTTGACAAGAACGGGAACGGATTTATCGAGCTAGATGAGCTCAAAGAAGCTCTTTTCGATGATAAGCTAGGCCACGGTAGTGACCAGTGGATCAAAGATATCTTCTTTGACGTCGATCTCAACAAGGTAAAATGAGCAAGATTCATTGAGTTTCTTACAAGTTTTGATGTGAGATTTGTAACATGTTTTTCTGGTGACAGGATGGACGGATAAGCTTTGATGAGTTTAAGGCGATGATGAAATCAGGGACGGACTGGAAAATGGCGTCGAGGCAGTACTCGAGGGCGTTATTGAATGCTTTGAGCATCAAGATGTTCAAAGAAGATTTTGGGGATAATGGTCCTAAATCACATTCCATGGAGTTCCCTGTAGCAAGGAAGAAAGCTAAACTACTTGATGCTCCCAAGAACAAATCAATGGAGCTTGTCCACTCCAAAACCTATAAACCCTCAGGTCTAAGAAACTAAAGAAGAAAAATGATAAAGAACAGATCTCTCTGATTTTCTTTTTAATGTGTTTGCTTTTGGTGCTACAAATGACAAAGAACTGTGATTTACTGGGCTTAAAGTTGAGTTTTCATCATTTTCCTTTAA